GGTCATTTTAGGAATAGATATTATGCATGCATTTTTGCCAATCTGTTTTTAACTTAAAGGGTCCATATTACACCATTTTCTGGTCTCTGTCGCTGTGTTGTTTCCTCTTCAAAAATACCTGGAGTGGTATTTTGTTTCATTCACACCAATTTAACATACAAACCCTGCATGATTAGGCTTAGTTCTGAGTTTTGTCAAACTGAAAACACTCTTGTGATGTTATATGGTAATACAGTACGTTCTCCACTTAGTTTTTAATCTCCATACACCTTCACTAGAATCATTTAGATGATAACAAGAACAACACATAATTCCAGGTATGTTTTTGAGGAGGTAACAACATCCTAACATGGCTTAAATCTCACGAGAGTCAATTTTGTATAATATAGGACCTTAAGCACAAACAACTCCCCTCCTTTCAAAATTAGGTCTTGCAAAAGTACCTAATATTAGACACTGTATTATTGTGTATGGGTGCAGGGAGGTGCCTGCTTTCAGTCATGAGGTCTAGTTGAAATTGCGTGGTCTTATTGCACAGAAGTCAGGCAGTGTCTGTATTGTCATATCCCTCACATGTGCTCCGGGGCAGGCTGAGAGTGCAGGTTGAAGATGATCCCATTCCAAGTAAATAGGCCAGTACAGCTGATATGGACACCAGATTATATGTCACTGTATTGTTACTGTTGAGACTCAGCTAGAATTCACTCACTGAGCTGCAGAGACTGCACTAGCACTGATTAATGACTGGCTGCAGGTACTCGGGCAAACTTTATTGATCAGCAGGGGAAATTTCTTGGACACAATAGCTCACACATCACATTATATTACAATAACACAGAGTAAAACTATAGTTTTAACAAATGGTAATAAACTTCTAAATAAATAGCAATAAAAAAATAGCAAGAGATAGCAAGAGATTGGTATCAATAATACATAAATTATATAAATGCATGTACAGTAAGTAAAAAACAAATATCGTATTATAAATACAGTATATCACAGATAATATATGACTTAATTTTAAGTCATATTGTTGATCAAATAATAAAGGATTTACATCATAGGGACCAGATTTTTGTCTCCATATTGGATGCAGGTTCCCATGTTGTGAGTGTATGTAGATTTTAATCCCCATAGTGTGACACATATCTGCCCACTTTCACTATTCTATGCCTAAACACACAGGCACGCACACACACACACACACACACACCCTAAACACACACACACACACACTCACACACACACACACACTAGTTGTACATGAATGGTAAAGCACCGACTAGCACTGATACACATATATATTATACATGCAGCACTTTAACCTACATGTTCTGCAGAGCATCTCTCTCTCTCTCTCTCTCTCTCTCTCTCTCTCTCTCTCTCTCTCTCTCTCTCTCTCTCTCTCTCTCTCTCTCTCTCTCTCTCTCTCTCTCTCTCTCTCTCTCTCTCCCCTCCTCCTCCTGTGTCTCAGATCTAGGTCAGTGGAGATGTGAGTGCACGTGAGCCAGCAGTGCGTCCACATGACATCACCGGGCTCCTCTCTTTAAATAGCCTGGAGTAGCTTTAGCTGTGGCTGTGATCAAGTCCGAGTGTAGTGAGGAGATAGTGGTATGACCTCAGGGGAGAGCGCAGCGTGTGTGTGTGTGTGTGTGAAGGCTAAAATGACAAAAATCTCTGCATTACTGCAAAGAAAATGTACACACAATAAACATTAAATATATTGTTCCATCTATTCATATATGACAAGTCAGTAAAGTAATTAACAGGCTTAGTTAAAATGACTACTGTAGGTCTAAGATGGCTTAACTTCCTGTAGGCATGGTTTGCCTGACAGACCTGGCAGGTCACACAGACTGACCCTGCCTCCTGTCGCCCAGTGGTCTCTGAAGGAGGGTGTGCTAGGTGTGTGTGTCCTGCCACTTGGCAGTAGGACATGCAGGAGTTAATGGAAAAATAATAATTTATGCAGAAAAAAGGAAGAGGAAACAGTGTATTTATATAAAGACATATCAAACTAGTGAATCATTAATTTAATCTGCCTTCTTACATATAAATACCACCTACCCATATAAATCCTTATGATCTAAAAAGCATTAGTCAACGAATACAACATTTTAATCGACAAAGAGACCATCGACCAATTAATCGGCTAAACGACTAAACGATTACAGCCCTGGTGGTGCGTGTTTGAGTGTTGGTGGTGTCCAGAGGATCCAGTGGTGCAGACTGGCAGCCTCGCTTTCATCAGTGTGTCCCAGGGCAACTTTGTTCACAGATGTAGATTACCACGACTGAGTTTGGATTATGTCTACAGTGTAGTGCTTTGAGAGGCTTTGCCAAATCTGTAAAGCACATTACTGTTATGGACACTTTCACTGATGGAACCAACTCTACCCCGCCTTCATTCACTCACACAGAACATTACTCGGGTTGGTGGGTCAAAGCAGGACTGCTGCCTCGTGATTATTAGATAATCAACAACTGTGACAAATGTGCATCCCTAATAATTGACATCGTCCCACTCTCAACACTTCCATTTGCTGTGGCATTAAAACAGGACTAACTATACAAACTGAGTTATTCAACATGTATTTCTCATCATCTTATTTCACATCCAGAGATCTGGTGTGTAATATAGTGTCCCTTTAAGTGGCGGGCTGCCCTGTTGTTGTGTCCGCCCAGAGTCACATGAGGCTGTGGCAGAGACACACCCAGCACAGGGCAGACCTCAGGGTGGAGCCCAAACCAGCTCCATAATTCAGGGGAGCAGAGCAGCAGGCAGCCCCTCCTCTCCTGGACCCGGTCTGTACACAGACTCTGGAGGTCCTCATCTACACAGATGATGATTCTTGTATTGAAAATAGATACACATTAGAGCAGGTATCAATGCTAAAAAGTCACATTTGTACAACAAAAAAACTTTCCTGAATCCTGAATTTCCTTAATCTTGTATTTTTGTGATATATGTACTATACTTCTGACTTTTTGTACTTTATCATTATTCCATTTGGTAATAATTGAACAAGAGTTACTGTGGCCAAGTAATTTCCTTTGTGGATTAATTCAATTTGTCTAATTGTCTAATTTCATAATGAACTGAAAATCCTGTTCATTTATCATTTTGGGATCTTATAAAAGAAAACTGAGCTGAATGAGGCTGCGAGTGTATGCTACTGTTGTGTTTTGGGGCAAGGCTCTTGGTTCCAACTGGCATCTGGTTCTTTTTGGCAACTGTGTATTTTGGAAATAATAGTCTAAAATAAAATAACATATTTTCTCTTTTTCATTTTACTTTTCCAAAACTTTAAAATATTTGCAGAAATCCAACCAAGATTTAGTGTAATAGTGCATTCACATTTGGTCAGAGGCTACATCACATTCTGGACTAAAGTGGGACTGAACCAAGACCAAATCAAGCCAGACCAGGACAAGTGTGAACTCGGGATTCACAATTTTGGGGGGCATGAAAAATCTAAATGTTTAAAAAGTAGGGTTCTGTTGAGAGTTTACATTGTGTACAAAAACAGCATTAAGTTTTAAGAAATGACTGAAATCTGAACTGATAAACTAATACTGATACTGACTAATACTGACAAAGCATCTGTAAAAAAGACAGGATATTTTGTTCTTTGCAGAGGGCATTCTGTTGTCTAAGTAACTGCAGCCAACTCAAATTGCAATTTTGTTTCGATTGCCTTATCTTGTGCTGTTCTAACTCATGTTCTCATGATACTAAATTTCAATCTCAATTTTAGACAATAAGGAACAGCCTTGATACCAATTCTGATACCATGATGATGAATAACACTCTTGATTTAGACAATAGAATGTGATTTTCAACATTACATAATAGTACTTTTTTTTAATATGATTTATATGTTCTTCTATGTTCTATCTGTGTAATCCCTCAGTTCCATTGTGGTCTGTCAGTGTATACTAGTCTTAATGGTCTTATACTTGTTCTTATACCATTCTAGATCATTCTGAAGCTTAGTATTACCTGTTTAAATGAGTATTTAGTTTCAATACTAGTTTGAGTACAGGTTTGTATCTGATTTCCAATACTTTTGAAAACCCTAGTCCTAACTCACCTTAAGTAAACATTAGGGATGTAACAATAATCAAAATATTGTGAAATTGTATCGTCAAAGTTCTCACAATAATCGTGGACCCTCACAATATATTGAATTACAAATCTCTTTGCTTAAATTAAGAATTATGGTGCAGCAATAGCTAAAAAAGACAGAGGGAACTATATAGACCATGATCCTTTGCTCCATTTCAGTGTAGACTACAAGAAGAAATAACAGTTCTAAGCACTTTTAAGTCTTAGTTCTTTGGATTAAGTCTTGTCAAGGTATTTGAAGCGGAAAAAGTAGCATATTAACAGTTTTGTTAGCCTACACAAAATATCGCAATAAATATCATACTGTGAGATCTATATCATGAAAATATTGTACCGAGAGTTTTGGATATTGTTACATCCCTACTCTTGAGTCTCCCCACCACATCGTGAGCTTTCCCATGATATCGCAATAAATATTGTACCGTGAGGTTCATACCATGACAGTATTGTATCGTGAGACTTGGATATTGTTATACCCCTAGTAAACATGTGACTAGCAACCATCAAAATCAACATTTGACCTTTTGACCTGTTAGCTACATCTTTTTTGCTGCTTGTACTGCCTGTTCTTTAGTGTATTGGTTCAGCCTGGAGCCATGACACTGCAGTCAAGGTGTGGGTCAGAGAGACTGCGGGAGGGGAGGAAGGGAGGAGGAAGCGGCTGGGGAGAGGGAAAGCCACACCTGCACCGTCAGCAACTTCCACTCTCACTCCATCCATCTCTCTCTATACCCTGTTTTCACTATAGCGAATGCTTAGTCACCGCATTCAAATCGATACCCGGCTAACACATTCTCATAGCGCCTGATGTGTCTCAAGTGTGAAAGAGTGATAAAAACCTTCACCTCTTCTTATTCTCTCTCTCTTACAGCCCAAGCTCATGGCCAAGGACTTGCTGGACCTGGTGGCATCGCATTTCAACCTCAAAGAGAAGGAGTACTTTGGCATCGCATATGTAGATGAGACGTAAGTTAGCTAAGAATTATCATTAAACAACACCATTAAACCACATTGGCGGTTTTCAGATTACATCACATTCTATAGGCCAATACTATTTAATGGGCCCATGTTACACTGTCATCTGATCAATGTTATAATGTTGTTTCCTCATCACAAACATACCTGGTTGTGTTTTCTTTCATTCACACGTTTTACACACAAATGCTGCATATTTAGGCTGAGTTCTTCTCTCAGATGGAATAAACTTGTATATTGTGATGTCAAATGGTATTACAGGAACTGCTCCACTGTGTTTTTAAATTTCATACACCTTCACGAGAATCATTTGGATAATTTCAACACTGGAATTTCCAATCTTGACTAAACTAAGGGTAAAAGGCAGGTGTTAACTTGAAAACTACAGCTTCATGACATCACAAGGTGGAAGAGAGCATTTTGAGCTTTGAAGATGTAAACAGACTAATAATAAACGGTTACTGAAATATGTGGGAGTGAAACAAAACACAACTTAAGGTATGTTTTCAGGAGGTAACACACATAATATGGATACATATGGGTCACAGCTAAAATGAATATTGTTATGTTGCTGATTTGTATTCTAATATATGAAGTTGTAGTATATCGTCATTAGTAGAAGTAATCAAGTTCAACATTGTGAACTTTTGGACATACTTTTGGACATTCTTCATGAAAGTCAATCAATAGGGAAAACTGACTCTTGCTCCCCATTTGAGAGTATGACATCACCACATTGTGCAATCTGGCTAGGCTTAATAACAAAATAATACGACATGAGATTTAACAGTTAGCAGTCAAGAAAAAGAGGAAGAAGCTAGACACTGGAAGAACATGCAACTCAACATACAAAGGTCTCAGGCATCCTGGAGAATTGAACCGGGGACGTTCTTGAGTGCTAGTTACACAGGCATCTGAACCTATTGTGCTTTTCATGGACTGAAGAAGTGTAAAAGAAGTTTTTGGGGGTTTTTTTTGCAAGAAGCTGTTTTTCAAAAAAAAAAACATAAGTCCATGGAAGCAAAGACTCTACATTGCAATCTTGTTCATTTTGTTGCCAGAGAAAACAGCACTGCGCGAGTGTAAATTAAACCACTAGTTTTTACTAGGGAATGAGTTTAATAATAATAACACAGGATGGTTGACAAAATAAACACATTAATACTGAAGGTAATTCTGAAACTAATTTTAAAAAGATTGATACTAAGGTTATTGCATAACAAAACTGGACCTGTCTTAAATGGTTTTAGTATTGCTCTTCATTAGAGCTACTGTAAAATATATATATATAAAATAGACGCACAAAGCAATTTTTTCATTATTGTGGTGTCAGCATCAGCAGAGTCTTTTTTTTTGTTTTAGAATTAAATATCATGACAACACTAATACTGTTCCAATAAACCCACCACTGTTCCAGAGTGCTGTGCTCCACGGGGCCGTTTTGATGCTAAGCTAACACGACAGAGGCAGAAATAGACCAGTGCAGTTCAGCCGGTTCACTGCTGCTCTGACCATGGCTCCATTCTCTCTCAGGACAAGGCTGGTCAGCACAATACTCTATTTCACTCTGTAATGTTATGTTGTATTGGCCAAACACTGTCAATCCCAAATCACCTTAAAGAACTGTGCAAATGCAGAGAACAAGTTGTGAATGGTAAAACGTCTCCAAAATGGTGCCTATTCTAGGATTTCAACATATGGCAGTGGTACTACAAACGAATTGTTTGTCTGAACCTTTTAACATATATTTTGATATATTTTAACTACTGTAGGGAAAGGAACTGTATGGCTTTGCTTTTGAGCTGCCAGTGCCTTAACCTGCAGACAGACGACACTAGGGATGGTACAAGATCTCGTGCCAAAGGATCTCGTGAGACAAAATTGCCACAAGATTGAGCACACATGAGAAAAATTATCTTGTGAGATTTTGTGTTAACAGTTAAAGTGTTAAAGTGTTTACATTTGGATTGGACAAAGAAGTGTTATTTATTGGTAAGTTACATCTTTTATAGTTCCTAAAGAAGTACTATGGAAACAAAAATATGACATCAAAGAAAAAAAAGTGTGAGGCCAAAATTGGAAACTGAATTGTGAAATGTATATATTAGGACTTATGTTAAAATCTGGTCTTGTCTAGTTCTTGTAGACTCGTCTTGTGGAAATTGTGTCTCTTCCCATCCCTAGAGAACACATACAAGTTCTTCTCATTCCAGTGTATGTACTGTATATGGAGAGACCGTGCTCATGTGAAAGCTCAGAACCTCCAGAATTCACTCACTGATCTGCAGAGGCTAGACTAGCACTGACTAATAGTGCTGGGGTTTAGGTAGTGACCATTCAGATCATAGAGAGCATTTTTAGGTTTAAACCAACTGCATTTCAGCATTGAAACTGGCAACCCAAATGAAAGACTCATCTTAAGCTCATTCTGCTTTCTAATTGGATAATTGTTCTGAGAAAAAACACCAAATTATAACATAAACAACTTGGCTATCATGTCCAAGGTTTTTGTAATTAAGAATAAATCAGCATTACAATTGTTACCAGTAAAAGTTGATGTTTATCACATATCTTGGAAACCCAGGAGAAAAATCTTGCTTACTTTCCTTTAGTGTTTTGTAAATTCACTTTACAGTAAACAAACTATGCGGTCAAATCTACACATACTAGTAGTTTGCTCTGAACATTACACCATCTTGTGTTTTGAAATGCAAACATGACGTTCAAATGAGCTTTGTTGTGCATGGCGTTGTAGATAAACAAAGCCTGAACAGAGGGCTCGAGTGGAATGGTTTAGATTAGCTCATGCAAACCTACATTTACATACAGGGAAAAATTACCTGGTACCAAAGACCTGCTCTGTCCTCCTGTGTCTTGCTGGTTGGTACTTGCTGACCTGTGTGGACAGTGGGACAGGGCGAGTGGGGACAGAACCCGTGCTCCCAATCAAACTATGGATTAATCTCATCTATTTTTGCAACCAGCAAGCCCAATACCACACTACTGTATATACAAACTTCATGGATTTCAGTTTCATGTTATATGGTGCCATTTTAAAGATGGTTGACAAGGGTTGCACTATTGGAAAAATATATCTAATTATGAATTTTCTGACAAGCGTGATAAAATTTCCAATTTATTTTTTAATAATAGGATTTGGTTCAAAGTTCACATTTTAAATGTGTCCGGGAGACTTGACAAAAGGACTGAAATATGGACATAGACATAAGGGGACAGTAGGACAGACAGAAGGACATATTTGGACATGTTGAGCTGCTCAGGGGAGCATGCAAAGAGACCAGAGAGACCATCTGTCCCCATGCAAGTGTTATGTCAGAGAGAAGAGGAGAGAGAGGAACTACACCCAAAATAATGGTTAATACAATTTAAAGTAATTATTTTAACTTTTCAGTATTGCTTTACATTTTTTTCCCATAGTCATATAATACTGACTGGCAGACACAGTTAGCTAATTACAACATACGACACACATATAAGCTTGAGGTTAATTCATTTCCCAGATTTTGTTTTTCTGTCCTAGTCTGTGCTATTGCTGGGTTTGAGATTTACAGTGCTACTGGGCTATTACAGTGAGTTATTGGGTCTAGTCACTAATAGAAATGAATCTTAGTGGTGTCAATAGGAAATTGCTCCCCATCTAGGATCCTGACGCCATCTCATCTGAAAACCGCCAATGTACATTATTAAAATTAATCCAAAATATTTTGCAATATATGGGAGAGGAGCTCATTCCCCAACAGGCTCTTACAGTTCCCCTCAAACAGTGACAGATACAGGACAACATTCATACAAGACTCCATATAGCTGTACAACAACTCACCCTTTATGTAACAGATAATACTCCCTACTAGAGCCCGACCGATATGGATTTTGCTGTGGCCGATATGAAACCGATATAATGGCAGTTGGCGCTGCCGATAGCCGATATAATCGCCGATATATTTAGTGATGTAAAAATTCACTGTAAATGTTGAATTGTTTAAAAAACTTAGGTTTGGCTCTGGTGGATTTTAAACTGGGTTTATTTAGGTAACATTTATTGTTATTCTGCCTCTTTACATCATATTTACAGACAGTAGGTTGGCTTAATGGCATTTTTGCATCACATTCTAGACACTCTTTTTAGAGAACCGGCTCTTTTGGCTCGGCTCACTAAAAGCTGCTGGTTCTTTTGGCTCCCAAGTGGCTCTTCAGATTGTTTTGTTGCAAGCAGGACTAAAGCACGTCTAAAGCAGGACTGAATCAGGACTGAACTAGGTCTAAACCAGGACTGAAAAAGGACTAAACCGGGACTTATTTATTTTATGCTAAACTACAGTCAAATATGCTCGTTTTTGGGTTTTTTTTATCCTATGTACACGCAAATTTCTCAAAGTTTCGTTTTTAGCCGCTGCCGCTGTCAAACCACGAATCTGCACGCGGCGTGAAGAGAAAAAAGTGAGAGAAAGAGAAAACACGGCTCCCAATAAGGATCAGGCTCCCGTCGTTCGCTTCAAAGAGCCGGTTCTAAGAGTCATTTCGTTCGCGACGGACCCATAACTAGTAAAGAAAGTAGCGCTATTAGCCTTTAGCCGTAAATACGTGCGCGCCGCGGTAATTAATTATATGCGCAAATGTCATAATTCACACGTCTATTCACAGCTCATTTACATATCAGTGCAGGTCCAGTAGCAAATATACGGCCAATATAGTCACTTTAGAACAGACCAATAGAAAACAGTCCTGTTTATGTGCGGGAGCTACAGCAGCTAACCCATAACAAATGACAAAAACTAGCTTCAGAGTCGACATATTTCCAACACTCACCGCTCATACAGGCTCCTCCTCACATCACAAATCTGCACTAATAAATGTCCTTTTAATCCAGACTCAAACCGATTGTCCGTAAAAAGAATATAATCTCAGTGTTTGGATCTGTGTCTGCAGGTGTAAACAAACACACGTGAGTGACGCGACTCTGTGGTGTGTTCAGGGACAGTACGGACACACACAGACAAATGACTCCGTAGATAAATACTGATGTGGAGCCACATATTAGGACATTTATCTGTCTGTAAATTGGATTAAATGAACAGAATGTAGAGAGTCTAAGCTTTATAACGAGGTATAACATGCCCACGTGATATATCGGCCCCTATCAGCAAGCATATCGGCCGATAGCCGATATGCCTAAAGTTGCCCATATCAGCCGATAATATCGGCCAACCGATATATCGGTCGGGCTCTACTCCCTAGAACTGTACAGCAACTCACTCTTATGTCCCTTATGTAACAGATAATACTCCCTACAGAACAATGCTTATGTCCTGTCAATCATTATATAATTTTTGCACTGTCTTCTTATGACCTCTTGTATATAGCTGAGATTTTATATTACTTATTTTTCTATTTTATTTCATATTCATTTATATAATTATGCCTTATTTGACACCTGTCTTTTGCTATCTTTTTTGCTACTTATTTAGAATTTAATTTTACCATTCATATTTTTACTCTTTGTTATTATATTATATTGTGATGTGTGACCTACTGTGTCCAAATAATTCTATATCCTTACAAAAGGTTTTTGAAGGATAAGGCCATAATTTTTATGCTACTGTCAGTTTTCTTTCTAATTTGTGTATGTAACAAATGTGATTTCTCCTACGTGTTTTTCAGGACTCACTTCAGCTGGCTGCAGTTGGATCGGCGGGTTTTAGAACACGAGTTCCCTAAGAAGTCGGGTCCTATCGTCCTGTACTTCTGTGTCAGGTCAGTCCCCTCAGTCACTTCAAGTTAATATGTGTATCACTTGTTTTGCTTATTTCATTTGTATTTATTTAGCCACCACTAAAAGAGTTTAAGTGTTTTTATCATTGAAAGTTTCGGTCTGTACATAAGAAAACAAAGTACAGTTACATCAGAAGACCTAACGAACCTAATCGGAAGTTTAGTGTACAATTTTACATAGCTATTTTTACACATCATAATCCAACAACCTCTCAACCAATTTTATGTTTATGTTTTATGTTATGTTTTTCTCAACTGTCTACAGGACAATATTGAAATTGTTGTAGTGCATGTATGCAAAATTAGAATATTAGAAGAAGAAACTATTAGGTGACATTTCTGCACATTTGAGGTTAATTTTACAATCCATTCACTTTTTATAACCCTAAGATATTCTCAGGCACTTTTTTAGCACATTTTAATTGTAATATGATAATTTTTTTTTTGATTTTTACCATCTTAAATTGTGAAAAACAGAACTAGTCCATTTTAAATAATTTGCAGTGTTCCAAAGTTATTGCTTACACCTTGGAACATTCTAATTACTCACCGTAACGAGCTTTTCACAAATTTTAGACACCAGAGCGGAGTTTTGCCATCACGTAGTATTCTAATAATGCATTTCCTGATCCTCGGATAATAAAGCACTTTATAATTAGATCCAAGCAGTAATACTCAGCTGACTTATTTTTACTTTGAGAGCAGCTAGTACAATATATCTCTACTGGGACAATTTTTTTTTTAAATACACGAAAAAAAATTGGGTACAGGGCATTTAAGTAAATATAGTCCTGACTTCAAACCATCATTTTCTGTTGCCAAATGCTTTTCTTAAAGGAGGACTCTATCATAACTTGTCCATATTGAAGCAAATTAGAAACAGCAGCAGTCTCATTTTGTGCTTGTCATTCTAATTCTGAACTATTTAATATACTTTGTGTGACCCGGAGGACAATAAAACACATGGTTCTATTATTACATTTGTCCAAACCAAATTTCTCTGCCTTTCTCTCTGATAGGCTTATAAAACAGGCTTTGTACCCTCTCTTTTGTATGATTTTTACAAAAGAAAGTCATTATAAAAATCTCCTGACTCATGCAGCGCTTTCTATTGTAAGCTATGGGAGGTAGATTATGCACTGGCTGGTATACTGTACAACGGAAGCTATGGAAAGTGACGTACATAAGCTAAACTTGTACTTTGGGAGTAGTAGTAGTAGGACTTTGACATTTACTACACAATAAGGCTAAATATGTCAGGTTGTGTTTTTACTGATTGCAGATAGTCATTGTGAGCCATATTTAGGGACAATAGAATCATAGAGTACAGTTTGGGTATGATGTGTTCAAGGGGAAGTGTATTTTTGGAACATGATTTTAGTGGATAAAAATTCAAATTGTGTATTAGCAAAGCAGACAGAATATACTGTATAACAGTATATTGCAAAAAAGTGTAGTTTGAGGCCAAGATTTTTAATATGATAAAAAAATGACTTGATTTTTTATAATACCTAATAATATATATATATTTTTATAATAGCTATTTATTATAGATTCTTAAACCACCATATGTACATTTTCATGCTAAAAATAGGCTTATTATATACTTTTTTTTTTTTTTTCATCCTGACTGTGAACATCCTTGCATCTTCACAAACGTAACTCTTATTTGACCTGAGGGGGGCCTACTTGTTCCTGCTTGTTTCCATCTAAATGTTGTTCCTTTGGCTGTAATATTCCACAGTATGGCATAAAATGTATTTATCTTCATGGAGAATGTTCTGAAGTAACAGAACAAGGTTTTAACTTTCTATTTCCATGGAATCATACAGATAACATGCCACTTCCAGAAAGTTACATACTATATACTATTACTTTAATGTACAGTGGAAAATGTATTACTTTTATCACTACATAAGATTCTCTGAAGCACTTACCGATATCTTTGTCTATGCCTATAATATATTTATCATAGATGTGTAATGGTAAAAATAACAGTCATAGCAATATTTGTACTAAATAGGCTACGAAGCTCTTGGGACAATGTTAGACAGTACCTTACTATAGTCCACAGTCCCTTGTTTGCTAAAACTAAACCACTGCATATGTCCTTGTTTGTAGATCTCAAACCGTTTTGCTCACAGACCCTCCATTCCAGCCATGTTCTTGTGTGTAGCAGGTCAAGTTGAGGGTTCAAAGCCAGTATTTACATAGATTAATAGGTGTTTGGGGTGGCGTAGGTGGCGGAGATGTGATCAGGTGAACTCTGACCCCATTTGGACGGCTCCTTTTCTCCTCTGCGGTCCAATCTCTCATCTCGATCTCTCCAAATGTCAGCACCCCCGTCACCCTTCCTTCACTCCGCAACTCTGATCTGAAAACCACCAAAAAGAACAAAGCATAAAGGACACATTCTGAATATATTAGCAACATCTGCATATGAATTTTATTAAGGTTGAAATATAACTTTCAGTCAAATCAGAAATGAAATTTGAATGGTCATAGGTAATACAATGGGGTCGTATTCTGTGGAAAAGCTGCTAATTGTATAGTTTAGTTATAGATTATATAGTTTTATAGTTATAGTTCAGACGTCTACAGACGTGTGCCGAAATATATGGGATTATTGTATTAGTTTAGGTAGCAGTTCATATTTCAGTCCTCTCTGAATTTTAATTAAATTTGATTTGCAAATAGAGATGGGTTATGTTGACAAAATGGAATAACCCAATATTTTTTTAATTTGAATTTTTGCAATCTATGACATGTTGAATTGAGACTGAAAAGTAAATGGATTTTAAAATTAAACATATGTACAGAAATGTGTTTATTTTTTATTTTATTTTATTTATTTATTTGCTTTTTATAGTTTTCTGTGTACACTGTGATTTAAACCTAGATTGAAACGATAAAATCAACTCCAACATTGGTCAATTTCATATTTTCACTGTCAAAATCCAAGCGACCTGTTTATCAACTTGGCATTTTTCCAGCAGTCGTTCTACTTACCTTTGTCATGTGTACAGGTTTAAACTGCTATTGGAGCACTGGCCATGAGGTTCTCCTTTTCTGTGTAATGAAAAGCTCAGAGCGTGTATTGACAACACCTCTCCCCTGTCTGCAGCTCGATGCCTAACACGATTTAAACCCTCTGTATTGATCCCCTTACGATCGCACCCACTCAATACCAGCACACAATCATACAGCCGCCAATACGCATCATGCGCACGTGCTCAGTGGGGCCAAGGCAGGGCGAGTATTCAGCTCTGAAGGGGTTAATGTGGGAATACATGATTAATAAGAGAGGGGTGGTTAGTGATTTTTTTTTTTTTTTTTTAATATAAGGATTCATTTGGTGCTCAGATATAACAAGTCTAATTGAACTTAATGTAATATATTAAAAAAGACCTATGCTTGTGTCCACTATAGAGTTATAATCTATGACACCCATGGATTGATTATATGTTATAATTTGGGCATTTTAATATTGTAGTATTCATCTAAAACAGCTTAATTAAAAGAAACAAGTTTGCTGACTTCAGGGTTAGAAACTGTAGTGCTAGTGGGAGCTGATGTTGCTGTAAACATCATCACAACAAAGAGTCACACAGTTCTCACCCCTCCTATGGTAGCTGGAAATCTATTAACTAGTAGGATTTTTTTTATTTGTGTTAAAATTACACAACTCTGCCAAATCCCACTCATTAACAAAATAAAATTGGAGAACAAAGTAAGTATACCGCAGCGAGTGTGTACTACTGGCGGTGAAAACGGGTTGATCTGGGCAATGACTTGAAAAGAGGAGTATAAAGATTACTCAAACATGCATGAATCACTCTAAATACAACTTGGTTAAAAGAAAAAAAAAATATTTTGCAGAATACTGATAAATGTGTGGCCAGTTATATGTTTTTCCACAAAACCTAGAACCTGATTAAACTTACTAATATGTACAAATTATATTCATGTTTTTCTTACACAGCAAATGCTTAGACAGAATGGGTGATGAGTGATGAAAATCTAGCACCGTTGCCATAGCAAATAGCAATTCAAAACAAAATGTTGTATCTTTTTAATGGGCAAAAGTCCTCAAGATATCACTTATGAACAGGAAACTTAAACCAATGAAAAATGGTACAGTCTACAGTGCTGTAGTACTCCATAGGCTCCAGTGTGTGAAGTTTCTGATGCAGGCTTCCATTCACCAGAGGACACACTACAATGAGGAGCTTCCCTTTAGCTCTCTGTGTATTCACACGGCTAAATTTAGACTCTTATTATGTTAGCTGTGCCAGAAGTGGGTTACTGGGCTGCCTCCTCTCTCTCCTCCTCATCCTCTATTCCCTCTCCTCTTGTTTTGTAACTCTCTTTCCCCCTCTCTTTCTCTCTATTTTTCTTTTCACCTCTTCTCTCTTTCTTTCTATGTATCCTTTCCTTCTCTCACCCCTTTCTCTCTTTCCCCTCTTCCCCTATTTCTTTTCCCTCTTTTCTCTCTATCTCATTATATCTCTCTCTTTCTCTCTGTCTCTTCTCTTATCTCTCCTCTCCCTCCTTTTACTCTGTCTCCTCTCTTACCCCTTCTCCATGTTTTCTCTCTCTTTCTTCTATCGCCTACCTCTTCTATCTTTTTCTCTCCTCTTTTTCATTTCCTGTCACTCATTTCTCTCACTCTCTCATTTCTTGTTATGTCCTTCCTCTCCCCCCCCCCCTTTCCTTATTTCCCTCTCTCTTTTCTCTCCTCTATCTTTTCCCTTCCTTTCCCTATCCCCCTTTTCCCCTAGTTTGTATTTGTCCTTTGTATCTTTTTCTCTCTCCTCTTTTTAATTCTTATCTCTCTCACCCTCATCTCTCACCCCCTCCTCTCTCTCTCTCTCTCTCTCTCTCTAATTCCCCTCTTCTCCTATTTTTTTTCTTTCTTTTCTTTTTTGCCCCCCTTCTCTCTCTGTCTCTCCTCTCTGTCTAGTACTAGTGTGTATATGTGCTGATAATGCAGCAGGGGCAGCAGACATTGTGTGAAGTGCAGTGTGAGCAGATCTACTGTCCTGTGTGTCAATGTGAGGTTGATGCACTGTGGACTGTACCGCTCTGCCCCCTTCTGGACACCTTGGGGACTGCACACTGTTACTGGCTGTGTTTACATGCACAAAAAATCTCAGTAGTGTTGTCATGATAATTTCAAGATCAGTTTCATTACTAAGAAATAGACTCAATACTCAATAGGGATTCCGATACCAAAAAAACAAAAACAGTCTTTATTTAGACCATAGATTGAAACTTTCCACATTAAATCGTAGTACTACCTTTATATTACTGTGCTGATTTATATCTGTGTAATCTCTCAGTTGTCCAGATATGTTCTATGTGAGTAATCTGATTTCTTTCTGATTGTTCACACCTCTACAGGCTTTTGATATGTAAAACATATGTAAAATATGTGTCAGATAACACATATTACACACATAACACATAAAGATTTGAAGTTAAAATGATATTATATATATATATATATATATATATATATATATATATATATATATATATATATATATATATATATATATATATATATATATATATATAATATATATACATATATATATATATACAGCAGTTACATTTACATATGCTTTTTGTGAATGAATCCCACTAAAGTCCTTCTCTGTCTGTCTGTCTCTCAGGTTCTATATAGAGAGTATCTCCTACCTGAAGGACAATGCAACCATCGAGCTGTTTTTCCTCAACGCCAAGAACATCATTTATAAGGTAGTCACTTAGGATTAGTATTCATATTTTGTCAAAACAATGAAATAAACCTTGCAACTGGTTAACAATGATAGTTGATAGTGAAGTTGTAGTCACTGTTACTGTCAGTAGGTGGCGCATTAAACTTGGGTATGCAGAACATAAACAAATGGTGCATACTTTGTATTCCCATATAAAAGGGCCATTTTATTCTTCTTTTCATTGTTTAAGAAAAAAAAAACATTTCCTTAGAAACATATTAACATATTATAGTACGTACAATACAGAGAGATATGAGTAATATTACATTTTAATACTATTACATGTATTTAATATTGTGCTATGTCTGGTATACAATAATAAAGCACAACCTGTTTTAAAACAAAGACAGTCAGTCATACAGTATCTTCTCATTTATAACACACACACACACACACACACACACGTAAACCAGTCTCCTGTACCTGTGTTGGTAGAGCGTAGCAGACAGTGTGTTCACAGTGGGTGGTACAGGGCTGAGTGGGGTTTTCTCTGAGCAGACTTTGATCCTATGTCTGATCTCCAGGTCAATTATGATTCTATGGACCACATTCCTCACATACCTGACCTACTCCTCTGCCCACCTACCCACACACACTCACACACACCCCTCACCCCCCTCACCCTTTTCACCCCTCCAGAACAAGCGATCTCACTTATAGGGCCTATAGAAAAACATTACAGCCATAACAACTTTCATTTGAAAGTATTGTCTTTAGGTTCATGCAAAGGTAGGAACTTTCTATAAACAAGTATGGTATGAGTTAAAAATTATTAAGAGTGATTCATTAATTCAAGAGTATTTTAACATTTTGACTGTTTTCAGTTTTGTTTTCTTACCATGTGTAAGTTATAAAAAGTTATCTCAATTTTATCTCAATGTTTGTTTTTTTGTTTTTTTATTATTTTGCTGTCAGGAGAAAAAATGAAAAACAGTTCAGTTACAATAGAATAATAAAGTCTCAACAAGTAAAAAACACTCAAATAAAAAATATATATTAAGAAATTGCCTAATGTTTTTGAAATTTCTATTGCAATCTGATTTTTATGTTTGTCTAATGTTTATCTCTAACATTCTTTATTTCTTTCTTATAGGAACTCATTGAAGTAGAAAGTGAAGTCGTCTTTGAACTGGCTTCTTATATTCTACAAGTAAGGGCACATATGATATCTGTGAGCATAAATCATACAGTTGTTTTGGTCAGAATATATATTAGTTTAAAATGTCATTATCAGCCTCATGTATTCCCAAGGTTTTCTTTCAGTATTTTTGAGTGGTTTGGAGATTGCATTCCACATAGTTAATCCTTAGAGCTTTCTGTGCATTAACGTTAACAGCCTAGAGAGACCTTGACTCCCAGACTATATATCTGATCATATAAATGTGTTTTTCCTTGCTGTGTTTCAGGAGGCCAAAGGAGATTTCACTAGGTAAGCCTTATTTCCCATAGCATTTTATTTTATCTATACAAAAAAGAGGATCATGATTCAAAACTAGAGTAAAGTAAAGGTGTTGTTTGTTAATTGCTGATAGAGCTTTGTTTAAAAAAACAACATATTAAAGAGGAAAATATCAGTAAAATCATGTAATTGCCAGCATACTTGCATACACATAAGGTGAAGTCACACTAAGATCTTGCTTCCAAATGTGTTGCTGTTATCACATTTTCTTATTGGAGCTTTTTAACAGAAATACACTTCTCACAGGTTGTTGTTTAGGTGTTTAAAGTCATTATGGATATTGCAGGTATAATATAATTTAATGTTCTTAAAACATCAGTCAATTAATTGTTCTAGTCTGTAGCTCTGTAATGAAATTGATTTTCATTTAATTTGCTTCAAAGGAGCTCAACAGTTACGACCCACCCCATGGCATTATTTTTTATAGACTTTCCGGGGAAAAAAATTTAAAGTTTGAAATCTTGCTCAGGGCTAATCACCTATGTGGTAACTAATGAGCACAAGACTTTGAATTTTATTTAAAATCTGTTTCTCAAACTTTATAAACCGCAGTGTTATTACAGCATTTTGTACAATCTTGCATTTTAAATTATCTTAAAACAACCGCATTATGGATATTAGTAAGCACATAGCTGGTTAGCCTGGGCGATGTCTTTGAAATCAATATTTGTAATTTTCTAAAAAAAATGAGTGGAAAATTTACTTCTGGAATCAGACCAGGCAGTCACTGTTGAGCTTCATTATGTTAGTTACCCATTTACTTGTTACACAACTGAAACGGAGCACAATTATTGCCACCTGTAAGACCTGAAATACACAATATCATTATTACTGTAGCCTCATGAACAACATATAAACTTACATGCAATTTTTTATATTACACTTAGTTGTCTTCACACAACCTCCATTGTTATTCAAAGATAAAGCTTCCTATTTTGTCTCAGTGAATACCAGTAGAGTCCAGTACACAACCTGTCCCCTAATGCCCCCTTCCCATTGTCCACTGGCCTGATAACATACTACAGCCTCTGAGCTCATTTCCGCCTGCGAGACCAGCAAATATCCTGCTTCGACCAGGAATGTGACACTACCAAGAGACATTCCTCATTCTGACCCTCCCCCCGTCCTCCGACTTCCTTTGCGCCAAAATACTACAATATTCCACAATAGATTTACCCTCCACAGTCCTGCATGTACCTTTAAGTCTTCAACTATGGAAAATGTAATGTACTGATTTGAGGGAATGTGTACTGTTTTTACTTTAGATCAGTTTATTTGATGTGTAAAAAAAAAACATTTACGATATTCAACAATGATCAAGCATTCTTTACATTTGTTAAAAAATTTATTGTGATATACTACTATATAATCAGTCACAATTTGGTATAAAATTAACACCATAAACTGCAAATATCAATAAAATATTTGACATTTTAGCAATTTTAGCAAAGTTATTTGCAGGGGGCTAGATAAATAAAACTGAATTTAAAGGATTAAGATTAAGATCATTTTGTCCATGTTTGTGAGCTCTAAGTAACTAGAGAGCTATTTTACTACTACAACTACAGTACTGCATTTAAGTATGATCCTACAAACATTATTTTGTAATTGCCTCATAAATTTTTTTATATTTCAATACATTTTAGCTAGTTTGTGACAATTTTAGAAGTACCAGTAGCACCTTTATGAGTAGTAACGGAAACAGTAGTAGTAGTAGTAGTAGTAGTAATGTTGCTCGTGGTATTAATGTTTATAGCAATAGTTGTGGTTGTAGAAAAAAAAAAAGTTGAGTAAGGTTTACTGTACTGTAACTGAAGAGTGCCATTACACATTTATTCATCTAGTCCAAGTTTATCTGTATAGCACATTTTATTTAAAAATTTCCAAAGAGCTGCACATGATAGCAATGTAAAACTAACATTTAACATATTTCAAACAAATAAATGAAAACTGTACATAGAAGATCAAAAGATTTAAAACAATTCCACATTTTTTCTGTCTCCACATGTTTTAAAGAACTACAAACGTTCCTATTTTCTGCTCCTCTTGCATGTTTATTTTTCCCTTTCAGCCCACCGCGTTTCTGTTAAATAATAGTAACTGTCTATTTATACATGACACACATTGCCTGTTCCAGCTCATTCACCTACAGCAGAGAAGTCCAGTCTGTTTTTGCACTTATGAGTCTGAGCATGACTTGTGGTTTGTTGTTTCCAGTAATGATGCAACACGGGCGGACCTGAAAAAGCTCCCTGCCCTGCCCACCCAGGCCCTCAAGGAGCACCCCTCTCTAGCATACTGGTGAGGAGCCTTCATCACTCAGTACCTTTACATACATGCCAGGAAAAACAGATAAGTGGCCTAGTCCAATTTAAACCCATGTATCAAAATGCACATGAATTTGGGAACTACAGTTGTGGTGTCGTGAATCGAATCTCAAAGATCCCAATAACACATCTGGAGAATCTGATATGCACTCAGATAGCTGTTGCATATAACCATGCAGTCCATTTTATATTGGGTGCAGGTTAGGAGAGGCATTCAACTGCACAGGGTAAGAAACAGCTAGGAATATATTTGGATTTGTATGTACTCCGTTCCATTTGGACTAGCATGTGTTTCTTCATTGTTTTGGTGCAGTATAGAAGGATAACATGGTATTACACTTATATACACTTATATACACTTATACACATATCTCCATGGAGCCATGCAGGTACCTCCAGGCCAAGTTACAGATCAGATCTGTGGAGCGATGACGTTGGGTATTTTCCTTCTTTTTTTTTTTTTTTAAACATGCTACCTCCCTATTGTTACAACAGTGCTTACACAAGTTCAAGTATTATTTATTCACTGTAAGGCACTGGTGTATTTCATCAATTGAAATTGACAGAAGATTTCCATAAGTGGCAAGAATGAAGTTGCAGTAAGGTTTCTATAAATGCCCTGACTAGCATGTAGTGTGATCCTACTTGTCATATTTCACACTATATTCTTAGTGTGAAATAACTGTTATTTGGCTGCCATGAGAAAGTACAACAGATTATGGTTTATGTATTGCTATTATTATTCCGCCAAAACAAAACAACTTTCCCAGAGATTTATATCTCTGGGAGTTGTTTTGTTTTGGCAGAAAGGTATATTATTTTAGTCTGAAATGGCTCATATTTCACCAGTATTGTTACGTCCCTATTTCACATGTATTTAACTCCCTACAGTGAGGACCGAGTCATCGAGCATTATAAGAAGCTGAATGGACAGTCCAGGGGGCAGGCCATAGTAAAGTAAGTACATGTGTGATGTGACATTATAATAGGAAGGATCTGGTCCTATTACTTACATGTCTGTGTGCTCCTCACAGTTACATGAGTATCGTGGAGTCCCTGCCCACATATGGAGTACATTACTATGCTGTAAAGGTGTGGCTTATTTCTGCTTTTTCAATTACATATTCAAAGTTCTACCTCCTGTCCTATGGATTTGGGGATTTATTTTGTATGATCGGGGGATTTGTTTTGTATGATTAGGTAAGACTACACTGTACAAATCCATTTAAATGATGAGTTAGTTAAAGTTAAAATTATGGTAAAATGTAAAATGTAATTGTGCACTTAAAAGTACACTTATCAGAGACACACTATGCAGAATATATAAGCTTTTTTACCTTATCATTGGTCCCTCATCATTAGCTTAGCCATTGTTTAATCAATTGATTCATGCATGTTCAAGTAACTCTGAACAGTATTTTCCTGCTATTCAGAAGAAAATCGTTGTTTTCGTCTACTCCCTATCTCCACCCACTATGACTAAATGGGGGAAAAAAACTTAATATATGCTTGAAAGTCATAATAATTGCAGTAATTCTTTGTGACAATATTTTTTATAGTTACATTATGTATTGTTGACAGTTTTGTTGTTGTTGAATCAGGACAAGCAAGGCATCCCATGGTGGCTGGGCTTAAGCTATAAGGGCATCTTCCAGTATGACTACCAGGACAAAGTTAAACCCAGGAAGGTAAGAATCTGCTCTCAGTCTGGAGTTTCATTCAAAACGTTTGTTATTTTATTGTTTTTTAGCTGTATGAATTACCTGTTCTTAAAATTACTAGCTTTACTAGAGGTAGAAAGTGGAACCAAGATCACAGAATTTACACTCTGCATCTTCAGTTGAAACCAGTACAGGCTTCTATGAGTTTCCATCAAAGGGTGATGAAATATTAGCAGTATTCCCATAGCAATTGACATTTCAAAACAAACTTATTTCTTTATATCTTTTGAATACTGAAAAGTGCTCACAACTGTGCCAATACATGGGTTTCAGGATGACGAAAACATAGTATATCTTTTGAAATGTATAAAGTCCTCAAAATATATAGAAATATATTTATAGAAAGCTGAAACCCATGAATATACAAGAAAAAAAAAATCCAGGAATACCCATGCTGCTAATTTCTCATCTCAAAATGTTTCAGTGTTCATTTTTTCCAGTAGAGAGCAGCATGACAGATAATCCAGCATTCTCTAAAACTAAACTAAAACTAAAATACTACTGAAGGTGCTTTACAAGGACATAATTTCTTCACTACATTATTTCAAATTAGAAAACATCAAATACTTATTATTTAGGTATTTTAATTATTATTGAAGTATTTTTAAACATCATAAAAATCCTATATTTGGAAAACAAGAATGCAAGATGACTTTCCTTGTTTCCCATGTAAACTGAACAGACCAGTCCATGTGCAGGTGTCTCTGTATTGGAATGTGTAGCGTTGCGGTGGCATGCATGTAAACCCCATACTTTCAGTCCTTGCTCCCTAAAGTTCATTTCCACTGACCTGTGACCCCCTGATGTATGACCTCTGCCTGTGTGTAAAGTTGTGCGCTGTGGCATTTGGACTTGTCTTAAAGAGTGTTTATAGACTGCATCCCTTGGCACTTGCACATCCATAACCTTGGTGCCAGTAAAAGAGCAGAATGTTCTTTAAACTCAACTTCCTGGTGCTCACTTCCTGTCAGGCTGTAGACTTCCTGTTTGTAAGCACAGTGCTCAGAGTGGGACTGGATAAGTGTAATCCAGAACATCTATAGTACAAGGTCAGATGGCACTCTAGTTTTTGTAGTTGGAATTGTGGCTTTATTGGACACATTTTAAAGATGCTGTGCCTGATTTTACAGTCTCAAAAACATGAAAAAAACAGAAATGGTTTATTTTAAATGGTTTGCGGCAGTCCAAAGGTATTCCTCACTTACCTTACCTGTAATTATTAAGTTTTATTGATGTTTGCTCACTTACTCAAAACTTGTCAGTTCCATCCTTGTTATTGGCAATCCATACTTTTATTGTAAGAACTTTGGAAATGACAGAATCTTAATCTAAAATAAAACGACAGAATCTTAAACCAAAATTTTATCAGTTGCACTAACACTAGTGACTAACCAAGCATATCTCAACCTATGTGTCATTGATCTGGCTTTTATTAGCTCTAATCCCCATGTTCCTCTCTCACTTCATTCAGACAAGGCCTGCAGTTTTCTTAGATGTTTTAGTTTGGCCAGAGGAAGCAGCTCACCTTGCAGTAATCAGCCGGTGTCCTGTTAGTCACAAAGAAAAAGGAAGACAGTTTGAAGATTATAAAATGATTCAGGGTCACTTTGAGTCATCATTTGTATGTCATCTGTATTAGTCATTAAGGTGGAGACAAAATGCTAAAGATTAGACATCTTGGAACATTTAACAAATTTGTCTTTCTTGTAAAATGTTTTATAGCAAGTTTCAAGTAAACAAAGATACAATACATTTGTTTGGGTAACTTTTTGAATGAATTGTACAGTTGAGATGATTCATTTTACTCCCTGAAATTTGGAAATTATTATATTTTCAGCTATTGCTTTGGCCAAATAGGTTGCCTCATTATTAAAAGGCATCTGATTTTAACCAATAAGTTACATGTTATATGTTTTTAAAGGGGTATTTTTTTTATTAACTGGGATGGTTAGATTATTTTGTTTTACTAAAGCATTAAAGGTAAGCATGTAACTTTCTGGAGGTGTTAAAACCATACATGGAGATAGATATGCTTTATACCTCCCACCTCTAGGCAAAATAAGAGTCAGGTTTGTGGAGATGCAAGCCCACTCACAGCAACACTTGTTTCTATTTTTTGGCTAATTGTGGCTTTTACAGAAATTTAATATTTACGAAACTCAACTTTCACTTCATTATTTCCATGACAACTTTATTTTAAAACCCTAAATTACTATTATTAATTCACATAGTAGTTTTGGGTGGCCATAGTAGCTAGGTGTGTCACATGGTTAAGTAGTGTATTAAAAGTCCAAGGCTGCTCCATGCTGTTTAAATGTAGTCCTCACTCAGTCGTAGTGTTCAAATACCTCCCCTCTGCTCCAGACCACATGCTCATTTGTGGCGTGGGCTTTACAGGGAAGCCACACAGGATTTTAATGGCTTGTTAGTGGCTTTCAGAGCCACATTATTGGGACTGTGTTGTTGACTGACTAACTTAAAGTAGACATGACGCTAAATTGACTTTGAGATTTTACACATCAAAATAATACTTTGGAAATTTTCAGTTTCATTCATGCATTTTGTAATATTTTGTATTTGATGAGGTCGTCTTCTGAGCAGACATAAACACTTGGTTTCAACTTACACAAGTAATTTGAACCAGGTGAGTGTACAGTCATCTTCACCATTACAGGTTTGATCATTCCAGTGCTTACATTTCTGTCTTTCAATATTAAACATGTATCTGTTCACATCATGTATTTTTATAATATTTGAATTAAGACTGTCTTAGCTCTAAAGCCACAACATGTACATTTTAGCCAAACAAGAGATAGGCATTTTAGTTTTGGTTGTTTACTGCACTGAAACATATCATTTTACTGTGAGTGGGGTTGCATCTCCACAAACCTGACTCTTGTTTGGTCTGGAGGAAGGACTTCTTCTGCTTGTTTCCATGGAAATGTTGTTCCTTTGGGATTCCTGAGGGATTACACAAACTTCCTTTGGTTATAATATTCCACAGTATGGCATATTACCTTTCTGTCTTCATGGAGAATGTTCCAAAATATCGTTTTAACTTTCCATGGAATCATGCAGGTGTCATGTTATTGCCATAAAGTTACACACTCGACTTTCTGGACATAGTGTTATCACAATAATGGACATGGCTGAGGCAATATTATGTATGTGTTAGAATATCTCCGTTCATAAAACCAAACCCAAAAACTTACATGTAGACCTCCAAATGTCATTGTTTGATATTTCTCTACCTTAATCATTGTTGGAGCACAAACAACAGGAAGTCCCCCTGGCGCAGCTCCGTGACTGGGCTGGCGTAGTGCAGGCCTCCACCCAAAAGTCAAAACAATGCTGTCTGCTCCCCCATGCCCAAATCCAGCACTTTCACTGATATAGTGTTTTATTCTTACCACAGTCCCCAGAGCCCTCCCACCCTCTGTCTGCGACACATGTGACCTTTTTAGATGTGTGCTAAGACTTATGGGAAATTATTGCGGCAATCTATTTAAAGTTGGTGTATTTTGGGTCCGTATGTCCAGTCGTTTAGCAGAGTAAACAAAACACACTGCCGGTGGTAAGGAGAAGATGGAGAGGCTGAGGAGGTTGATGGTACTGCTGCTGTGGTTGAGATGAGACGAAGGATGGGTCTTTAGCAGAGATGAATGGACATACCTTTGCCTATGTGTATATACTTTTTAATTACAATAATAAAAAAAAATACCAATTGCTGATTGAAAATGAAAGGTTATGTACACTTTTTTCAATGCAATAATATAAAATTAGTTTTGCCCCAGTACAGATATATTTTAAAAAGCAGCTCTTATGGGTCAAAATATTTGGTCTAATTATAGTGTTTTATCCTCTGCCAACTAGGAAGTAAAGTCCTGTTAGCATGCTAGTTGTTTTTAGTAGACATCAGAAAATTGTGCTTATAAACTGAATAATTAGGATCCTAAGAAAATATGTTTTACAAGACAGCACATTTAACAGTGAAAGAGAGTTGCAGACTGTATACATTTTCAAACAAAGGAGATATTTCTGAATTTGCTTAATTTTGACTTTTGTACTTGAATCTCAATCAAGATTCACCTTTGTGATATGGCATAATTTAGGGCATGATGGACTGTACTATTGAAAATAAGAAAATGTATGAAAATGTCAGTTTTCAGCAGTAGTTCCTTGTCTATGTCCGGTTTCAATTTAAACTCAAGCTTCATTTGTAGGTCATAGATTATGATTTGAACTGTCTGTACAGGTGGACAGCTTCAGTGGTCCCGTGCCTGAATGTAGTTAAGCAGAATCAGCTTTACAATCTCCTACTCCTTATCTAGCCCGCTTGATATTTTTAGCACCACGCTACATTAGCATTTCACACCCCATTGAGAATACGTACGCCACGGCTAGCAGCTTTGATAGCAGCCCTCTCATTTGTCTTAGCCTGTCACACAAACAAACGTAGTCGGAGCAGTATTTTTAGTCATCTCCAGCTGATGTGTTGGAAATAGCACTTACTCCTTTTTTAGTTAGAATGCATAGGCTAGGCATGGTACAATACTGACATACTAAAATACTGCTCATGCCATTCCTGTAATATGAGCTGGCGGCACTTAAACACCGAAGGACACATTGATAGAATTTCTTGTCTGTAATTGAACCATTCACACACAGACTAGAATATATCTTCAAAGAGATATTATGAATCACCACCAAACCTTCACTCACTCACAACATTTATTCTAGGCAATGTGGGGAGGTGTCTTTCTCTGTTGTTTTAATGTCCGTGTACATTTACTAGACTGAGTGTACATTTACTAGACTGTTAGCATCTTTTTGGCAATAGCCTGGCTGCTATTTTTACCTTCAAAACAATATACTTTGCTATAAGAATTCAAGCATTCTCTATAAAATTTGAAGCACATTTCCATACATATGCATAATTAGGATAAGAAAATACATACATGTTCCAGTGTAAGCTATATAATATTTGTTTATTTGAGAAGGAAAAGCATCTAGCTGTTAGCATCATGTTGACAAATGAGTTTTTGATTGGGATCACACCTCATAGAATTTTCAAATAGATGTTTAGCCAATGTAGATTTCAGTATGCTAAAAAGGATTACTAGCCTTCTTGTTTATTCATATGGTTTTTGTTTATATTTACCACTCGTGGAACAGTAGTGTATGGGGTTGTTCCGCTAAGCTTTTGTTTACGTTGAGCTTGGTTTTGCCTAATGTACGTCAAAGAGTTTTCCACTACTGCAACAAACATGGTGGATTTCCATGATAAACGACATTTTTGATGTTCTGTTCTAAGCTATTTAGCCTTTTTGCTAGTTTTCCCTTCAACGCAACATTTTTTGCTCTCAAGAATTTAATAAAAATAAAAATGTAAGCACTTTTTCCATACATATACATTATTTTAGGCTATCCAGTGTTCTTCCAAAGTAGGCTATACAATTACAATCACAGCATTACAGCTAGAGAAATTAAATTGAACACATGTTTTATTACAATATGTGAAAGACATTGTTGCCTTTACTTTTTACAACGTATAACTACCATAGACTATATATTTCCCATTTGCAATTTCATACTATCACAATCTTACACCATTCTAAACTCAACTCAAGCGTACTTCAAATAGCCCACCCCATAAAAACAAAAACTTTCTTCTTCTTGACCCTTCCTACACCCACACCTCCAGACCACAGCGGCCCGAGCAGGAAGCATGTCCCCCCAGGAAAGAGGAGGGGTCACCGGGTAGGGGAGGCACCGGGCTGACCCCCCCCTACTCTCCTCTCTCCTCTCCTCTCTACATTCTCCTTTCTCTCAGTGCCTAACAAAGCTACGACAGGAAACCTAACTTTTACACACATGGACACAGATGGTCAACACCCAACGCTAGCTCACTACTTTTCCTTTAAGCCCGGGTGGAATTTCACTAGCTAAATCGCCGGGAAAAACTTAGCTTGCTTTTGGGATTTGTTAAGTTGATGATTCGTGAAAAGGACAGTTTAAAAAAACGGAAATTCTATCTTTTTTGCTCACTCATCTGAAACCGTTTAAAGCAAATCGTGGATGGGAGCAGCGGCTGAGTGCATTTGATTGGAGAGTTCTGCAGATTTAAGAATTTGTGTGTCTCTCAGGTGTTTCAATGGCGGCAGTTGGAGAACCTCTACTTCAGAGAAAAGAAGTTTTCTGTGGAAGTTCATGACCCCAGGAGGTACGTTCACACTTCATCACAATTATAATCGTGTGTGTGTGGTGGGTTTTTATTTGAGACCAGTTTTAGTCTTGGTTTAGTCCAGCTTTACTTTAGATTAGAGTTGTCAAAAGTATAAAACTAGTCTCAAAACTAGATACTAATTTGAGCAGGTATCAATACTAAAAATGTCACATTCACAGGACAAAAACTAACTTTTTCTGAACAGAATGATCTTGAGCTTTATCAGAATAATGGAACCTACCTGGGTGATTACACAGGGATTTCAATTTGTTTTTGTAATAAAAAAAAAAAAGAAAGTGCTATAATTTTATGTAGAAAATCACATTCTATTGTCTAAATAAGTGCATTTAAGATTATCATTGTGGTATCGGAAGTGATGTTGAATATTGAATCTATTCCTTAAATCCAGTTTGAAATTTCAATATGGTGACTGTACTACTTTAAATGTTGTTTATGTCCTGCTGTGGAAACTGAAGTTCTGTGGTGGTACAGGGTTAGAAAGCTTAGAAATCACCGTCGAGAATCTTTCCCACACGGCCAGTTTGTGTTGCAATTAGAGTTGTTAAAAAGTTGATACCCTGATGCTAATTGAGGCTAAAATTAGTATTAAAACTTGATACTTATTTGAATATGTATCAAGAAAACTCAAATAAATAAAACAAAATTTGACCAGTTTTAGAATGCTGAGCAATATTAAAATTTCAAACTCAATTTTGAAGTAGGAAGGAATAGATTTGATACTTGATACTGAGTCCGATACCACAATGAAATAAAAAAGAAAAAAAGAATAAAAAAACACCCTCTCTTTAAACAATAGAATTTGGTTTTCTGCATTAAATCATACTTTCTGTTACATTACCATGCATCTGCGTAATCTCTCTGTCACCCAAGTAGGTTCCTCAGTGGTCCATGGGTGTATACTAGTATGTGGTCTTATACTTATTTTGATACAGCTCAAAATCATTCTAATGCTATTCAAGAAAGGTTTATGTCTATCCTGTGAATGTGACTTTTTTAGCATTGATTCCTGCTCAAATGAATGTCTAGTTTCAGTACTAGTTTTAGTATCAATTAGTATCAGATTTTTGATACTTTTGACAACCCTACTTATGACTCATGTCTGGATTCACAAGCAGCCACCTCACAGTTTTACAGAAATTGTTGCTTGTCAAACAGATAAACAGACTAGATAGATAAATTGTGCCTTTCCAATGGGACATATTATTAGCATGTCCCAGTGAAGCCTAAAATAAGCTACCTCCAGGAATAACACATGTTAACTGCCCCTAAGGATCTATGGATCACTGACTTGTCTCATGTTGTTTTAGCTTTAGCCATACGTCAGTGTTTTCTGTAGGAAGAAAGAGTGACAGGGACAAAGCATAGAGCAGCAGTGTTTTCTCCAAAGGAAGCTGTCATCCTGTTAGTGGGAAGGTTGCCACAGCGACAGATGTAAACAATGGGAACTTCGTGTGTGGCGAGTGTAAAGTGTGCTATCAGCCTGAGCCGCAGCAGTTGTTTCATTTACAAAGTGGTGATGGGGAGAGCTCAACAGTGCTAGTGGCAAAAGTGGTCATGTTTTGAAATCATGTGGGTCTTATGATGTTGGCATTGGTCTCTTCTTATGGCTTAAATTGTGATGTCAGGAGATCAGGAGAGTTGGTGATGATTCTACTGCTGCGGTGGTGATGGAGGTTTTGGCACATTTCTAAAATGGCAGGAAGTTGCGTAAATTGGTGCAAATTCTTAAATATCCAAGATATGAAATATTGGCAACAAGTTAAATTAAAACAACTGGACATACTTCCTGAAGTACATTTCACGTTAATGATTTTCATACACTTTTTGAAAACTTTAAATAGAAAAAAATAAAAGCATGGCGGAGATTAGCCTCAGCTAAATGTCTTTTAACTTTGCCATTTAGTTTAATTGAAAATCATTATTCATTTCATTATAAATCTAATTATGTGTATTAAGCCCATTAGTTAGCACAAAGTTTGAAAATGTACTTTTCATGCAGTATTTACCTGCAAATGATATCCTATACATTGACGTATCTGTAGTAAATGCCTAATTTTACTAATGTGGTTCCTCAGTCGTGCGTCGGTGACCCGCAGAACGTTCGGCCACAGTGGCATCGCGGTGCACACCTGGTACGCCTGCCCCGCCCTCATCAAGTCTATCTGGGCCATGGCCATCAGCCAGCACCAGTTCTATTTGGACCGCAAGCAGAGCAAGGTTAGTGTGGGAAAACCTCACTCGTGTGTCCTGTTAAAGGGGCACTATGTCACTTTTCTGGTGTAGTATGTGCCACCTGCTTGTCTCCATGAGAATGCTATTGTCTGAACTATTCCACAGTATTGCAATAAGCATTTCTATATTGCCTTTATCTCATTATGGATGCTATTACCTCTCAAAATACCTTAAAAACAGGCATTCTTACTGTGAGCTGGGTCTCCTCTCCACAGATCTGACCTGTAACTTGGTCTGGTGGCATCATCTGCTTGTCTCCATGGAGATAGGACAGTGGAACAAACAATAACATCTTCATGGAGACAAATCAGCTAATGGACCCTTGTAGAAAAGTTAGATAGAGCACCTTTTACTTCTAACATGCTTTGTTTTTTGGCATGAAGATTATTTTACACCTATTTGTCCCAGTTTCTACACCAAACAATGACATATAAATTACAAGATAATCCCACTATAACTTGATTTGTGTTTATATTTTCACAGTCTAAAATCCACGCAGCACGCAGTTTGAGTGAAATCGCCATAGACCTCACAGAAACCGGAACACTGAAGACGTCCAAACTGGCCAACATGGGCAGTAAGGGCAAGATCATCAGCGGCAGCAGTGGGAGCCTGCTCTCCTCAGGTCAGTCCTTTCAGATACACAAGTACACTACTTCAATACATTCACACATTTATTAATATTCTGTGGCCTGTAACAAACCAGCCACATAGGGATTTGGTACATGGAGATGTCTTGGGACTCAATGGCAATAAGAAATGAAGTAGATATCTTTTGGTCGGTGGTTCAATCAGAGATACACAAAACCGTTTTGGAACTTTTTCGGTTCCAATACCGATTCTGTTAATAGCTTTATAAAAAATAAAATAGGACAGAACTGATTAAAATGTCTTATGTAGCTGTTATTATTCTGTTATACAGAACAACTTTGTGTAAATAAAAATTTAAACATTATGAGACTTTGTGGGCCGACTATGATCAGAATCGTATTCGTCATCGTATTTGTCCGCTGCTCCATTGTCCATTCCAGTTAGCCAAATTTATAAAGACATATAGATTATAAAAAGCCTGAAGTAGCTTAATACAAATTGAAACCATGTAAAATTGTTTTAAAATTATGCTATTTTATTTTAATATTTGTGTTTGCATTATAGACATTGATAGTCATTGATTAATAATTATATAATGTTCCCACACACATACTTGTACATGACCAGTCCCTCCCCAGACCAGACCAGAACCCAGACTCTAAATTTAGCGAGGGGAGGAATGAAAAGGGCAAAGGTGTGTGGATTACTCACTGGCATTTAAACAAGTCTTATCTCAACAATAACAATACGTCTGGGATTTCTGTGTGAACTACAGGGGGTACATGCCATTTAGGAATGTGACAGCTGTGTGAAGGAAGGCTGAAAATGGGCTCAGTGAAGACAATTAAGATGAAAACCAAAAAATTATGTTTCTTAAGATGAATCAGTTTGTGTAAAACATTTTCTTAGACTAATATGGCGCCTCAAGCAAATGTGTTTTAGATTAAAACTGTAGTTCCTGTCAAATCACCTTTATGCGTGTAACTATTTATGTATCTATGTATTTATTTTTGCAAATCATGAAAGCTTACATAATGGCGGCAACACGGTTTTGATAGAAACAAAAGAACTCTTAACAGATAAATTTGTTCCTTGGGAGATAATGAACTCGCTAGCTTTGTCCTTGTCTTCTTTCAGTCTTGATTTTATCTTTCTTACAATAAAAGCTATTTTCTGTCACACTGTGTTACATGTAGAACAATGCAGACTGGAAAATATGTAAGAGGGAGTGCGTTTTCCCTGTCACACATATTACAAACACAGCCGTCTCCATCGTGGGTCTTTGAATGCGCGTCACTCACTTTGTCCTAAACTGGCTTCACAAATCTGGCCCTCACATGTACACTTCAACTGCTTATCTGAACAGGCCATGCACTTCCCTATAAACATCCTGAGAAAGCTGCATATGTTCTGTCTGTGCTGTACTACTGTCACTCACTCATCCTTGTGTATGTGTCTCAGGCTCCCAGGAGTCGGACAGCTCGCAGACAGCTAAGAAGGACATGCTAGCAGCTTTGAGGGCCCGACAGGAGGCGCTAGAGGAGACGCTGAAGCAGAGGATAGAAGAGCTTAAGAGCATCTGCATCAGGGAGGCGGTAAGCTGAAGTATTATGTAACACTGGGTCACAACCATTTTGATTTATAGATTCATTTATAGATTCACAAATACTGGGAAGAATACTTTCACTGTTTACCACTCATATTAGTTGTTACAACGACAGTAATAATGTGAACTCAAGATTAAATATATAGTACACACAATCATTCTGCTTTCTAATTGGATAATTGTCTTGAGAACCAAAACACTACATTAATATAAATGACTTGGAAATCATGTGCAATGTTTTTGTAATTAAGAATAAATCAGCATTACAATTGTTATCAGTAAGAGCAATATTTGATTTGAACATGTTTACCTTTTAAATATGGTTTATTTAACTTCCCTGCTCTTCTGAACTGCTGCAGGAGCTGACAGGGAAGCTTCCTAAAGAGTACCCCCTGGATCCTGGAGAGGAGCCGCCCACAATCCGTCGTAAGATCGGGACTGCCTTCAAACTGGACGAGCAGAAGATTCTACCCAAAGGAGAGGTGAGAAAAACTACTGTATTCACAAGAGTCAATTTTGTTCCATATAGGACCTTTATATTTAACTCTATGTCTAGTTTATTGTGTTTAATATCCAGGTAATTTTAGACCAGGTTTAGCCCTAGCTTAGACCTGGTATAGTCCTGTTAGGGTCTTGATTTGGATCTGGTAGTACTTAGAATGCCATATATTATCTTGATACTTTGTGTGAAGAGGTGATTGTTCTGGCTCTCAATAATATGGCATTAAACCTACCTTGTATTTATTTAATCACAGACATTTTAGTGCATGCATTCTTACTGTCAGCATGACCACCTTTCCACAGATCTGACCTGCAAATTGGCTTGTCTTGATGGAGGTGTAGAAGTTCAATACCAATGTGAAACATTCCAGACAAAAACCATGGAGAGAAGCAAGTGGCAAACTGTCCACCAGAAAAGTTCCATAGTGCACATTTAACCTTAAGACAAAACAACCAAACATGTACCTTTGTTTTCCTGCTCTATCGTACCATCAGACTAGACTGTATTTTGAAATGCACCTAAATATAGATCTGTGCACAGTGCCAGCAGGAAGTGGTGATAGTGGCTGTGCACATGTGTGAGGCTGAGGTTTAGCTCTGACTGAACACAATCCAGAAGACAATTTAACCCCAAAAAAGTGCAGTGTAAGCAGAAAGTCATACACCTCTAAGTCTGCAGCTCCTAAAGACCACCACACAGTAAAACACAGGAAACCAATGCCAAAGAAATGTTTAGTGGGAGAGATTCCAGAGAGCTGACAAGTACTGAAATGTACCAACACAAGTGAATGCATCTTAGTTTTGCCTGGTAGAAAAAGAATTGAAAGCACTGTACCTGATTTTTACTGTCTTAAAAACTCATTTCAAGTGGGTTGCAACTCTTAGAGATGTGTTTTTTTCCCTGCCGTAAAGCTGAAACTTTAAAACAACTACTAGCATGCTAATGTGCACTTCCTGATTATTCAACACTTACATGCTTTCTATTTAGATGGAGACAGCTGACTTATTTTGACCTCAAGAGTTGTTTATACAATATATCTGTCTAATTTTGCATTTTAATGCGTGCAATTTGGGGTGCTTAAATAACCAAAGTGTATCTTTAAAGGTGCACTATATAACTTTTGTGGTCGAGGGTCTGCCAACTGCTTCTCTTGCCTCCAGATGTTATTGCATTGCCTAGAATGTTCCACAATATGGCATTATACCATATATATCTATTACCATGGACACCAAGCTGGTTATGCTACGAGGTCAAGTAACAGGTCAGATCTGTGGCGAAATATCCCCATTTACAGTACTGTTTTTAAAGTATTTTTGAGCAATAAAAGCTCTCATAATTGGATATATGCTAGGTATCTATATTAATGCCATACTGCAGCACATTCCAGGCTTAGAAATAACATGTCAAAACAAGTAGGTCCAGAATTACTGTGGATGTGTTCATTCTAAAGAACCTATAGTTTAAAATCAGTTGTTTTTATCTGGTTGATGATTAATACAATATGTCTGTATTTCCTGGTCCTATCCACATAAAAAGAAGTGTAAAACTTTCTCTGCTGTAGAAGTTTGTAGATCCCATAATGTGTCTTGATAGAGAGAAGTGTCCTGCAGGCAGATGAATGACTTCCGCAGTGTGTTTACTCTGGCAGCGCAGTGTGTGTGTGTGCCTGTGTGTGTGTGTGCCTGTGTGTGTGTGTGTGTGTGTGTGTGTGTGTGTGTGTGTGTGTGTGTGTGTGTGTGTGTGTGTGTGTGTGTGTGTGCGTGCGTGCGTGCGTGCGTGCGTGTGTGCGTATGTGTGTGAGGACATGGGAAAGTTACAGTGCGTCTGTCAAACTAGCTGATTTGTTTGTGGATTTTAAATACTGAACCTCACAGTAGTGACTGTTAAGAATGTAACACAGCAATGTCTATTGTGATCATAATGAGTGTTCTCTAAAAATGCTCTTCAAGTATAAGCTTTAGTGAAACATTAATACAAAAAGTGATGACTTCACCAATTTTCTTTAAGATTGTTAAAGGGGCACTATGCAACTTTTCTGGTGGTGGGTCCACCACCTGCTTGTTTCTATGGTAAAGTTATGGCTTTGTCTAAAGAATGTCTTTAAGAACATGCATATTTACTGTGAACGGGCTTGTCTCTGAATCTGACCTGTAACCTGGCCTAGTGGTATTACCTGCTTGTCTCCAAGCAGAAAATAAGTTTAATGCCACACTGTGGAACATTAGAGACAAAGCAATAACTGCTCCATGGTGACAAGAAGGTGGAAGACCATCCACCAGAAAACCACACCTGCACCTTACGTAAGAATGACATATTTACTGAAGTCAAATCACAGTTTGGTCGTGCTGTAGAAAGACAACAATTGTATCTTAACTTTAACCTGCTTGTGCTATTAACTTTATGCTATTGTAACTTTACTTATCTTCTGAAGGTGAATAAAACACGTTGGTCCTCTACAAGCACACTGAAATGTATATGATTTATGTATTTTCTGCAGTGTGATTAAATCCCAAAAATCTAAAGTAGATTTTCTTTCAAATTAGTTACAAAGTCATATTGCTACACTTTTGCCCATTTTTCTTAGTACAGATATTTTCAGATTCCAGTAATATTTCATGCATGTTTTGTTTGTGCCAGGAGGAGGAGCTGGAACGTCTGGAGAGGGAGTTTGCAATCCAGTCTCAGATCACAGAGGCGGCACGGCGCTTGGCCAGTGACCCTCATGTGAGCAGTAAGAAGCTGAAGAAGCAGAGGAAGACGTCCTACCTGAACGCCCTCAAGAAGCTCCAGGAGATTGAAAACTCCATCAACGAGTACAGGGTCCGCTCGGGCAAGAAGCCAACACAGAGGGCATCACTCATCATAGAAGGTACTACACACTACAGCAAAATTACCTTAGCGTTTATCTGGAACTGCATATGTTGAGAGACTGCTTGACATATTCATTGATTTAGTAATTTTGGCATAATTAAAATTTAAGCGGGTAAATGCAAAAGGAGAAAAAGAAAATGAAAAGTTTAAAGTTAATAGTTTATAGGTGGAACAGGTCTCTGTCCCACTTTTTGATAATGATGGTAATAATGGATCAGATTGGATAGCATCTTTGAATCACCCTAAGAGCTATGCAGTGTATTAACACTCTCCACTCTGTGGTGGTAAACTACTATTGTAGCCACCGCTGCCTTGGGGCAGACTAACAGAAGTGAGGCTGCCAATCTGTGCCACTGGGCCCTCTGAACACCACTTTAATACTATGTAATGTGGGTGAAGTGTGCTCTAACCGCTGAGTCACTGTGATATATTGCATATGGCGAAATTTGTGTTCAGTTTTTAAAACAGTGGATCAAAAATAAAGCAAAACAAAAAAAATATTAAGATGCAATTTAAATGTATCTACAGTTTTTAATTTCAGTGTTTCTTTTTCTTCTACAGAAGCCAATATCGGTTCAGAAGACAGTTCATTATCGGATGCACTTGTCCTGGATGATGGTGAGAATATTTATCTCTTTGGTTCATGTGCTTCAAAAATGCTGCGTAGTTAGGGAAAACAAGTACATGGAAATCTACTCGTTACCGGAAGAGATTGCTTGAGAAGCGAAGGGGGCTGTGATTAGTTTTTTGGGTTTTTTTTGTCTTTAGTTAAATTTTCGTTTACACTTCATTGTACTTAAATCAAATCTCAAAAAAACTAATCTTGTCTTGCTTCCAGATGATCCTCAGGTCACGGGCACCCCTAACTTCTCCCCTCTGGCGTCACCTCACAAGGGCCTGCCCCCCCGGCCGCCCTCCCATAGCCGCCCCCCTCCCCCACAGTCCCTGGACGGGCTTAGGCACCTGCACTACACCCGCTCCGACTACGACAAGTCTCCCATCAAACCCAAGATGTGGAGTGAGTCGTCCCTGGATGAGCCCTACGAGAAGATCAAGAAGCGCTCCTCACACTCCAGGTAGGTTTGCACTAGTGTTCAAAGTGATGCTAGAATAAGCAGTTAGTACACATAAAGAGCTTGTATTTGTGTCCTAGAATTTCCTACAGTTTGGTCCACAAATTTTGAATATTGAACTTGTCAATAGGCATAATAAGCAAAGACATATTTTTGAACGTTTTAATTTGTGGTTTATATGGTATTTTTAATCAGTGGTAGATGGAAAGGGGGAAGACTTAACCGTTTGGAGAGAGAAATCACTACTTTTATTTCATCAAAATGGCACAAAAATATAAATCTTTTGATTTCTGATTATTTGCAGAGCCTGTTTATTGCAACTTTTTATAAACTCAATTCACTCATTCCATCAACTTTCCCTCTACCATATCCGACAGGTCATATTCTATGGAACATGGATCGCGGTTTCAGAGACCATGTCTTCAGTTTTCTGTTGTCCATCCTCATCATGTTCATATTTCCTTTTATTTTGCTGTGTTGTTCCAGTCATAGACGTTTCCCCAGCTCAGGCAGTGCAGAGGGGGGCAGTAGCTCTTTGCAGAACAGCCCTGTCAGAGCCCTGCCCACCTGGAACTGTCAGTCCAGCACCCCCTCCACCCCCGACATGAAAGCCCGGACCCCCCATTATGTACATTCCACAAGGTCAGTCCTGCTCCAACAGTCAACATGGCCTCCATGGTGATCCTGATTTATTTCATGTCATGGTCATGTAGGAACTGCACAGTGCCCTGTAAGACTGCAATGAAAAAAAATCTTCTCCTAGCAACTAATCTTTAGTTTTGTTCCTCATGACTTCCAGGTCGGTGGACATCAGCCCCACCCGTCTGCACAGCCTCGCTCAGCACTTTAGAAACCGCAGCTCCAGTTTGGAGTCCCAGGGCAAACTTCTCACGTCAGACAGTGAGGGCCACCCGCACACCCTGGGCACCCTGGGAAGCCCCGACTTCTTCCTGGGACCACCCCGTACCTCCAACGGCTCCGACCCTCTGGACGATTGCTCGTCCTGCACCAGCCAGAGCAGCTCGGAGCACTACTACCCCTCTGGACCTCTGGGGCCCGGGGGCAACGCCAACTACTCCACCCTGGGAGAGGACTCACCGTCCAAGGCCCGTCAGAGGCAGAGGCAAAGGCACAGGTCAGGCTCAAAGATACGCTCAAATAGTTTTTATTATGGTTAGTCTGTTTATGTCTGCTATAGGAGTAGCTGAAGTAAAAGTATAGTAGGCGTACTTAACTATTATTGTATTAGTATTGTTCAGAATAAAGTGCCTATTACTAAAGTCAATTTAAGCCAAAAAAAAAACCCTCATTGTTTTATCTAACTACATCTATATCTAACTCTATGTAGACCAACTTGACTGTTTATCCTCCCTCAGGTCTGCAGGTCAGCTGGGCTCCTCTAACTCCGGCTCTATGCCTAACCTGGCGGCTAAGAATGGCACAGGGGGAGGCTCAGGTGGAGGAGGCACAGGAGGTGGACACCACGGCGTGTACCTACACAGTCAGAGCCAGCCCTCCTCACAGTACCGCATCAAGGAGTACCCTCTGTATGTGGAGGGCAGCCCCAACCCCGTGGTGGTACGCAGCCTGGAGAGCGACCAGGAGGGCCACTACAGTGTCAAAGCCCAGTTCAAGACCTCCAGCTCATACACGGCCGGAGGACTGTACAAAGAGGCCTGGGGAGGGGGGGATGAGGGGGGAGAGGGGGGCCGGCTCACACCCTCGCGCTCACAGATTGTACGGACTCCATCGTTAGGGAGGGAGGGGGGAGGAGGGGGGAGCAGGGCGGCTGTATCGGAGGAGCTGAGGTGCTGGTACCAGAGGTCCTCGGGCAGCCTGAAGGAAAGGAGCCACTCCAGCTCCACCTCTGAGCAGAGCACCCCAGGCCACGGCAGAGGCAGCAGGGTGGGCTCGCTCGCCAAGGGATCACCAGGTCAGTGTCAACTATATGTCAATTACATGTCAAACTAGAAAATCAACTAGAAAGTGAATTAATCATAGTTTTACACAATGACAAAAAATGCAAACAAAAGTTTTTTCATAAAATTAGTAGTCTAACGTGTCATAGGCACTTCAATCCAATCAATCCAAGGCATAAGCGTTATTTGTAAATTTCTAGGAACTAGTGATTTTGTTTTTATCATCTTGTGAAAGAGTATACAAAGGCTGCTTTCACACATGCACACAAAACACACAATTGGGACTAAACTGGGACTAAACGCAGAACTTGACCAAACCCAGCCCACATCAGGTCTAAACAGCATATTTATTCTTGCCTCCCACAGACTTCAAAGCATTGTTGGCTATTAGCAGTCAATGCTAATTTCTTGAGACACTATATAATGCATAATAGAATAATCGTATAACCGCTCATTCCTGTTATTGCTCAAGTCAGTCACTAGTTTTCTTTCCATACACAATACTTGTCCAAATTGCTGGGTGACAGATAGTGTTGTCTCAATACAAAAATTTCAAACTTGATTTCAATACTAAGAAATAGACTTGATACTTTGATCACTGTGCTACTGTATCTCCTCATCAGCCAAAATGTCTGCAGCACTTGTACAATGTCCTCTTGTCTGTTGCCTATTCCTCTGTGTTAAAGACCCAGCTTACTGTGTGTTCTCCTCGTAGTGGCCTCCCCTCACAGCCAGCGGAGTCTGACCCCATCCAGTGAGCATGCAGCTACCCCCACTCCCCCCTGTAGCCCCCAGCACATCCTCAACTGGCAGAGCGGGTAAGACGCACCCCCAGATACTGCACTGGACCTCAGCTCTAACCTAACCCCTAACTACTATCACTGCACTGAGTCTGTCTCTAAGTCTGTTCACTAACCTCACTGTTCTGGATGACTTTTTGGGTTGAAACTTGTTAAGTCACTTTGATTCACTGCTCACGACTTTTCTTCTAAAATGCTTAAAGGTGCAGTGTGTAGTTTTAACTGTGTAGATTCAACACGTAATACTTATACTCAACAGACTATAGTAGTAATCAGATGAGATAGTTGTAGCATTCTGTAATTCGATAGTAACTGTGATTGACTTAGAGGGGGTAATAGCTGCTTGATAGAAGCGCTTACCAACTAATCTGAGTAAATCCTTGTTAGCTGACTGTTGTTTTGTCCTTGGGCAAGACACTTCAACCATCTAGCATTTGTGAATCTGATGTTTGCTTATGTGGTGGTTTTTGGAGCTCTGCAGCCGAAATGGCACCATGTCCCGATTAGTTAATCCCAAGTCGTTTCTCAAATGGTCTTATAATAATTCTCATATAGATTTCAGAAACAGTTACATTTTGTAACATTCAGTTTTTTTCATCGATACATGTTCAAATGAATATGAGTTTGAGACTAGTTTTAGCTTCAGCTAGTGTCTGCATATGATTTATTTTGACAACCTTACAGTGAATGGATATCAAAATAGGAGTGGATGATTAATAGGCTCACATAGTGTACACTTACAGTTCTGAAGCTTATGAAGCACACTATATTACCAAACAATCTAAAAAAGTCTCACACTGCCCTTTAAGCCTGTTGCTCTGACTGTTTGTGTGTGCGCACTAACTCCTCGTGTGTGTCCTGTCCTCTCTCTGCTTCAGAGGCACAGCAGACTGCTCTCCTTCTGACGCCCCACAGCCTGGCTCTGACGCATAGAGGTACTGTTACCTGCTCCACTAGTGCACCCGCCTCCGCTAGTGCTAATGCTAGCAGAGGAGGTGACACTAGCACTACTGTCACCTGCCTCCGTTACTGCTAATGCTAGTGCTAATAATAGTGTTACTGTCCCCTACTGTTGCTAATGTTAATGCCAGTGGGCCTGCCTCCTCTAGTGCCCTGCCTCCTCTAGTGCGCCTGCCTCCTCTAGTGCGCCTGCCGTCACTAAAGCTCCTGCCTCCTCTAGTGCGCCTGCCGTCACTAAAGCGCCCGCCTCCGCTAGTGCTCCTGCCTCCGCTAGTGCGACTGTCATCTGCCGACGCTAGTGCCAACAGTAGCTACTGTCACCTACTGCTATTAGTACTGCACCTGCCTGGGCTAGTGCGGCTACTATCTGCTAGAATCACAAATACGACAATAATATACATGTACACTGCAAAAATAACCTCAAAAGTTGAAGTGACTTGAATCTTTATTGATTATTTGGATTCAAAAGTTTTAAATTAAATGTAACTATGCAGTCACAATAACTTGCATTCTTGCTGAGTTGGCCTGCCTTTCCAGACATTTGACCTGTAACCTGTCCTGGTCCTGCATCTCCTGCTTGATGCCTTAGAGATAGACTGTGGAACATTTTCATGGAGACAAAAAGGTGGCAGCCCATCTACCAGAAAGGTTACATATAAATCTAATCAAAACTATCCTGATTATAATTAACATTCAAATACTTTAAACTCATTTAGATATTCCTTTTTGTTTTTGTCTTTTAAAAAAAATTCCAAATCTAAAACAGGAGATGTGGTTTTATTTCGCAGACATTATAACCGAGCCTAGCTTCCCTCTGTGAGCACTGTGAGGAGCGGGCAGGTACAGGAGAAGGTATAAATCGTGCTGTGCGTTTTTATGGCCCTGTCACGTGTTATCCAGCGGGGGGCGACACTGATGGAGGAGCACATTATTCTTCTGTGGGGCTGGTCTGTGCATGTCCTCTGCTGTGCTCTGTTTCACGGGGCTCACATTCACTTTACTAAAGAAGCACCCACATGTCTCCAAGTCTGTGTCTATACTTAACTTTTATATGGAAATATGTATCACCAATAATTAACATATCATACTGATGCAACATGCTCCCAGTGGACACTTGATCTGGAATGTTGGTGTCTCACATTAGAATTTTAAAATAAGTAACTTTGTGTTTAGTTAAAGGTGCATTGTGTAACTTTTCTGGTGGAGGGTCCATGAAATGTTTTTTTTCTATGGAGATGCTTTGTCTGGAATGTTTCACAGTATGGCATTAAACCTTTATATGTTCATGGAGAGCTGACCAAATAAAGTTACTAGTCAGATCTGGGGAGAGGCGACCTCACTCACAGTGCAAATGCCTGGTTTTCTAGGTATTTTTGAGCAGTAAAACCACCTGTAAATGCATACATATAAGGTAGAGCTGTGGAACATTCCAGGCAGAGCAATGACATATCTGTAGAAACAACCAGCTGACAGACGCCCAACCAAAAAGTTACATAGTGCATCTTTAAGTCTCTAATGCATGGCTGTCTCCCGCAGGTCGTTCAGTGACTGCTGTTTCCTCGGCAGCCCCCTGTGCTCCGAGCTGGCAGACGTGCAGTGGTACGGACGCGACAAGGCCAAGCCCGGGACCCTGGTCTGAGTCCTCCTTCTAGAGCCCTACGCGGTCTAACCCATACGGACATTCCTACAACTGTACCCCCCATACGCCCCCTACAGGCCCCTCATAGCACCATCCACAACCAGGACCCTCACCCAGGACCCCCCACCCAGGACCTCCGGGAAGGGCTTTCACAGACTGGGAGCTCTGGGGGCATAGCACACACGCGACTGGGCAAAAAACACAGGGAGGTTTGAAATGGAGAGCACAGAACATGTTGAACAAAAGCAGCAAAAACTGTTTCAGGATCACACTGCAAAAATACAATATGTCTGCACGAGTTGCCGTGGCTGCAGTTTAGAATGTGGGTCTGGGTTTGAGTCGTTTGGACAAGTGTAGATTCATTTACTTTGTGATGTAGATTCTTCCCCTGGTTTTAAAGGTGCACTAACATTTCTGTTTGAGGGTCTGCCACCTGTTTGTCTCCATGGAGCTACTTTGCCAAGAATGTTACCAAGAATGAATGGCATTAAACATAACAATCTTGCTTTTATTCAATTACAGGTGTGTTTTTTTATTGCTAACAAAATGAGAAACATACATTCTTTCTGTGAACGGACCTAACTTTGCCTGTTAACGATAATTGCTTGTCTCCATGGAAAACTTGAATGCCATACTTGGGAACATTCAAAGCAACTAGAAGCAGGTGGTGGAAAACTTAGAGTACCTTTAAGATATTTCAGTATGATCTTCATAATGTTCACATTGAAGTAAAATGATTATACTTTGTCCATTTTAAATCAAATATAATTCCGTTACATTTTTTTTTTATTTGCAGTTTTTTTCTTTCCTGTACTTACATTTAAATACTTAAATGAGTCCAAACTGCCCAAACCAAGACTACCATTCCAAATTCAAGTGGCTTTAACTCACTAGCAGACATAGTTTTTGCGGTGCACATGTCCCCTGTCACTGCACTGCCCTGTCAGTCTTCACCTGCTGGATTTGAGCCACCACAATCCTGTCCCTCTTTTCACACGTCCAAACCCATTTTATATTTATGAAAAAGAGAGAAAGATCTATATGAATTATGGATACTACGCCACTCCTGTCAGAAGAACCCACAACCAAAGACAAGTCGGAGAAGTGACATTGTTGCAAAGGATTCTGGGACATTTTCGAGACATGGACTATAGCAATAACAACTATATGGACTATGAATTATCCCCCTATGAAAAAATACAACTTTTTCCAGGCCATATTGTTATGAACTTGTCAAATTATCAAAAAGTGTTCAAAATTTTGGGATTATGTCAAGATACTGTGGCACAATTGTCACGCAAAGACTATAAAAAAAATATAAATATTGTTTAAAAAATTGTTTATTTTCATCCCCAAATTTTTAAATCTATTGTTTAAATATGAATTCCTCATCTTCATCATTTGTGCTATTTATCATGCCATCATTTGTACTTGTTCCTTTTTAATATAGATATTATTTATAATGGTGAACTGTATGTTTTTTTTATTAGTGCCAAATATGCTGGTGCTTCAACTTAAAATACTGACTTCATGACAAAAACTAATTATTTTAAGTTCACTGAAATAGAAAAGTACTGATTGCAATTAACCCATTTAGCTTGTGGCTTTTATACATTTACTTCATTAACTTAAAGCACAACATTAATACAGTCCAAAAGGGCCTAGTTTTGAAATTGCAAAATTACATTGGACAATTTTCAGTAGCTTGGTCATAATTTAGATTTTTTGTTTTGTTAAAAGATTTGAAAGCAGTAAATCCAGCAAGATCATTTGGGAAGAAATAGTTGAAATATAAAAAAGAACAAAAAATGGAAAAGAACCATAACAGTGCAGAATTTCCGAAATTTAGTTGGAAATTTGTGACATTTGGTGCCATTACGAGATAGAGCCAAAGAAACAAACTCCAGTCGCAATGGAAAGGGTACAAAAATGAGATTCATGGATTTTGTACCTTTATAAAACTATTAAATATAAGCAAAGTATTTACACCTTAAATAGAAACACACTCTTGCTGGATGTTAATTGCCAAAATTAATCCAATCACTCGAAATGACACATTTTTAAGTTTTGGTTAGGCTTAAAGTGCATATGACAAGTTTTGATGTTTTTCTCTTTTTTTTTCCTTGGACTTGGTTTGGTGGGTTAATACCTTGCTGTGGTCAGTATTTATTATAGTTTTACATCAGTTAAGTGAGAGTTTGTGGAAAGAAAGTACAAAAATACAGGTAGTAGCGCTCAGCTCAAAATCAGAATACCTGGTGTACAAGGAAGACATTTTTCTGGCAGTTTCAAAATTGATTTAACAAAATTAAACAAGTTTTGGCCTTTGTTTACATTATGGTTGCTAGGTAACAGTTCTGAAATAACCTCTGTATTTCATATCTGCGGAGTCCAACCAGGAAGTAAATGAATAAATAAGAACCAAAAAACTGGACAAAATTAAGTAAAATACAATCATGTGAACTATGTTTTAGTGAAAACATACTCCAACCTGTCATATGCACTTAAAATATTTGATCCCAAACCCCCCAAATAAAGCCATATGAAAAACGAGATATTTAAAACCACCTCTCTAACAATCAAAAATTACAAAAAGGTTAGAAAAGCACATTTTATTATAATTTTTTTCTGCATGATTCTTGATACATTACCCTTGATAAAATTATTTCCAAGTAGACATTTTAAGTTAAATTTCAGCACTACGATAAATTCTATTGTAAAATTGTAAAATCTTTTCAAATTGTTTCAGCTTTTTGTCCCTTCTGTAGAATTTCGAAAGCATTGACTCCCAAATGCATGCCAATCAGACAGCCCCCTCATCGATGTCCAGTGTGCCGACATTTCCAGCATTTTGACCCTGTTTCTGACCCCATATTGACCTCTGACCCCGACGTGATGAAGTGACACGCTCCCTCACCCGGTTCCACACACGCCGCTGTTTCCTGTGCGCTTTTGTATATCAGATTTGCCCTTATGTTGCGAGGGACACTGTATAAGGTATAGGTGGGGTTTTTAACATTGACTCTCCGTTTTAACAACTTTTATAAGAATTTTAAGTTCCTTGTACGACCCGTTCAGGTGCTACAAATGACTAGTTACTGCTTCGTCGCGTAGGATCCTTAGACTTATTCACAATAGATTCAATGCCAGATGTGCAAACAAAAGCTTATTTTGACAGTTTAAAGGGCCCATATTATGCTAATTTTTGATTCATGTTATATGTTGTGATGTCGTGTGGTAATACAGGAAGTGCTCCACTGTGTTTTTAAACTCCATACACCTTCATTACAAACATTTGGATGGTTTCAGCCCTGGAATTGCCAGTCTTCTGAACAAAAGGTAAAAGGTAGCTGTTAACTTGAAAACTACCGGTTCATGACATCACAAGGTGGAACAGAGCATTTTGAGCTTTAGAGACATAGACAGACAAATAGTAAAGGGTTACTCAATCATGCGTGAATGAACCACAACACTTCTCCGGGTATGTTTTTTTTAGGAGGATTCTAACATGGCTTAAAGCTCACAAGAGTCAATTTTGCGTAATATGGGACCTTTAGAATAGAACCATCGACCTACCAGATAGAGCATGTAACTTAATTTTATCACTTATGTTGTAACCAGAAATTTTAAATTGTTGTAGAAAAATGTGGAATTGGGGGAAAATAACAGAATTCCACAGTTAATTTATTCTTTTTTCTATTAAGAATTTGTAAAGTAACTTTACATTTTTCAAAACTGTGTTGTTGGAAATGGATGAATTTTCAAGCTGAGAATCCGTGGTGGTTCCTGAGATTATGGAAAATAAATTATTGATGAATGTTCTCAGATATGGACTGTGTCATTTAATTTGTGTTGGCGAGAGAAACTGCACTGCTAGGTTTTGTTACTTCATAATAATGCTACTCAAGCAAAAGCTCCAAACTACTATGTACTGGGTCTGTAGTTCTGAAAAGCTACCACTACTGCTACTTAATACTACTACTACTACTATTACTACTACTACTACAGTACTATAGCACTACAGCTACCACTACTACAACTACAACAACTACTACTAAACTACATTTAATCAAACTACTGTTATTGTAGTTCTGATAATAGGACTACTACAGCTCTCACTAGGGCTACTTAATACTACTGATTAGTAATAATGTTACTTCTACTTGTGTCACTACCACTGCTAAAGGGAAATTAACAATAGCATTGGGCTTACTTCTGCTAATGTTTTTGTAATGGTCAGCAAACTGTACTGTGACTAGCGCTGTTAATAGTACATCTATTTCTGGTATTGTTACCTGCTTATACTTTCTTAAAATTTACAACATTGCTACAACTAATTAGCAACTACTGCATGACACTACTTTTACTATTCATAGGCCTTGAGCTTTTGAGTCTGAAATAATTTGTTGCTCAAATTTTCTATCTGTTTTTGTCTCATTGAAATCCACGGAAAGTTGCATTTATGTCTAGATGCTGATGTTCTAGGTGGTCCGGGGTGTGCTCATGTTATCTCATCAGAGGGATCCTACAGTCTGAGTCATCTCCTCCTCTCACTTTTGCTTCAGACAAGACTTTCCTCCAAACTGCAGACGCACAAATCACCAGCAACAAGGAGCAGACAGATGAATGTGTTTATAGATGATCAGTCATGGATGCAGTTGTCTATGAGTCAGAAACATTACAAAGGACTATATCCGCATGTCTCATTTGTATGTACCTGCTGTGATTGGTGGTTTTCAGATGCTAGAATGGGATGATGTCATACTCCCAGATGGAGGCGAGAGTCAGTTTTCCCTATTAATCACATTGTACTTTGACATGAAATATCCAAAAGGAAAATTTACAAAACTTGAATCTGATCATTTCTATTCGTGACTAGACCAAAGAACTTACATTATTACAACTGAAACCAGCATTTTTAGCTGCCCTCGTCTGTATTAAATAATATTGGTCAATAGAAAGGTGTGATGTCATCTGAAACAAAGCAAATCTTCAAAAAATTTAAATAATTGATCTCCTTCGTTTTCCTTACGATGTTTATAGTTCAGTCAGATTTATTGAGGACCCCCTTCTCTGCTCTTCTCTCCCTCTGTGTCAGTCAGTTCAAACTCTCTAATGAACTCCATATTTGACTTATGGTGCAGAGTTTCCCTCCACGGCCCAGCCCCTCCCCTCCATGACCTGGCCCCTCCCCTCCACAGCTTGGCCACTCCTCTTCACCACCTGGCCCCTCCCCTTCACCGTCTGGCCCCTCCTCTTCACTACTTGGTCCCTGCCCTTCACTACTTGTCCCCTTCTCTTCACTGCCCGGTCCCTCCCCTCTACAGCCCCGGCCCCTCCCCTTCCCTGCCTGGCCCAGTCTGGAGCAGCTGGAAGTGCTTAGGTCCACATGGCGTGAGAACTACACTCAAACAGATTTTTTCACTCCTGCACAGGTCTGTGAACATCTGAGCCAGTACAAATGTGTGTCAGGAACCAGAGCTAAAGCAAAGACTAAAGCAGGACCAAACCAGGACTAAAACAAATCTAAATCAGGACTGAACTAGGACTAAAGCAGGACTAAAACAAGTCTAAAGCAGGACTAAATCAGGACTAAAGCATGTCGAAACCAGGATTGAAGCAGGATTGAAGCAGGACTAAAGCTGGCATGTCAGCTGCATGATTCCAGGGAAGTACAGTTACAAACAAATATTGGAAAATTCTATGGAAATAAACATGAGTCATATCATAGGAACAATAGGAAACAAGCAGGGGGATTTATTTATTTATTTATTTTAATTAATTTTTTTTAGTGCAATAAATGCAACCAAAAGGAAAAGTTAGTTTAGAATATTTTTTTGGCTAAAAAAGCAAAAATTTGACATTATGACAGCACTGTGGCTAAAACTTGGTTGGTAGCTAAATTACTAGGGATGAGACAATGAGCCAAGACATAAGATTTGATGAAATTTTGACATAATTTATAAATACATTTTGGTTCAGTTCATAATTTTGACCTTTACAATGTCTGACTTATTTTATTGAACACCAATACATATACAAAAAATTTGAACTGAAGTAGATTCATGTCACTCCAGGTTGTCCTGGTTTGGGACAACCTGGAGAGACATGAATCTCCTGATATCTCAAAACAGCCCTATGTTTTAATTAGACTTTGTTTCATATATTTATTTGTCTGATAAATCAGATGTTGTTGTGTAAAAGTATTGAATAGATTGACTTGAATACTAGTTGCCAGAAGAACAGAACGTGGTTGTGGTGTGACATTTACCAGGAGCACAGCAGATTGAACAAAAGCTGATGGATGAGACTTGACATTTAGAAAAGGCTGAAATGTCTGGTCAATGCTCAAAGTTCACAACACAAAACAATGGCGCCCTCTGGTGGTCAAATGTCTCAAATGCATAATACTCTCCGAGCAGGAATACTACAAAAAGTTACATTCACTGGACAGAAATTACAGTTCCTGTATAGCTTTAAAATGATCTTGAGCTGCATCAGAACAAGTATAAGAGCACAAAGGCTAGTGTATGCCCATGGACCACTATGGAACTTACCTGGACGACTGAGGGGTTACACAGATATAACACCACATGGTAATGTAAAACAAAGTACTATGATTTAATGTTCACATTATATTGTCTAAATAAAGAGTCTTTTTTATTATAATAGTGGTAATGGAATCAGTAATAAGTATTGAGTCTGCTTATTAGTATTGAATGATAGTTAATAAAAATGATAAACAACAAAATTATAATATAAAAGAATAATTTATAGTTCATATTTGGAACACAATTGAAAGTATCTATAGCCAGGTTAACTGAATTCCCCAAATAAAACAGTAACTGGTTTACACAGTTCAAACACCATCCATCAAAGGTTGTATTCCATGTTTTCAAGAAGAGGTCCATTTGTGTCTTCTGCCTCCTGGATAAAAACATGAAAAAACGCCATTATTACATGTTGATAATCAAACGATTTAAAATCAGAACACAGTCATATAATAATTATGACTCAGCCTCCCTCTGTCCTGTGCTCCTCCCTCTGCTTCAATCCCTCTTTCACCTGCGCCCATCCTTCACCTCTGCCTGTCCCTCACCTGTGCCACTCGGCTGTAGGCCTGTGTGCTTGTGTGGCTGTAGCGCTTCAGGCCTCTCCAGCACAGGAACAGGATGTAGAGAGAGGCAAGCAGACACTGCACAGTGAACGTGATGGAGCTGCCTTTGGCCACATATGCACCCACCCGCTGGAACAAACAGGAGAACTTTCATACTTGTGGCTTTAGCCTTTATAAAATTAGCACATGTGAAAGGTTGTACATAGGGTTTACCTGCTTAGTGTTGAGAGAAGCGGCATCTTGAGGTTTGAGGCTGGTGCTCATCATGGCAGAGAACCCAAACACAAAGCTGAAGATGTTAGCAGCGATCAGGGCTATAACCTATAAGAGAGGAGGGTTAAGGGTTATATAGTCTATACTTGACTTACATAACTTGCATAGTCAAACGAACTACAGATTTTTATTTTAGATTTTCTAATTTAAAGATTTTCTAATTTAAAGCATTTTACAAACTAAATTGTGGTGGCAGGATGGATTTTAGAAACTAGAGACTTTAGTAACTTTCTAGTCTTGTGGCAAAAAGATCTTGTGAAATCTTGTGCCAGGAGATCTTGTCCCAGTTGTTATAAATTGCTTAATATTTTTACACAGAAGAAGGAAACAATTTGAATTAGAACTAGAAATTTATCTTCAAATAATCTATGAAATCCTACCACGCACGACGCACTTAGAGGTTCTGAACACCATTTGAAAATCATTTGTGGTACCCAGGTTATGATTATTATTAATATATATTATTAGTTTATTATACATCACACTGGTCCATACCTTGACTTTGTTGGGCTTCCTCTGAGCCTCCATTGCGTAAAACCCTGAGGCCAAATACTGCAGGAGATAGAGGTGTTTGTAAACATACTTATGCACAGAGTAAGTGATGGTCTGTGGATCCAATGCAGATGCAAACTCACCATTAAACTGGACCAGACGGGCGTCGCCATAGAAACTGCACAGTTGAAGCTCACACAGGTGTAGATGACTGTGGTGAGAACGCAGGCCACCGCACTGAGCACCTGGACCACCTGAGGAGTAGGACCCAACATGGAGCATGGAGAGAGCAAATTAAATCTGCATACAGTTCATGATACAGTGGCTTGTTAAGGCAGGAAGTAAGTGTTTGATCTCACTCTCAAACCTGGTACTGCAGCCCTTGTGCAATAGACTTAACCCATTTTGACTTCAGGGTTAATACCTCTGGGGTCTATACAGTGTATGCTACTATATAAACATGCATCTGTTTGAGAGACAGGCTTCATTGACTACATAGAAAACTGTTGACTATATACTGGGAAAAATGTAATTCTAGCAACACTGTGTTTTGTTGTTTATGTCGATAAACCTTTGATGTTAAATGTGTTAAATATTATATGAAATTATAGTTAGATATTTTAACTAGATTTTTTTTATTTTTTTTATTTGTAAAATAAAGCAATTTGCTTTTTTTTTTTTCCTGTAAAGGTGAGCCATCTTCTTGTCCCCATGGAGGTGTTATTATTTTGCCTGTGATGTTCCTCAGTATGGCATTTCACCTTTTTAGCCAAATTACAAGTGAGATCTGTGGTGGGTTATTTTTGCTCACAGTAAGAATGGATTTTTTATTTTATTATATATATTTTTTTATAAATAAAAAAAATTATAATTGAATAAATGCAAGAGTGTAAAGCCATGCTTATCCCAGAGCACATACTAGTGAATAAGTAGCAGACCCTTCCTGGCCATTCTCAATAATACAATATGTTTCCTAGTATTTGTAAACACTGAGAGCTCACCCCTGACACCAGAAGTCTTGTGTTGACCACTGCTCCAAACCAGCGGTGGATCCTGGCATTGTCCAGATCCCCCTGTGTGCCCTGTGAGCTCTGTGTACCAGGAGGAGGCGCTGGAGAGGAGCTCTGCATATAAACCTGGTACAGCCCCTCCTGGAACATGTTCTGGGACATCTATCAAATACACAAACAAATAAACCTACAGTGATACAAAACAGTACATGGAGTAAAGGCCTTTATTGGATCTGATAGCTTACCTTTACACAGAGGTATCCGCAGACCGCGACATCACAAGTGTAAACATGTCAAAAATATTCAAACCATAAGATCTCTATATTCTGTTTTTCTAGGAGTGACTTGTTCTAGCCGTACAGTCCGCGGTCAAAGTTTAACTCAGGCGGCTCATGGGAGCTGCCTGCTCAAAGTCCACCACTGACCTGCCACTGACACAAGAGATCTGATCTGAGGAGGAGATTGGCTCAAGATAAGAGCTAATCAATTTAGGACTTATTACAAATCATTATGATACTGATATTATCATTAAGGTTATGAAAAAGAAAATTGAATTCTAACAACTTCACATGCATTTTTATAAGTATTAAAAAATATTAAATGAATAATTAAATTATCAGGTAGAATCTTCTATTGTATGGCATAAAACTCATCTATAGAGAATGTTCTGAAGTATAGCTTTAACTTTCTATTTCCATGGAATAATACAGGTGACCACCTCCAGAAAGTTACATGCTGGACTTAGACTTAGACTTAGACTTAAACAAACTTCCAAACAAACTTAGCCTTAAACAAACAATCCACAAGGGAAATTATTTGGACACAGTAGCGCATATATCACAATATAATATAATAACAAAGAGCAAAAATATAAATGGTAATAATAAATTCTAAATAAGCAGCAAAAAAAGATAGTAATAGACAGATGTCAAATGAGGCATAATTAAATAACTGTATATGTAAAAGCCAAAATAAAATAGAAAAATAAGTAATAAAAACTTTAAAATCTCAGCTATACAAGAGGTCATAGGAAGACAGTGCAAAATGATATGATGATTGACAGGACATAGGGTTATCTGTTACATAAGGGTGAGTTGCTGTACAGCTGTAGGGAGCATTATAGTGTGCATATAGTCCTGTATCTCTCCCTGTTTGAGCGGAGCTGTAGGAGCCTGTTGGAGAATGAGCTCCTCTGTCCGTCTATAGTCTGGTGCAGTGAGTGAGTTGTTGTACAGTTGTAGGGAGTATTATCTGTCCCTCTATAGTCTGGGGCAGTAGGTGAGCAGGAGTGTCCATGATGGAGAGCAGTTTGTCCAGTGTCCTCTGGCCCGTCACTGTGACAAATGTGGATCATTTAATGATACCTTTAATGATGAATGAATTTAATTGAACTGTAGTATTTTATGCAGTTGCAAATATGTGTAAACAATGAATGATTCAGTGAAACACATTTAAAAATTATTAAGGAACTCCTATCTTTTTTTATGTAACTATGATCTACTATAAGGTCATATTTTCATATGTAAATAATGTTTAGTGCAAACTATCTAAAAAAAGAAAAAAAGTATTTATTTATATATATATATATATATGTGTGTATATTTTTTTTATTTTTTTTATTAAACAACTAAATCCAAAACACTGAATACATAAACAATGTTGTACTTTCCTGCATATCAAAACTATCCTCACACACAAAAACTATGTCAAACCCACTCTGATTTCCCTGGCAGAGTATCAGAATCGTCTTCCTCCCCTCCTGCGTACATGTCAGCCAGCCTGCTAAAGCAAGGCCCCCAGCCCTGCAGAGCCCCAAAGTCCTGGTCCAGTTCTGAGTTCGAGGAGGAGTCCAAAGAGCTGAGAGAGTCCACCTGTGACCCCACCCCCTCATAGTCAAACACCAGAAGGGAATCGTACGGCGGAGCCGTGCAGTCAGTATCTGCAGCCACCAAGTTCTACAACAGGAGAGAAGGGACAGGAAACATGCACCAGCTCTTAAAATGACTATACAGTATATAAATTATGCTAAAGGTATGTTTATAACATTCTATTCACTCAGCAGAAAATGTTTTATTTGTATTTTTAATTGGATCAAATTCTTAACCTTAACATGAGTACTGTATTTCAGACTAGTTTAGATTTATTTATTGGAAGGACCTAAAGTACTTGTTTCCATACATTGCTCATTTCAAGCTAACTGACTGCATTTGCCAAAGGGATGAGAACACCCTTGCCTAGACTGAAATTCTGGTGAATATTTTCTAATTTTTCAACATGCTGAAAATTGTATGATGTTTGTCTAAATTTGACTTGATATGTAATGATGAGTAGTTTAAACCAGACACCTTTTGTTTTGATTATTTCATTGCTGTCATTGTTGTTGTTGTTGAAACATAGATATCTGTTACAATCATGCTGACAATTTCCATGCAGCTAAGACTTCATTTAAAAGTATGTCATTACCCAGTGTTACAAAGCAGAGGTACATCTAATCCAAGCGTTCTCTGCTAAACTAAAAGCTAAGTGCTGACATAGAAGATTGGGAAACGTGCTTTGGAAAAATGTGAAGCAACAATGTAATCTTCTGGAGCACTTAAAAAAGATAGGAAAAACATATTGTTTTTGCTTTACCTCTGTGAGAAACTGCAGTATGTCTTCATTGGGCTGAGGCTGGTGTCTGTAGCTTGGACGAATTTGATTAACAGGGGCAACATCAGAGCATAAGACCCCATGGTGCTCTTTCAGACCCCTATGCAGCAGGCTGGGATCAAAGACCTATACAAAAAATAAGAAGAAATTTGGTCAGTATCTTCCTACAGTGATTTCAACTTGTATCTTGTCCTGAAAAAAGTCCCAAATTAGTTTTGAGGGAGGTTTATTTTGCTAATTGTAGATAACAAAACAGTTGAAAATGATAAAAAGCAACTTACTACTTCTAGTACATGCTGCCATTATATCAGTGAGCAAGACACTTATTCCTTGCTGCTCTTTTTATTAAAAGGTATTAATATATGAATAGATGCATACAAGAACCTTAAAGCTAAATAAAGTTGCACATACCCTGTCTTCTTCTCCTCCGCCCTCCTCATCATAGCAGAAAATGTTATCTCTGGATGGATATTTAAGAAGAGCCACATCGTTCATGTGCTTTTTCCTCCTCAGGATCAACAGTAACAGTAGCACTGCAAATAAGTATAATGACATAAAAATCAAAAAGTGACCTAAAATTTAAGATTATTCCCTTCTCCAGACTTACACCAAAATATCAAATCATAACATAAACAACTTTGCCATCATGTTCAAATGTCCAATATTTTTGTAGTTAGAATAAACCAGTGTTATTAGTAAAACTATGTTTGATTTGAACATTACTACATTGTATCTGTATCTTGTTTCTGTTAAGTCTACATACAGGTCTTTCAAGTTATAAAATAAAATAAAAACTTGAATAATCACAAATCATATTTACTTACAAAGGAGTCCAAAAACGGCTCCCAGGACTAAAGCGAGGTAAAGGAGGCGTGGAGGATCAGAGTGGGGCATGATACAGGAGATCACGGCTCCTTCACACTGGCACACCTCCACGTCCAGGGAGCTCTCCTGATACTGTGACCCAGCATCAGAGACTCTGAGCAGGACCGAAGACCAGCCCACAGCCATTTGATGCTTGGGACTCAGAAACACTGCATGACCTGGAATTGAGATATAAGGAATTTATGTAATTATATCAACAATCCATCCACATTTCATAACATTGAAATGTTTTTTTTACTATATATGGTATTGTAAGATCTTTTCAATGTGTAGATTGGAAAATAAATAAATAAATAATGAAAATGTTTGGTACAGGTCTAGTCATAATCCAGTTAAAAAGCTCAGTTTTAGTCCTATAATTATTTTTAAAACCTTATTTTATAAATTCATTTTGTAGTGTTTTATATTTAACATTTTTACTATTAGTACTAATAATTGGAATAATAGTTGCACCATATTGCAGAATCACATTCTTAGTTTGTGAATTTTGTTCACCGACAATGGTAAAAAAGTTTTTTTTAAGATTAAGGTACACTTGTTTGTCCTTGTTCTCTGCATTTGACCCATCCTGACCCACACTGCTGTGATCCAAGGATCCACCTCCAGATCTTGATCTAGGCTTGGTCAAGACAATTTAAGCTGGGGGGTTTTACCTATTGTATACTCTGATTCTGACTTGGTTAATTCTGATCCAGATACTTTTTGTGAATATCAGGCAATAGTATTTTAATGCAGGTAAAACTAAGAAATCACAATTACTAATTGTTTAGTAGGTCTTAATTATTTGGAATGAAAAAATAATGGCTTTTCAGGGCAAAAATAAACAGTATTTCCATCAACATTGTACTTTGGTGAGTATAAATAGATAGAGAGTTGTACTTGATGCATTGATCTTGATGTTCCAGCTCTGGTGCTGCTCTCCTTGTAGCTCCACAGTGAAAGGTCCTGCGTTCTCCGGACTGTCCAAGTCCATTATGTCCAGCTGAACAGGGACAGGGTCCACATTGCACAGACTGACCCTCCTCTGCAGGATCACCGGAGCATTGTCATTCACATCCATTAGAGTCACTATCAGAGTGCCTGTTCCTGTAGCTTGAGCTGTATCTAAAAACAAAAGAGATGTATTAGTCAGGTTACAGGTTAAATATACAGCGCTGCAGGGGTTCTTAAAGGGCCCATATTAAGATGTTTTCTGATCTATGTTGTTGCTGTTAAAATGGTGTTTCCTCATCATCATGTTTTGTTTCATTCACACATGTTTAACACACAAACCCTCCATATTTAGAGTTATTCTCTCAAACAGAAAACACTCCACCTTGTGGTCAGAAAGTGTTCCACAGTGCTTTTAAACTCCATACACTTTCTCCATAATCATTTAGATCATTTCAGCCCTGGAATTGTCTCTACTGAACTAAAGGTAAAAGGTAGCTGTTAACCTGACACCACAAGGTGGAACAGATCATTTTGAGCCTTGGAGATGTTGACAGACTAATAAGGATTATTAGGATTACTCAAACATTTATGAATGAAACAAAACACAACTCCAGGTATGTTTTTTTGATGAGGTATAACATGGCTTAAAGCTCATAAAAGTCGATTTTGAGTAATATAGGACCTCAGGATCCAGTTTTATTTTATATAAAGTAAATGGGGGCCTATTTCATTATGTCACCTTCATGGAAGTGCTGGCAGCCCTTCCATAGGCCCCAGACCAAAGATCACTGTAGTACACTACTTCTATTGAACATTCCAAAATATAAATGCATTTATATATGGAATAGTAAACTTCTGGATCTAACATGTACAGTTTGTTTGTTACCAATTCCCAAAACGTTTTGAATCTTTAATTTGACATTTAATTTGTATTACTAACTATGCTAATTTGTCAAAACCTTAAAAAAAAAAAAAAAAGAGTTCAAACAGATATTGAGTGCTCTACTGTTGGGTTCCTGTTGGGACAACTACACATTCTATAAGCCTATAATATTTAACGGAGATGGGAGCATGTAAAATTACTGTTGTAAATATGCAGAATTTTGATGTGATACAGCAAATTGAAGGTCTTAGTCACTAATAAAAACATAATCTGGTTCAACATTTGTGGATTTATTTTTAAGATATTTCTGGATTGTACCCCTCATTTGGGAGTATGACACTATCTCATACTAGAATCCGAAAACCTTTGTGAAAAATCTAATCTGTATGTAAAAAGAATTAGGTATTTCAAATGTACTAGCTAACATACCATTGTCATAGGCCAAAACAGGGACAGTGTATTTGCCGTCCCGTACAAAATGTGATTCTCTGTCCAGGTCACTTTTCACACTCACTCGCCCAGTGTCTTGTTCAAGGTGAAACCACCCGGCAGCATCTGTGTTCAACTTAAATCTAACACAAAAAATACGTTACTAAAACTCAAAATTTCTTGTTTGTAAATAAATCACATACCGTATTTTTGTTGGTCTTGATGTGTCGGGATCTATGGCTCTGAGGTAAGTCACAGAACTGCCAATCTGAGCATCTTCAGATAGGGCCACTTGTATTTTGGAGGGAGTGAACATGGGAGGCTCATTCAAGTCTTTTACTGTAACTGTGATCGTTGCAGTGGAGGTAGAAACTGATCTAGTAAAGGGTGCTTCATTTGTGACTATCACCAACAAGGTGAAGGTGGGAGTGCTCTCAAAATCCAACTTCTAAAAATGAGAGGAAATATTTAGGAGGAGAGAAAGGAATCAAGCACAGGATTGTGAAAAGTATTGAAAATTAGACACAAATTAACACAAAACCTAGTACTGATACTCATTTGAGCTGATATATATATATTTTTTTTTGAAAAACACAGTGTTTTGAATTATAATTGTGGTATCAGTGTCTGAATCAGTATTCAAGTAGTATCGAGTCTAGTCCTTAGTATCGAAATTACGGTAAGTATGAAATTTTATTATTGTGACAACATAACAACAATAGAATTGATCAGACCTTTGCTGTAGAAAGGATCCCCTCCATTTTGTCTGGTCCTGTGCTGATGTTGAAGTGTGCAGCCTCATTTCCTTTGATTATTGCATATTTTGTGTTGGTGTTAGCAGATCCCAACTCATCTTCATCGGTGACTTTTAACCTCAAGACTTCAACTCCAGCCTTATTCTCAGGGACAGAAGCAGAGGCCTGAAATAATCAGGTTAATATGCTGTGCTTTAAAGTGCATATGACAGGTTTTCATTCATGGTTTTCTAATTATGACTTGTGGGATAGTACCTGTGGTCAATATCATCACATCACAAAAGACAGTTATATAAAATATATCTAAATATCTCTCTCTCTTGCTCTCTCTCTCTCGCTCGCTCTCTCTCTCTCTCTCTCCCTCTCTCTCTCTCTCTATATATATATACATACATACATATACATACATATACATATACATATATATATATATATATATATATATATATATATATATATATATATATATATATATATATATATATATATATATATATATATATATATATGTGTGTGTGTGTGTGTGTGTGTGTGTGTGTGTGTGTGTGTGTGTGTGTGTGTGTTAGCAGTGAGCTGAAGTTCTAAAATGCATTATGCATTACCTCTACTTATGTCATCAACATTGAATATTCTATCCAAAATGCCGGGACAATTTAAACTTAATTTAAAATTTTTATTAGTTTAATTAAAACTGTTGTGCACTTTAAACATGTTTTTGTCCTTGATAACATTATGGTTGCTAGGTAAGAGTTATAGAATATATAATAGAAGGTCAAATTATAAGATTCACCAAAATTTTTATACTAAAAAAGCAAAGCCAAGCTTTTTAGTGAAATCTGAAAAATAATGATGTTGACCTTATTTTAGTAATATGTGTAGTCTAATCTGTCATAGGAACTTAAAATGTTACATTAGGGCTGAATACTGTATATAGTTTTGTGACCAGTATTGTTATTGATTGACCTATAGTCCATATTAAATTATACATTTTAAAATTATGATTCAATATAATTGTTATTATTTTAAAATGTTAAAGAGAAGACAATACAAGTTATCAAGATTCCTTGATGACATGACCCAGTGACAATCCTAAATTTGATTCTCTGAAAAAGCCATTACACTGACCAAATCATTTCAGTTTTTGTCATTTTGCCAACTGAAATTCGAATCTTATTAATTTTGATTAATCTTTCAACACAACCTTTGAACAACCTTTCACTTGTAGAAAACCACTGCTACAGTCAAATAAACTGAATTTGTATTATGACAGGGTTCACTGGACTACAAGGGAAGGTAAAATCTAGATGGTGCCAGAGTGCCTCATAGTGTATTTGAACATAATTAATGTGAAACTTACCGATTTGATAAGGAATTGTGGGGCATTGTCATTGCTATCAGTGATGGTTACAGTTACTGTGCATGTAGCAGAAAGCCCTTCACCGTTCATGTCTGCAGCATGGATGGCCAGCTTATACTCTGAAAGAGTCTGATGTAAAAAAAAAAAAAAAAAGTTTGGTACAATCAGACATAATAATAAAAAATAACACCTAACAGCCTTAAGGAGTTACATTTTTAGCGGGCTGCATGGGTATGCAAATGGTTTGATCTAGTAGACTTATATGGTTACTATAATATTTTACTGTACCCATTAGGGTTGATTAACTGAGATATATTTGCATTACTGTATTTCTATATTTTAGTTTTACTTGAACAACTACATTTATATAATTATGCCTTATTTAACACCAGTATCCAACAATGTATGCTAATTATTTTGAATGTATTATTACCATTTATATTTTTACTCATTGTTATTATAATATATTGTGATGCGTGAGCTATTGTGTCCCAAAAATTTCCCTTGTGGATCAATAAAGTCTAAGTCTAAATCAAAAGTATACTAATTTATACTAAAACTATTATAAAAATTAGATACTCATTTGAGCAGGTATCAATACTAAAAAGTCCCATTCACAGAACATGAATGAACCTTTCCTGAACAGCTTTACAACGATCTTGAGCTATATCAGAATGAGACCGCATAGGGTAGTATTCACCCATGGACCACTATGGAATTTACCTGGACAACTGAGAGATTACTTTGAGATAAGAGTACATGTTAATATGAAAGAAAGTACTACAATTCAATACAGAAAATCATATTCTATTGCCTAAATAAAGAGTGTTTATTATTATCACCGTGGTATCAGAATTGGTATTGAGTATCGAGTCTATTCCTTGGTATCAAAATTAAGTTTGAGTACGGGTGTTTTTACAAAAGAACAAGAATATAATAACAAAAAGTCCCCTGGAATAGCACTGGACCATGCCCTCTAATACTCATAACATTAAAAAAAACATAATTTTGCTAAGACATGTACCTCTCTGTCCAGTCCTCCTCCCGTGAGACTAATCACTCCACTCAGGGGGTTTATGGCAAAGATGTGGTCAGATGGTACTTCTGGTGTTTGGGACAATATTCGATACTTGATCAAGGTGTGGTCTGTTTCTGGGTCATCTCTGTCAGTAGCTATTACCCTCATGACAGAATCCCCTTTAGACAACCCAAAAGTCTGGGTAAGTACATTTAAAAAACACAAAGATGGTCTCTGCTTAGCTTTCGTCTCACCAGCCTTGGCACTTTCGCTGACTTGGCCGTGGAAGGAGCTCGGAGTGAATTCTGGACGGTTGTCATTTTGGTCAATAACGTGGATGATCAGCTCCATAGGCTCTTCAGCTTTGTTGCCGTCATGAGCGTAAACGGCATGAACCCAGAGCTGCAAAAACATGGAGAAGAAACATACAAGAAAATTACGTAGCCCAACAAGTAATAAAAACAACAATTTTAGTGTTTACCATGAATACCATGAGAATGCACATATACTATCAAACACTGTCAAAAAAGTTGTAAGATTGTCTGAAAACTCAAGAAAAAATACATAATGGATTTAAACAACACATTTTCAAGAGAATGTGATCAATGTGAACGCTATTTTGGTGTTTGATTTTCAACAAAAAAGGTGAGTGTGAACAGTTGACTAATGCTAACTAGCTTGTGATTGTAATGCTATTAGGGAGTTAATTGTTGTAGTTCCAACAAAGTCAGTTCTTTCTGGTCAGATTGTGTCAAAATAAATCTCAGATTAAAGTCAAACAGAAGTTCAGACAGAGCAGTGACCACAGTTAGCATCACACCCCCGGGGAATGTTGATGACATCGGTTGCAAAGTATTAACTGATAACACTCATAACTGATGCATATTTTTATGATCTACAAACATTACTAACATTGAATACATTTGGAGAAATGTATCAAAAAGTAAAAGTAAATAATTTAATTAGATTAGATTAGTGGTTTCACATTCACAACAGATTTGGAATTTGTATCTTAAAAATAATTATCTTGCATATTTGTAATACTTTTTATTCTACAGCTGTTCTTGTAATTTGCAATGAAACACCAAAATGTTTTCAGTGTAATTAATTAATAATATAATAAAATAAAATAATTAAAAGACACTGATCCTGCCACATTTAACAGCTTCACACTAAAAACACATCCAATTAGAGTTGGGCAATAAGGGGAGGGTTTTTATTTATTTAGATTTATTTGATTTAGTCTTTTCAAAAATAAAAGAAAGCATTTATTTAATCAACATGAACAATACAGAGTTTTAATCCATGCTATTTAACATCAACAAGAATCAAATTTCTTCCTCCAAAGTCTGAACTGTCCTCCAAACTTGCTGGCCTCTCCATTCAAAACCCCCAATCATATCATTGATGTTTAAACATGACAATGGTTACAATGGACAAAGTTAAATAGGTAAATCCTTTGTGAGCTTACAGTATATGTGTCTCTCTGCTCTCTGTCCAGCGGCTTGGTGACCTGGAGCACCCCTGACCTGCGGTCCACAGTGAACAGGCCCTCATCTGCCCCGGGGCCTGTGATCCTGTAGTTTATCATCACGTTAGCATCCTTACTCGTCTTTATCTGAGGGCAATAACATGCATTTATTATCATATTTATGCTTTGACACAAAGGGATCTTAAGCCTGTATGTCAGTGGTTTTCAAATTGTGGTATGTCAGTTAATGTGTCACGATACTAAAATTTCAAACTATTTTGATGTTAAGCAATTGACTAATATTCTATACCGATTCTGTTACCACAATAATACACTCAATAAAACACTCATTTTCAACATTAAATCATAGTACTTTCTTTTATATTACCGTGTGTCTGTGTAATCTCTCAATCATCCAGGTAGTTTCCATTGTGGTCCATGGACATATACTAGTCTGTGTGCTCTTATACTTGTTCTGATACAGCTCAAGATCATTCTAAAACTATTCAGGATAGGTTAATTTCTGTCCTGTGAATGTGACTCTTTTAGAAAAAAAAAAAAGACTTTAAAAACAACATCTCATGCGTATTATCCTTCCATCCATTTTCTTCCACTTATCCAGGGCTGGGTCACGGGGGCAGCAGTCTAAGCAGAGACTCTCAGACTTCCATCACCCCAGACACGTCCTCCAGCTCCTCCAGGGGAACCCCGAGGCGTTCCCAGACCAGCCGTGAGGCATAGTCCCTCCAGCGTGTCCTGGGTCTTCCCCGGGGCCTCCTTCCAGTGGGACATGCCCGGAACACCTCCCAAGGGAGGCGTCCAGGAGGCATCCGGAACAGATGCCTGAGCCACCTCAGCTGGCTCCTCTCAACGTGGAGGAGCAGCGGCTCTACTCTAAGCTCCACCCTATCTCTAAGGGAGCGCCCAGCCACCCTGCGAAGGAAACTAATTTCGAGTGCTCGATCTCGTCCTTTCGGTCATTACCCAGAGCTCATGACCATAGGTGAGAGTAGGAACGAAGACTGACAGGTAAATCGAGAGCTTCGCCTTTCGGCTCAGCTCCCTCTTCACCACAATGGTCCGATACAGCAACCGCATCACTGCCGACACTGCACCGATCCGCCTGTCAATCTCACGTTCCGTCCTCCCCTCACTCGTGAACAAGACGTCGAGATACTTGAACTCCTTCACTTGAGGCAAGGACTCTCCACCCACCCGGAGAGGGCAAGCCAATTTTTTCTGGTTGAGAACCATGGCCTGGGACTTAGAAGAGCTGATCTTCATCCCAGCCGCTTCACACTCGGGGATTGCCGCCGCGACAGGCACCACAGACCTTACAACCACAGCTATGAGCGGCCGCATCGACAATAGAGGCCGAGAATGAAGCCCACTCGGACTCCATGTCCTCAACCTCCCCCAGAATCCAGAAGAAGCCTGGGAAAAGCCGGGGCTGTGAGTTGAAAGTCCTTCTGACCTAGGGCTCTGCCAGACGTTATCAACAAACCCTCACTACACGTTTGGGCCTGCCAGGTCTTTCCGGCTTCCTCCTCCACCAGCGAACCCAACTCACAACCAGGTGGTTATCAGTTGACAGCTCTGCTCCTCTCTTCACCCGAGTGTCCAAGACAAACGGCTGGAGGTCAGATGACACGACTACAAAGTCGATCATCGACCTCCGGCCTAGGGTGTCCTGGTACCACGTTCTCTGATGGACACCCTTGTGCTCGAACATGGTGTTTGTTATGGCCAAATTGTGACTAGCACAGAAGTCCAATAACAGAACACCGCTCGTGTTCAGATCAGGGAGGCCGTTCCTCCCAATCACCCCTCTCCAAGTGTCACTGTCGTTGCCCACGTGGGCGTTGAAGTCCCCCAATAGAACAACAGAGTCCCCGGTCGGTGCACTGTCTAGTACCCCTCCCATGGACTCCAAGAAGGCCGGGTACTCTGCTCTGCTGTTCAGCCTGTAGGCCGACACCACAGTGAGAGACCTGTCCCCGACCCGAAGGCGCAGGGACGCGACCCTCTCGTTCACCGGGGTGAACTCCAACACACAGCAGCTGAGCTGTGGGGCAATGAGCAGGCCCACACCAGCCCGCTGCTGCACCCTGCAGCCAACGCCAGAGAACTAGAGAGTCCAGCCCCTCTCAAGGAGTTGGGTTCCAGAGCTCAAATTGTGCGTGGAGGTGAGGCCAAATATATCTAGTCGGTAATGCTCAACCTCCCGCACAAGCTCAGGCTCCTCCCCCCCAGCGAGGTGACATTCCATGTCTCCATGTCCAGAGATCTGGTCGTCGAGGTCCCCGCCTTCGACTGCCACCCAGGTCTACTTGCACCGGCCCCATATGGTTCCACCCGCAGGTGGTGGGCCCATGGAAGGGCGGCCCCACGTGGCTGCTTCAGGCTATGCCCAGCCGGGCTTTGTGGGGGAAGGCCCGGCCACCGGGCACTCGCCGTCGAGCTCCTACCCCAGGCCTTGCTCCAGGGTGGGGCCCTAGTAACGCCATTCCTGGCAACATAGCTGGCCTCTGAGTTGAACTCGTCATATGGTGCTTGTGAACCGTTCTTCATCTGACCCGTCCCCCAGGACCTGTTTGCCTTAGGTGACCCTACCAGATACATGAAGCCCCCGACAATATAGCTCCCAGGATCATTTGAGCACTCAAACCCCTCCACCACGATAAGGTGACGGTTCAAGGAGAGGTCACGCACATTAACATTAAACAAATAGTACTGTAGGAGACAGGACTGGTGCAAGGTATGGTTCAGGGTGTGGGTGTATTGCTCTGGTGCAGAGGGGGCGGGGCTCACGCGGGCAGGTGCGCATGCATGTGTGCCTGTGGAAGGATTTAAGTGTGCACTTACCTGATACCCAGTTTTGACTGAGTGTCAGGGCTAGGTAGCCATAATTTTTGTTGACCGCCACTCCTTTTCTATACTCACTATACTCACCCTTTATTCTGTCCATCTTCTTCTCTGCGCTGGGATAGTTGTATGTCCGTTAAATAATATACAAAATGCACTCTGGATCCAAGCGTATTAGTTTGCAATAGCCTTCATGCGCGTCACAAACTACGACCCCAGGACCCACTCTGATCTTCCCGAGCGGCTCTAAGGTTGGTCAACAAGCCGCTACATTACCATCGCTAACCAATATAAATTAAAAGCTGTCTATACAGTGTCACCAAATATAAACAACATGATCATTTTCAGTTTTTTGAAGGGCTTAATTAGAAAACATAAATGTAATATTCTGAGAGTTAGCCCCCTCCTTTGGGATTATTTTGACACTCTTTTCTTACTATTGCTTTCTCAAAAACAACCTCTTCACAAGCTGTTGCACTGGAATAATGGCATGGAGGTACAGATGTAAAAATGTAAATGTAAAAAAAGGACTACCCCAAATTATTAGTAGTTAATAAAGCAGAACAGATCACCCATTATTTACTGGATTTACTGTAGCTTCCTTTTATCCATGACATTTTGAGAACTATTCACCTTTCAAAAAATATATTATTGCAATGACACCTGTCCTAATTTTTCATCATTCTGAAACCCATGGATAGCAGCAGTAATATTCCATTCTCCCAAACTTACATATTCATGAGTTTCAGGCAAATGAGTCCTTCTGGATTTGAAGGACTGAAAGACCTTTCCCTATATTTTTCATATATTTAACTCCAACTCATTTTGTCCTTACTTGGAAGCTAGTATGTTGTGAGATTATAGAATGTGATGTTGTCAGATGGTGTCAAGAGCCAGTTTTCACTATTGATTACATGGTATTTTCCCATGAAATATCCAAAAGGTAAATTCAGAAATGCTGAACCTGATCATTTCTCTTAGTTACTAGACCCAAGAACTCACCATACCACAGCAAAAATCTGCATTTGAATAATGTTCATTTTATCTGCCCTATCTGTAATAAATAATATTGGCCCGTAGTATGTTGTGATCTCATCTGAAAGCCAGTAATTGGGTAAGATTTCTATTTATCTATGGAACAGTGCTTGATTTACGTCTGTGAAAAGGATTTTTCTGGAGAATAATTTTTTTTTTATATTTTTGTGTAATTATTGTCAATTAAATATAAATATATTTTCATAAATTCTTACAGTTTACTACAAAAATGTCTACTTACTTTGACAATAAACTTTGGAAATGGCCCTCTGTCATTTTCAGGGAAGTACAACGGAGGAATCACCCAGTCCCTTTTAACTCGCTTCAAGAGGCGAAACATATGAGCAAAATGATCTGTACCAAGGTTCTCCAGGCTTGTATTAGACATGACCTGTTTCAGATAAGAAAAATACATAGAATCTTACATTTCTAATAAATATGTGGTATATATGACTTACATTATAATTCTTGCTTTGTAACTTTAAATGTGAGGACACTGGTGGTTGGATCTGATTCTTTGGCAGAGCAGTAATCCACTATAAAAACAATATGACAATGAAGTACAACATATTTAAACAATCTGATAAAAAGAAAGCTTCCCAAATTATAAACTTACCCAGAATTGGTAAAGGAAAACAAGAATTCCAAACATCATATTCCAGATAATCTTCACAGCTAAACTAAAAACATTCATAGTAACAGTTTTAGCCTTTTTCTGTCTTCAGTGTAGTTTAAAGAAGAGAGAGAGAGAGAGATCAGAGCTGGGGAACAGGTGTACACCACTGAAATGAGAAGCTGTTATGTGTTATCACAACATTCAGGTTTGTTGATGTGGGTCAGTCTTACACGCCCACTTTTCAACCCATCTTACTCACCAAATATAAGTGTGATTTTATGCTGTTTTCTGATTTATGTTAAAATAAAAAACATGCCTGGAGTTTTGTATTGTTTCATTTATACATGTCTAAGACAGTAATCCTGCAGATATAGTCTGAGCTCTTCTCTCAAATGGAAACCACGCTGTTCCACTTTGTGATGTCATGTGGCAATATCGAAAGTGCTTTATTGTGTTTTTATACTCCACCTTCACTAGAATAATCTGGATAATTTCAACCAGAAATTGCCAACCAATACTGAACAAAAGGTAAAAGTTGGAACAGAGCATTTTAAGTTTTGGAGATGTAGACATACTAATAAGAAAAGATTACTCAAAAGTGTGAATGAAACAAGACACAGCTCCAGGTATGTTTTTGATGAGGTACCAACATGGCTTTAATAAAATACACTGTTCTTATGAATTGTATATAATTATAGACATTTAGTTTCAATTAACCATCTGATCATACTTTACATTGATACTTTAGTTGGAGCGGCTTGTGGAATCTGTTTACTAAATATCTGAAGATGGTTAGGCTGAGTGCCTGAGAATCATTTGTTTATTTTGTCAACTGTTTCTCACACAGCTCTCGCAGTCCACTTGAAATGGGTCATCATCCGTGAAAACAGTGGCAATCGGTTCTGACTATACTCATATTTAAAAAGTTTAAAATGTTCAAAAATGTCTTTTCTGCTACTACAAAATTATATTCCATTACATCAGAGGTGGGTAGAGCGGCCAAAATTTGAACCCTAGCAAAGTACTACTCAAGTAAGAGTAATTTAAAGAGTAACTGCCTGGATGTAACATCTGATTTATAATTTGGAATTAATGTAATTTGAAGGACAAAGTAAGTCTACAAGTGATAAATGTAACCAAAAGTTTTGTTCAAATAAGAGTTCTTCATTCAGAGTACTTCATTGAAAATATTGCTGTAGTAGAAGTAAAAGTATGTAGTAAATGTAAGTGAGTACTACCCACCTGTTTTTACATCAGTGAAAATGCTTTCATAAACCCCCTCAATAAACCAGTCATATATAATTTAATAATTCCTTATAATAAAATAAAATAGTTCCTTATAATAATAATAAAAAATAGTTCTTCTTCCTTTTTATTATTCCCTTTTCCGACCAAACGATCGCATTTTGCCCAAAGTGACCTGACACAACAGCGCCACCTAGAATTGGACCCCTATGGGAGTAGGGACATGAAAAGTTTGTCAAAGGGAAACGAAATTCGAAACAGTGATAGAGAACAATGAGACAAGACAAAAGATGAATTGGAGCATGACCCTATGACGAACAAGAAGTCGGCCATATTGGATCAAACATTCGGCACCGTTTTGACTTGGGTGTCTACAAAAAGATTCAAGTCCCTGGGGTTTGCTCCAAATGAGCTCAAATTTGTCATGTCACATCTAGAGACATGAACTCACAAAAATCATCAGAAGGAATTTTGATACTCCTTACGGTTCGCCCGTAGCACGCCGGCGAAAAACGCCTTCATTTCCTGTTTTTTCGGTGACCTGTCACGGCCACAGGCATGGTCCTAGAGAGCTCAAATTCAAATCACAATTGTGTGATCCAGGCCTGAATGTAATGAAATATGAAATCTAATAAAAGTGAACTCTATAGCGCCCCCTAGCATAGACATGAAACGTCAACATTATTGGATTTGGACCAAATTCGGGGATTAAATTCTATGCATGATTACAAGCAAAAAAGTCTATTACAGACATGATGTATTTTCCACCATTGGCCAGCAGGGGCGCAAAGACTCCCCCAAAAATAGTTTAAAAATTATTACAGGGACATGCTTAGTCCGATCGTGCTGAAATTTGAAACACTAATGTGAGTTTTTGACCTGAATATAATACACTATAAAATATGCATGATTACAAGCAAAAAAAGTCTATTACAGTCATGGTGTATTTTTCACGGTTGGCCAGCAGGGGCACAGAGAATCCCCCCAAAAATATTTAAAAAATTATTATATGCACGTTTTGTCCAATTGTGATGAAATTTCTATCAGTTATACACTGCATGACCATGATTCCATTGATATGTCAAATACAGTTATTAGGGATACAGTGCCACCTATATGAATGCACACAATTTATTATTGGGTGAAATAAAATTACTTTTACATTCATTTGTAAAACTTTGCAGAACATTCACTGACATGCTCCTCATCATAAAAGTCAGTAAGACCTATGCCCTAGTTTTACACTTTTGCCTCTAGAATAATTTCACTTTTGAGAAATTTAAAGGCACACTATGTAGCTTTTCTGGTGGAGGATGTGTTTTCATGCACTTAGTCTTAGTGTGACACTGCTCTTGACCATTAAAGTCACGTGACCTGTGGCTTAGTGTCTATAGTTTGTCTCTAGAATCATTCACTTTATCCAATTTTAAAGGTACACTATGTCATTTTTCTGGTGGGAAAACACCAGCTGTCCAGGCTGTCGGCCTGGGCAGCTGTTGGGAAGAGAGAGTGGCGTGCCGGGGCGGTTGCGAGTCCCTGGCGATTGCGTGGGGGGGGCGGTGCGTGCCGGGGCGAGGGCCACCATTGCCGCGCGCGGGTTTATACATACATATATATATTATTACTAAATTGTTATTTTAAAAAAATATTTTTATAATGAGCAAAGGAGTACAACATTAAGCCTATTTCCAGCCTTACAGTGAAAAACAGCTAAGAACCCCAAAATTTGGCATCAAACCAAAAATAATTCAGATTTATTTTCAATAAAACAGTCATTTCACAAACAACAGATTGTTACATATTAAAATCTTTGTTTTTACATAAATACAGGGAAAACATACAACAGGACAAACTGTGCTAAGACAAAAGGCAAGTTTCTTTTCTTCTTCCGAGATCATCAGCACTTCTTATAAATCCAAAGGTGCAACTTTTCAGGCACTTTTAGGTAAATGTAACATGCACTGAACAGGGAGCTGGAACTATGGCATATATGCTTCTTGACCATATACATACAGATAACAATTCAAGAACCTTCAAGTAACTTTGTGTTCCTCCCTCTGACCCTACCTTAGCTATGATGAGGTCTGGCCAGGTCAGAGTTGAGGTACACTACAGTAACAGTGATGTCATCTCGGTACATGCGGGCGAGGTCTTCAGGCAGGGAGAGCATAGAGGCTAGTTTCTCCTGGCACAGCTCTCCATAGTCTCCTTTGCCCAGGGCCTGTCTGATGAGGTGTGTGGCCACATTTGTGTCCAGAGCAGGGGATGCTCGGGCACGCCGCTTCAGTAAGAGCTCATGTAGTTTCCCAAGCTTCAACTGTCTCTCCATCTGAGTGACTGGAGCCTGAGGACAGATATGTAATATTTACTCAAATTAACCTATCAAAGCCTAATCTTTGACAAATTACCAAAATTGATATTTTTCCTTGCACACCATTTGAAACATTGTACATTTAGGTAGCCATATACATAGAAAATTTTAAATGAAATAGTAATTTTATTCTGTTTGCATAGGGAGAATATGAGCAGATTCATCTTATGTTAATGTGCCATGCTCAGTGACTGAATGACTGTAAATGCAGTTGGTTACACATATCAGCTGGGCTTCACCATTTCTGTGTGAGGTAAAATAATGTAGCAGAACATTGTGCAGCATCTTTAAAACCAACCTGCAAGTGAATCCCACTGAGATGTTCCCCAACCAGACGCACAGCCTCTTCGTTGGACAGCTCATCCCACAGTCCGTCTGTGGCTAGAATGAGGAAGCGGTCCTGAGGTCGCAGCTTGTGATAGGTTATCTCAGGAGCCACGTCCAGGTAGGGCGGGCTCAGGTAGTTTGGAGGGACATAATTGTACAAGTTCAGAGAATCCAGGTCTACGGTGGACTCCAGACTGGAAATGATGCTCTGTTGTAACTCAAGACTCCATTTAAACCTCACATCACCAAAGGCTCGCAACGGCATCAGAATCTAGTAAAACATTAATAAACACACAATAAATAACAACAATAAAAACAAAATAAAACATATTGCAGAACAGAAGGCTATTCCAAAAATATATATTATATAAGTTACTACTTGGTCACTCACTCCAAGTAATCGGTCATCTGTGACCACAGTATCTCTCTCCGACTGTGGGTGTTGGGCCTTTATCCGCTCCACCTCTGAAAAATTCTGGGAGTTGTGGTCCCAAGAAAGAGGCTGAGCACTCCATGATCCATCCTCTTCTTGAACCCCTAACACAGCCCTGCAATCCCCTGAATTGGCTACGTGGATAGAATCTGGGCCAACATGAGCCACACATGCAGTACAACCAGCAAACGCCACCTGGACAGAACACAAGAAAACACAACTGCATTTCTGTCTGTGTGAGTGCAAGTTAATTAATTCATCCACATGAAATAGTAAATTGATAAAAACTAGGGTATCCAATATTTTCTACCTGAATGGCTGTGCTTTTCATCAAGCTGTTCAAAAGAGGGACCTGGGCCTCCAAAGAAATATCAGCATCAAGTCTTTTGAAGGCCCGATCCAGGGCATCAGGAGGGCTAAAAACAGTGCAATTTTATCCTGTTTTGGCAGTATCCTGTTTTGTCCATCAGCACTACAATATTTTGCAGTAACAGGCTAAGCAAAAGTGATAATAATATGACTTACCTCAAGCCTTCACTGTGTTCTTCACTGTCTAGAACCTCCTGCCAGAAAACCCGCAGGTGTTCGATGTAGAGTGATGCTGATTCTCTGTAGTTATAGTCTGAGTGATGTTTATACCACTGTAGAATGGGAGGAACAGCTCTGCCCTGTTCCATGCAGCGCTCCAACTCCTCCAGGTTCTGCTTTGGCATCATTGCCACAGCAATGTAATACAACAATCTCTCACTAACCGCCTGTGCACACGCCCAGCCACCGTGGCCATCAAACACTCCAAAAAGCATCCCCTTTGACTGAGAAAGAATAACTGTTAAATGTCTTGTAAGTGCATGAAATAAACAAATAGATAATTCAGAAAGTACCTGTAGACATGTGGCTGCACTGCGGCGATCCTCATTTGGAGTATTGGCAGCAACCTGGTTGCTCTCAAACTTCCTCACAGAGCTGAGACCCCTGCCATCAAACTCTGGCACACTCACACTCTGCAACACACCAGAGAAAAACAAACGTAAGATTTAATGTTGTTTCATGCTCGGTTCTTACATATAGTTAAAGCATTCATTCACATCCCGTATATTACCTGTTCATTTGATCTGAGAAGGCTGTTGATTTGGACCTGGCTGAGTTGAAAATCCAAATCCTGACGGGTTGAAAAACTGCGCGATCGCTGAGGTGTGCTTTGTGATTTTTCACGAGTGCAGCTCGTCTGGTCAATTTCGTTAATCCATGATGAGAAGTGACAGCGCTGGCTGTGTCTAGTCGTGTGTTTAGATGAAAATTCTGCAAGCTGAAGACACTTGAACATAAAACGTCGGTAGGTTTAGTAACTGTATATAAGATTTAAGTTGAGTAAGGACAGAAAGCGCACAGACCTGAGATGAAGCTGGGGCAGAGGAGATCCGTGAGCAGTAAGCTCTCTGAAGGATGCTGGCGCACACACGCCCAGACATCTCCGATAGGATGCTCTTGATAAGGTGGGGTATTATACCTCGATTATTACTGTAACACAATGCAAACATAACACAGCATAACCATGAAGTCTGTCTTTCTAAACAGGCGAAAAACAACACAGCTGACCAACAGTAGTAACGGCAGCACTGGCGTTAAATACATAATGCTAATGACTACTAGCCTGTTAGCTTTGCAAAGTTTACAATTCACGCTACAGTTTTCAGTATAGATATGTCTGCACTAGATATGTCTGTGTAGAATAGCGTAAAGAGTCAAATACCTTAGAATATGCAAAAGCGGTGCACATTAATTTCTAAAGACGTTCACTGAAACATTCCAGCTGCAGAAGCTGCTGCGGCGTGACGTACCAGCCTACGTTTGACGTGCTTTCGTCACACGCATTGACTGTATGACTCAGCTGTAAAGATTTCGTCTTTTAACACATTTTAGAGTACAGTTTCAACACAATATAACATTTTTGTCGAACATAACGTTGTAGAAAAAATAATTTTGCACTAATATAATTTTAGGTGCCTTTTTTTCACATTTCCAGCTGTGGCGCCATAATCGCGTTACCATGGTGTCCAGACGTCAGCTAGCTAATTAACCAGATGCTGCCAATTTAAAGTTTTGTTAAGTCACAAGGATCCTTAAATGTCGGATATTTAATTTTGTCTTTTATAACATTTAGATGGTGACTTAGTTATTCAGTGACATGGACACAAGCCGAGCAGTGGATGGCAGCAGTCGAAATAGTGAGTCACTTAAATAGTAAATTCATTGAGTTTTAACGGTAAACTGTATAAGTCTGAAAATCAGTCTGAAAACTCGCATAAATATTATGCTAGCAGTGAGGTGGTTGGACTGAATTAGTTAATATTTGCTCTCAGCCATCAGAACAGATCTCAACTTGCTTCTTGAGTGTCTGAAGTTCCAGATGAAACGTCCTGACCTACAGAAACAAGCCCTACTAACTATTCATTCTATCTGTGAAAAGAAAGGTATTTAGCTCAGTTTACAACCAATGAAGTAAAATAAGAGTTTATAAATAAGGTATAATTATTTGTACAGAGGATAATGTGGAGCTGCTGAGAGAAATGGGAGGTGTAACTTTTTTATTGAACCTCTCCAAGTCCAGCATTGTTCAGTCAGATGTGAAGGAAATGGCTCTCTTCACTCTGGGAACTCTGGCAGAGGCCAGTGGTAAGAGATGATGGATTCATACTTGTGCAGTTGAAGAAACATGCATTACAAACAATGTTGTCTCATTTGTGTTCATATTTTCTTCAATTGATCCTTTTTTTTTTTTGGTAGTTTATTGTAAGAACTCACTGAGCAGAAAGGAAATATTTACAGACGTGGCTGACTGGTTGGTGAGAGAAGATGCTCCACTGACAAAGAAGAGAGTTATTGTCTATTTTCTTTCTGTTGTGGTGTCCAACAACAGTAAGTTGTGAAATTTAGCATATAGTTTAAGAAAAAACATTATTACCATTTTAACAATTAACAGTAATTTAAAGGTACACTGACATTTTTCTGGTGGTCGTTTGCTACCTGCTTGTCTGCATGGAAATGTTGTTGCTTTCTCCTGGATGTATGGCATCAAACATTTACTGCTGTCTTTATTGAGGAAAAAAAACATACATTCTTACTGTGAGCTGAATTGCCTCTCCACAGGTCTGACCTGTAACATCTGCTAGTTTCCATAGATAAATTCAATGCCATACTGAGGAGCACTCTGGACAAAGCAATAACATATCAATAACGTAACGTAAAATCTGCATGTGACGGATGTACTTTGCTTTTGCTTAAATGCTGTTGCAGAATTAGGACAGACACTGGCCCAAAACACAGGCTGTCTGGAGATTCTTTTCAATCTTTTCAGGTACTATCTTGAATTAGACTTAGATACTTTGAACATCAACTTTGATCATCTACATATGAGCCTATTATTGGTCTTTTTTTTTCCAGAGCCACATTCCCTCTGTCTCCAGAGGATAGTTTCAAAACAGCCAACTCTTCACAACTACACCAACTTTGGTCTTCAGTGTCTAGTGCTCTATGTGGATGTGTAAACAATCCTCAGAATGGTATTATGTATTATTATATATATATATATATATATATATATATATATATATATATATATATATATATATATATATATATATATATATATATATATATATATATATATATATATGGTATATATATATATATATATATATATATGGGTTACTCTTAAACATGTAATATTTCTTAATAATAAAACATGTTTCTCCTTTTCCATTAGAGGAAGGACAGAGTGCTTGTGTCATTGTGTTTCCAACTGTGAAAAACTGGTTTCAGCAGATTTCTCTTCCTCAAATGGAGATATTTCAGCCCATATATTCTTTCATTGCAATGACTGTAGCAAATAACTGTAAGTACTTGCAGAGATCAATTAAATGAAACATCTATTATGTTTAAGTATAACACTGCAATGCAATACTTTATTGTGTAAATATAAAAAAATATTGCATTCATAGATGTAAAGAAACCAAAAGACATGCTGATTATTTTGTCCAAATCATATTCTATTCTATACAATTCAGTTTTATTCTGGACTCAGGGTCCAGAGTTTTTTCTGGGGAAAGTTCCATTCCTGATTGTCTAATGGAGATGTTAATGCATTTCCTGGTAGTTAGTGATGCACAGGTCGACCCATAACCCGTTGAACCAATGGTCACCTCGCGGATTCGGGCGGGTTGGACAAATAAATGAGAAGAAGTAGAGCGGGTGCGCTGTACTTTATAGGAATAGACTCGATACCGAATCGATAATAAAAAACACTCTTTCTTGAGACAATTACCATGTGGTCTGTGTTCCATAGTGGTTTGTGGTCATTTACTAGTCTGTGTTTTATTGCCATACTGTGGAAAGTTTCAAGCAAAGCATTTACATAATATAATAATAATAAGCAAAGGTGCATTTACATAATGCACCTTTAAAACAAAACAAATATGTGACTGCAGTAATTTATGCATACAGTACTCTACATGTGAGTAGAATCAACCATATGGATAACTAAAATAATGTATTTTTAAAATAAAAATGGTACTGTATTGACAGTTGACACAACAGTTGTATCTATTATCTTCTCATAGCACTAGAGAGCTCATGGTGTATTTGTTTTTACAGCTTCTGTGCAGGAGAGCTTTGCCGCTTCAGGGGGACTGGAAAATCTCACTTTGGTCCTGATTAGATTTTGTCTAGGGTCAGAGACAAGCCTGTTGGCCTGCCAACTGGCTGTCTCCACTTCCAAAACCCTGTCTGCCTGTATCAGTGATAACCGTCAGTATTGTTTTCCCAAAGACACATCGTTCAAAGCTGGCTGACATTCTGCAAAATACTGCTCATTGTGTATGCCTTAATGTTTTCAATAGCTGCCCTCGCTTCAGACCTGGCAAAGTATGGACTAGTCTGTCACCTCTTTTCATTGCTTATCAACCCAAAACTGGAGTCAGAGGAGAGGCTATCTGTGTTACTAACTTTGGGCCACTGCACAGAGGCTTCAGGTAATCCTTCCATATTTTCAATTTTTTTCACCAATTTACACTGTTTTTTTATTTTGACAAACCATATAAAATATTAAAAAAGAAAAATGATAATCTCTTTATTTAGTCTAGCACTCTCAAAGAATGACAACCATTTGGGATTGTTTTAATAATAGCAGTGGGGTCAAAGTACACATTTTGAATACTCACAGAAGCATGAACATTTTAGAGAAGAAATATGAACTACTAATAACTAGTACATGAATCACATCTATTTCAGAACTTTCTATTTCAGGTCTAAACTACATGGTTACATAAAAGGCAGCATATTTAGTTTTTAGAAGTATTTACTGTAACCAGATTGCAGCCCAAAAAGTTTAATTAATTGAATAAAGTTTAATAAAGTTGAATAAACAATTTAGCAACATTTCATAATCTTTAGCCTTACATCAAATACTTGGTAGGTGACAGGTTTTCATGTTTTCTAATTATTACTTGGTTTAGGGGGATAGTACCTGCAGTAAATGTTTGTCATATATATGTTTCATATTAGTTAAATTGCAGTTTGTTGCAAAAATGTGTAGTCTATGCACTTGAATTTAACTCTAAATATATTCTCCTGCTTGAAGAGGAACACCAGAAGCAGTTGGTGCAAATTGGCAGTCTCCCCGTGATCATAACTTTACTCGCAGAAGATACAAGCGAAGAGGTCCGCAAGGCTGCCACATTTATTCTGCAGACTTGTAAGCAGGCCAGTAAGTCAGTACAACTTATAGTACAGTACAGTTATACAGTGTGTTGATATATTTGTTTTGTTCATCTTTGAAGCAAACATTTTAAAATGTCCTGACACAAAGAAGAAAGAAAATGAAAAGACTATTCCAGATATAAACATAGACAAGTACCAAACATCTGCAGATGAATTACTGCATAGAATTGACCAACTTGAGAAGAAACAGGTATTTATATGCTAAATTATAAGTTAGATAGGGGTTGCAACCAAGAAAATTAGATTTATTTATGTATTTTTTTTTAAATTATTTTATATTTTTATTTTTTGTTTTGTTATAGGCTGAAGCTGAACAAAAACATACATACCCAAAGATGATATCTCAAAGCTCCACATGTGTTCCTTTAACTGAAATACAACCAGAGGACAGGTTTTGTGAGAGTGATGATGGATCTTTAATTATAAGAGTAAACAGGAATCTTAACAGCAACAAAATTAAGAAAAGTTCCCAGGAAGATAAAGCTAACAATGCAGGGGCTGAGAATTCATGGTGGTCTACATACTACTGCACAAGAACTGAACAAAGTGTTTCCAATGGGCAAAGGCTAGAGGGAGCCAGAGAGCTACAAGAAAATAGGTAACCAAATAGTTGCTGTTGACTATAATATGAAATGACACTTGTAAAACTGAAAACTATGTTGGCTTTTTTGTTTAGTCAGCCATTTAAAGTACCAGGTCCAATATGGCCAGATGTACAAAAAGACAACTGTTCTGTTGAGGAAGGTAAGAAACTGATATTTGTGTAGTTTATAGGCTAAGGTGGGGAGTACGCTGTTACATTTACTTGAGTGACTTTAAAGAAATTGTACTTTTCAGAGTACTTTTCTAGCAACATACTTTTACTCCTACTTGAGTCATATTTTATTGAAGTAACAGTACTCTTACTTGAGTCAAAGTTATGGCTATTCTTATCACTGTAATAAATTATATGAAATTATCTGAATATTTGTGTTTCCTGCACCGCTCCTTCAGATAGAATGTAGTTTCTCTCATTTTTGTGCCTATTCTTCAAAAATACAACATTTGGTGCATCATTTAATGTTTTATCCTTCAAATTACATTAACTCCAATTTATAAACAGATGTTATGTCCTGACAGTTACTCTTTATGTTAATCTCACTTGAGTCGTAGTTTTCCCAAATACTTTTTACTTTTATTTGAGTAATCTTTTGGACATCACTTTGTACTTCTACTTGAGTATTATTATTATTTTGACGAAACGTTTCTCTTCTTTCAGTACAATTTTTGGCTACTCTTCCCACCTCTGTGTATATGATTGTTTAAAGCAATATGTTACATGTTTGTATTTTATTTTATTTTTTCAGTTTTGAGTAATGAGGCAAATAATGGTGGTAAAGAAGCGTCCATTTCGGATGTCAGATGTACAGGTATGTCAAGCTAAAACAGAATTTAAACTATGACCTAGAATGGTTCATACATTTTATGATAAAGAAAACAGTATGTTTTTCATTACTAATTATTTAACATTCTGCATCATTTAAAAGTCTTGAAAAAAAAACAAGTATTCCCTCACCAGAACTGTCCCACCATTTTCCCATTACCTTTTTACATTACACTACGAACAATTTAAAATAAATGCACATAACAACTACTGGGCATATTGCTTAAACTTATTTGGATGATGTTTTTAAATAATTTTAAGTCAAATGAAACAATACTCTCTGCTCAGCCTGTACATTAACTTCTGCGTTAAAGTGAGTGCCAGGTTAACCTCTTTCCCTTCTTATTTGTCTCTTGTGTACCAGGTTGTGTTTTGCGTTTCGATGAGGTGAACAGTCGCACATTCTCATCTCTTCAGAGCTCCTGCACCCACAGCTGTGATATGCATCGAGTCCTGAAGGAGGCCACGGAGCGCTACATATCTCATCAGGGCAGTCTTTTCATCCAACCAGAGCACCCACCCAGCAGCACCCAGGAGCAGTCAAACCCCTGCTCTGACACTGTTACCACTGCACAGGCACACACGAACCAGAAAAACTGGAGAGGTGAGGCCAGTCTGTACTCAAATGTACACTCTCTCGACAGACTTTTTTACATAACTATTATGTAACATCCTTACAATGCTTTTTTTTTTTTTTTTGCATGTACACCCACCAAATATCTAATGACATTCTATGTTAAAGTTATCAGTCTGACTCCAATGAAGAAGCCAAATCCAGTCAAGCACTTCCAGCTGACAGAACAATGGAAAAAGGACCAAGGCATGAGATAATAGAAAGAGCAGTCCTTTATTATGCAAAATTTACTTTAAGATATGAAACATTTATTTTGTTTTGTCATCAGAAACAAATTTATTTTGTTTGATGTTTGAGTAATCCTGCAAATAGCCAGTCTCCCTTGTCAGAGTACAAAAGACTTCCACCTTATGATGTCATTATGTACACCAGGAAGTGCTTCTATGAGTTTTTAAAGTACCTTCATCTTCAACAATCACTTTCTGTAATAAAAATGCAATAATTTAAGCTGTAAATTATGTAAGGACAGGACTATTATGTCCAAAAGTGGTTAAAAAAGTCTTAAAGGTGCTGTGCTTGGTCTTAAAAATTAGAAAAAATAACACATAATAGATTTGACAAGTCTTTTCCTTGTGATAGATGTGCAATTAACTCCTCTTCATAAAGGGATAAAAGCGACGGGGCCTGTTTTTTGTCAAAGAACCGGTAAGAGTTTTTGTCGCTATTGTATCATGATATAAGTCATACTGTACTTGTTAACACCAGTTCTCTTTCTCTCTAGTTCCAATCTTCAGTCGTTGTCATCCTTCTGAAAGTATGTACAAATACAGGGAGTGTTTGCAGTTTGCTTTTCGTGTGTCATAACTTTTAAGGCCGTGATGGGAGCTGTCCTGTCCTGCGCAGTGTTTCCTGGCAGGCTGCTCACCAAAGAGCAGCAGGAATGTAGAGCCGGAGCCAGGGTTTTCACAGAGCAGGCCAGACCAGAGCGCCACAGCTGTATTATCAAGCTATTTCACATGCACAACGACGTTTATGTGTGTGACATGAAAAAGTAGTGCAAAGAGTGTTTCCTGCTTGGAAAAGTCACCAATATGTCCGAGCTGGTGCTGTGCAGAATTCAGAGCCGTTTCCGTGACTATGCTTTGTACTACTGAACGAATTACATAGTAACCTTTCACCTACATTTCTTATTAAAGGTGCACTATGTAACTTTTTTGGTGCATCTTTTCATGGAGGTGTTTTTGCTTTGCCTTGGACATCATCATTATAACTAATAACTGATCATATCTGTCACTATGGAGGCAAGCTCACTAACTATAATGAAGCATAGCAACATTCCAAGCAAAGCAAAATACATAGTGCACTGACCTTTAAAGGCAATTTCTCAAGGTGGTATGTCACATGCATGGTTCCATAGAAAGTTAAAACCATACTGTGGAACATTCTCCATGTAGATAAGTTATATGCCATATTGTGGGAGATTATAGCCAAAAGAACAACAGTTCCATGAAAACAAGCAGGTGAAGGCCCTACTCGAGATCAAATGAGAGTCAGGTTTGTGAATATGCAGGCCTGCTCAGAGTAGGGATGCAGGTTTTTCAGAGCTATTAACTAAAAACATGCATTTATAATAGTGTGTTTTTGGCTAAAGATTGTGGCTTTAATAAATCTACATTTACAGAGAATGCACCAGAGAAGAGCAGAAGTAAATTTTTTCCAGATGACCATTCAGATGGGAATATGGATGCACAGACTTGTTCAAATGTAGCTCTCTTTCTTTACCACTTTAGATTCACTAATACATACTTCGATGACTGTTGTTATGTGATTGTTTGTGCTGTGTTGTTACCACAGTCTAGCTCCCAGAGGAGGAAGAGGCAGGACTTCAGCCGTGAGGAGGAGCTGTACTTACTGTGTGGAGTCAAGACGTACGGCCCCTCCTGGAACACTATCCTGTGGTCCTACCCCTTTCAGCATGGTCGGACCAATGTAGACCTCGCCAAAAAGTACAGGCGCCTAATGGTAATATGAGAACGTGACCCAAAAAAGGAACAAAAATACACTTTACTTATCTTCATCTTTTATTATTTACTATTTTATTTTTCATTTCAGAAAAACAAAGCAAAAGTTGAAGGTTTGACCTAGTTTTGCTCTAGCTCTCGATGACAATGAGTGTATTAATTTTCAATATTTATTTATGTTTATTTACATATTTATTTTAAAATAACCTAAAAATGTACTTGGTTGTAACTTGTTCCATATTTTAATATTTTTGTCTGTTTGAATATGTCTTATAATTATTACATGAATATGTGCTTTCATAACTCTTCCATAAAACACACATTTTCTCAGCAGTGTTTCTGCCTCATTCCGTTATGCAAATGAAAATGCCTGGAAACCATAGTAACAAAACATTTAAAACATGTTATACCAGGTTTAATTAATTTGCATTTTTTTGTATTTCACACTTTATCTAAGCCCCAACTAACTTGTCAAAAACTGTACCAGATCATTTAAACACACTTTATCGTACCCAATGTTAACAGTTTTTAAGCATTTTATTCTAATTTTCTTAATGTAAACTCTTCAGTCTCTGCACTGTGTTAGCTGCACATTTGCCAGTGCCAAGTGCTTGACTCAGCGCTAGCTTGACATCACAGGGCCAATCCCACTCCATGGAGACCTGTGATCATGTTGCTAAAGCATGGGGCTTATTCTCTTGCAAAGGCTCGAGGCAGTGGCCATCAGACGGGTGTGGCGGAAGAGAAAAATTATAATGCTATTAGTTAATATGATCACTGGCACCAAGGTTTGGTGACACATCAACCTGTAGTTTTTCAAATTTATTTTCAGAATTAGTGTTATATGTATTTTATAAGAAAAATATATAAACCTGATCTTAAAGAAGTAGGTTAAAGTTAACTTGCTTTTTTAACACACCACAAATTGTTATGAAACCCAACCCAGTCATACTTAGTGCTCAGAATTTTGCAATGACAATATTTTCCCCTGACCATTACTCATTGCATCACTGACTCCATTAATGAGTATTTTAAGATTATAGTCAAGTTTGTCTTTTAAGTGAAAATAATCCCTCACTGCATAGGATTGGCACTGGCAAAAGCTATCAATGATTGGAGTTTTACACAAGAATGACTATGTATATAGAGAAGTACTGGTAAGCAGCATTTTAAGTGGAAAGGCAGATTCAACTGTCCAGTCACTCCCAAAACACCAGACAACTCACTGCTTGCTTTCTACTTTCTGCTCTTGCGCTAAATCCTTAAAATCTTAAGACTTTAGTTGACAAATGTTTAAAAATGTGGTTGACTAAACCACCGACTGATTAACTGAAGAGTTAAAACCCTAATACCAAGAGACTGACTCCTCCTGAATGCCATAATGTTGTCGCTGGGATTGCGATGCAGTGAGTGAATGGAGAATGTGGCGAGAGAGGCACGCACTGAGCAGATTCTCATGGACCCGAAGCCAGTCCCAGGGAAGACTTTTGACCCCAGCCCTCCGAAAACCCCCTTCCTCTGGAAAGAATGCACGCCCCCCTCCTCCATCCATCTATCTCCCACAAGACCATGAGAAGGCACTCACTCACAGATTTACGCTGGCTGCCATTTTATTTCCATATGTACATTGTGTCCCATACAGTCCATGTGTGTAGTGCTGCTGTGAGACGTCAGAATGCCACTACAGTTCTACTTGGCATGCACACTGCTGCCGAATACAAAGCTCTGTTATCTAGGGAGAATTACATAATACATTACACTCCATTTATTATGTTTTGTTATTGCATGTTACAAATATTTAGTAATTTTATACATATATGTAAACACAAAATTGTTTCCAAATATTTGCACATTTTATTTTTACAAGCAAGCAAGCAACCACGCAATTAATCATCCCTTATGAAAATAGAAAATGATATCCGACTTTTGGGGACATTGCAAAGACCAAACACGTACATTGAACTGCAGGCCAGATGTTGATACAGCAACTCCCTTTTTCTATCATTCGATTCCACATTTAGTACATTATTATGCTTATCCACCAAAAACAATGCACTCACTTAGAACAAGAATCACATTAGATCATTTCCCTTACATTTGTTTTTATGTTTTTGTATGGAGGCTTGCATAGTGACATTAGATTCACTTTACTCATCTGCTTCTGGAATTTGCTGAAGTTATTTGCAGAGAGTGCAATCTCTATTGTCCAACACTGTCATCATCCCTGATCATACTGTTAAGCCAACAACAATTATGATTATAAAATTGTTATAGAATTAGTAGGCCACGTTAGGTGACAAAAATATAAGTCAGTAATTGTCAGGATTGATGTAAGGTTTCGAGGCTTCATCCCAAATGTCTATGGCATACTTGTGGATTCACATGAGCAGATCAGAGGAGGAGAGGAGAGGCTCGGGAATCGTCACGTCATTCATAATGCAATCAGGCACAACACCGTTCTCTTTGAGCTCCAGCTGTTTTAACAGTGAGCTCATGTTTTCTTCACTGTCGTCGTTTACAACTACAGTCTCGGAGGTGACTTGGCACAGGATGGGCTCCGGGTCAGCAATGAGGTCTAACAGAGGGGTGGGTTCAGGGGCAGCATCGGGGGTCAGCAGGTCTGTGTCTGGGATTATCTCGGGCACAAACATCTCCAGAGGCTCTGATTTGAAACATGCAACGGGTTCTGGGATTTCCATGGGCATGACGTCTGGAACAGGTTCTATGGAGGGGAGAGCTTCAGGCTCTGGGAGGAGCTCAGGTGCCTCACATGGGACAGGCTCTGGTTCAAGCACCTCCTCAGGCACTGCACATGCGACAGGCTCTGGTTCAAGCACCTCCTCTGGGGCTGGGCATGTCACAGGCTCTAGTTCTGGTTCAGGGAGGGCTTCTGGTTCTGGGACAGGTACAGGGAGCACCTCCGGCTCAGGGCACAGCACTGGTTCTACTGCAGGCAGGTTACACAGTACAGGCTCTAGTACTGGGATGGGCTCTGGGCCAACCTCAGGCACAGGAGCAGGGACTGGTTCTGGTTCTGGGACCACCTCAGGGACTGTGCAGGGGACAGGCTCTGGCTCAGGGACAGGCTCTGGGACAGGCTCTGGGACAGGGTCAGGGACAGCCGGGGCTTGGTCAGGTGCGGGCTGGACCTCAGCAGCAGGAGCCGGTTCTCCATCAGACTCTGGAGGGGTGGGCTCAGTGGTGGGGGGCAGCTGTGCCTCTGGAGGGGCAGTGACAGGTTGTGCCTCCTGGCTCTCTGGCACACTTTCCCCTTCTTTCTGCTCCTCTTTAGGGCTTTCAGCTTGGGCTGGTGGAGCCACCTTCTTCTTGCTGAACATGTTACCCATGGTGGACCTGTACATTAAACATGATAAAATCAGTTCAGCCATTCGTGCCACTTGAACAACACTGCACATAAATACAGGTCTTATCAGTTGCTATAATGAAGATTTCAAAGTATTTACATTCGGGCTTAACAACAGCGATTTGGTACATAATGTACTAGTGCGTCCTGGACATCATGTACTACATGCGTTGTAGAGTATACAAAGAGGGGAGCGTGAGCAGCGTGCACGGCGCTCCCCATCCTATTTCACCATTTCTTTTCTTGCCCATGTTTTGGATGAATAAATACACCACATCTTTGATTTACGAATTCCGATAACAAGTCACAGCATGTTTAAATCTGAACTGGTTGCATATACAAACTTTGCTGAAGCAAATTCTATATTAAACGTTCTATTAGTCTTCCTCCGTTATAATGATGTTGTTAAGGCGACTTTCATCAAAAATATGTATTTTTGTACGTTTTTATTTTTTATAATTTACCATCTGATATTACAGGTGTATTATTGACTACATACAACTAAAACTGTTAAAATGCCAGTCGATTTTAATGCGAGCTATCTAGATTTATCTAAACCAAAACGGACAAAGAAAGTCTTGCAGACGACCACGCCTCCCTCTCGTGCAAAACTGTTAAAACTGAGCATAAAGGCAAAAAACGCGTTTCCATCACTAGTTCCATGCATGCGTTACTAAGAGTGAGTGCCAAACCTTGAGTAGTGTGTCTCTGATGCAGAAAGATGAGAAAAGTTGAAAACGCTCTCTGGAGTTGAGTTGGAGAAGTCCGAACGTCAAACTGAAACACGCACGAGAGGACAGAGCTCTGCAGAGACGAGGCGCGTTCACGACGTATACAGGACGGACGCGTGCACCATGTGATTAACGGAATAAAAACACCCACTGCTCATGAGAGGAGGTTGCATATGGCAACTACACGTGCTTTCTATGTTGTCATATTCTTCTTTCCTCCTTAGATTTATTACTGTATAAGCGGTAGATAACTTGCTGACACCTTGTACATTCTGACTCGACAGCTCATATCCTATCATACAAACTAAATAAATAAATGTATAATAAATATATATTATTACAGCTATCATTTATTGAACAATAAGTCGACATTAATTATTATGACGGGTTTAGTACTGGATTAAACAAAAAGCATAGGCCATTCCTTTTTCACCCAGTGGCGGCCCTACGCTGATTTACTCCCCGGGCGAGACCGGGGGAAAAAAAAAAGAAAAAATTTGTACTTGAGAAGTACACAAATACAGCAAGTTCTGAGTTCTAAAATGAAATACCACTATCTATTGTATCAAATTACCTTTACATATTAGGGCTGATAAAAAAATATCAGAACTAACTGATAATAAAAATAGAATCTTGAATAGCTTCACAATTATCATGGCCTGTATCAGAAGTGTAAGACCACATAGAATATTTTAGGGATTACGCAGATATAAGGCCATAATATAAAACAAAGTACTGCAATTTAATATTGAAAATCACATTATAATGTCTAAAGAGAGTTTATTATTATTATTATTATTATTATTATTATTATTGTGGTATCGGAATCAGCATTGAGTATGAGCATTGAGTTTGAATTTTTTGTATCGTGACAATGCTATATGTCATATCTGTTATCCTTGTCCAGTCAGGAAGTAGAATACTGAACTCACATGCAGTTTAAAGAGAACTTGAAGGAGAAGGGAGCAAGACCAGCTGTGGTTGAAAATTAAACAAACGACCTATGACCATGACACTTGTTTTCTTCCGTGCTCAGAAGAAGTCTCAAACCCACAGGACAAAACATAACAGCTGATTTGGCAACAGCATTTCAACAGGCCATGTTTTTGTATCGGAGTCTTACATGGCAACGTGGCTCGATTGCAATTTCCCTCTTTTTGATCTTCATCCAGATATCAACTTCTCTTTTGATTTTTGCAGGGGAATTTATTCACACTGACACACTCCTCATCAGCCCATTTGATACTGCCATAGTACACAGCAACGAGACTGCATTCAAAATCTGGTACGATACAAGAAATCATGAATATTGGATGCAAAATAACTTTTTGGCAACCGTGGTGTTGCTAAGTTTGTACATACCGATAGTACTTGTTGCTTTTTCGTTGCTAGCTGTGGTGTTAGCAGCTTATGCCGATGACCAAGCAGTGATGTGGTTAAGTATGCTGGGTCAAGGATTGTCCAGCTTACTCCTCTTGGTTGGTATCCTTGGATTTCTTCACCTCCATTGGACTAATGTGAGTTGGAATGGGCTCACTTGCTGGTTCTTTGCCTGTGTGGGAGCACAGGTGGAGTTGGCTCTTACAGCAACAGTGACAAACAGGTCAATTAAAAGGAGTGACAAAATAGTGGACAATAGCAGGACAGCAACACACATGAAATCCAACACTGAAAATATTATTTAAAGACAATAAATGTTTTGGCTTTATTCTGTGTTTTTTTTTTTTTACATGCAACAGCGCTTTTTAATTTGGACTATGTTCTGTATGCATGTCAAAAACAGTGTGTACTAATCAGTCTTATGTAATTTGGCAGGTTTTTATACCAGATGCCCTTCCTATAGCCATAAGCCATGCATAATGTGACAGGCGGAGGCAATGTGGGTCAAGTGTCTTGCCCAGAGGCACAACGACAGAATGCACGTGGGCATGGTTTGAACTGTTTGTACCAGCTACCTTTAACCCACTATGGTACAGCTGAACGTTTTTGTATGTTTCAGTAAGTTAAAATGAATCATATTTGCCAAATTCAAATACAAACTCTGCAAAACTGTGTGCATACTTTTTGTAAATAAATTGGACAAGATATTTTATTATGACATATATTACTCTGGAATTTGTCTCTTTATCACACATAAAAATTAAAACTTTATGGAAAATGTGTTATTATTGTAAATGCAGCATTAGTGCACACAACATTCAAAAACTGCCTTATAGTTGCTTGAGATCCAGAATACACACTTCTCTAACACTTTACAAAAATGTGAGTCTGGTCACTAGTGAATCTCCGCCGAGGTCAAATAGACAAGACTGACAGGTGAATTTGTCAATCAGGGACACGCATGATCTGTCTTTATCAAAACAAATATGGTTGCTTATGTTTATAATAGAAAGGAAAACTATATCACAGGGGTCTGAAAATCATTTTGGTTTACTCCAGAATCAAAGAGAGAAGCACTAAACTAAATCTTAAGCACTAAAATCTGAAGTGAGAGAAATACAACCAATGTGGTTCTTCATTTCAGCTTCACTGAAAAAAACCCCACCATATCTGATTGGACAGATGTGTTTGAGCCTCAAGGGAGAGGTGACCAGACTGATACCCCTCTACATATATTTAAAACTTATTCAAAAACAGGTACAAACAATTTTAGTGCCAAAGTTTAGCAATATGGTTGTCCTTCTGAACAGTCCAAGATTCAGGTGAAGAAAATTTCCCGCACCAGTTGGAATGCATCATCCTCTTTCTTATCATCTTTAGTCGCAGCCTGTGAGACTCCATCTTTGTTTACATTTTGTCCTTCCTCCTTACAGTCCTGCACTTCCCTTCCCTTGTTACCCTCTGTGCTCATGGGGTATGGCAACGTCTCCGCCTCTGTAATGTCCATGTCTGATTCGGACACATAAGTCCTGTCCTGGTCATCTCCGCTGTCTGAGGACTCCAGTGATACCTCTGCTGCTGGGTCCTGTTTAGAGCCAGGATCCCCTCTATCTTGCTCAGTCTGGGCTGTAGTTTTGGGGTCAGTCTGTGAAGAGATGTGCACAAGACCTCCTGTCAATACTGGTCAATGCAAGAAATTGTCCATATTTTACATATATTTGGAATAGTGTTGTCACAATACTAAAATTTCAAACTCGATTTTGATACTAAGGAATTGACTCAATACTCGATACGGATTACGATACCATGAAGAAAGAGAAAACAATAACACAACAACAAAAAAGCTGAAGAAAAAACATGCTGCTTTTAATAACAGAATGTAATTTTCATACACAACAGCACTTTCTTTATGTTACCATGAGATCTTATACTAGTTCTGAAAAAGGTCAAAAAGACACTTGCTCAAATAAGTATTGTATTGGATGCTGCTGTTAATATTTTTAGTTTTAATATATGATGATTTCCAAATTATTTACAGAAATATTTTTGGAGGTTGCTCGCAGGTTTAGAATATGATGTGTGCCAGTGTTCCTGTATCTGTTAAATGGTTCTAAAATTTTTCAAAGCAAGTACCACTAGGATAATATTTGGCTTTCCGAATACCATCAGATCCAACTTGGAGATGATCAGATTATTATTAGGGATAAACATGCTGTAAAAGGAGGCTTAACCACTGATAAGGTAGTTCAAAAATTATTACCCTATGAAGAACAAAAAGATGAATAGATTTCTTAGTACAACAATTAATTTAATAGCAACAGACACCGCGTACCACAGTTGAGAAACACAATGTTAGGCTTATAGACCCTATATATATATATATATATATATATATATATATATATATATATATATATATATATATATATATATATATATATATATATATATATATATATTCAGTTATATTTACATATATACAATATATACAATTCAGTTATCAGTGGATCTGCTGACTGAACTAAATATTATGAAGACAACATACAAGAATGCAATGCTATTATTACTCTTTATTAATACCTGCTATGTAAACTGTTTGAAGAAGTCCAAAAGCTGCAAATTGATTTTTTGTATAAGTGACGTCATCTGAAACTCTTGTATTTTGGTTTTGAAAGCGAAAGTGCGCCACCTTGTGTTCACTCTGCAGACCTACCTGTGTACGGCTGGTGAGAAGGTACGACACTGCAGCTTCTACTAGCTCCTTCTCGTTCATACAGTAGAAAACAGACCTGGACCATATGGAGCATGCACACACAGATACAAGTCAGTGCCACGGACAAATATGGCAAAAAGCAGTGCGGTTAGCCATATTAAAGCCATGCTAACCTCGCTACTTTCGGCTTCCTCTTAGACTTTAACGGTTCTTTCACTTTGTCTTTGTCCTTGTCCTTCTTTGACATCCATGGCGGTAGTGCCCTGTGCTTTTCAGACATGGAGGATTTATTTGAGGTATTTCCACAAGTGGCAAAACCTGGATAAAAAGCAGCGAAATACTACAAAACGATACAGAACTACAAAGCTAGCTAGCGTCATCACGAGTAGAAAACGTCTGCAATCTGTACTATGTGCATATTGCGCCTCTCAGTGGACAAACATGTCAGTGCAGTATTTTCAATATTTTGAGAAAAAATATTGAATATACTGAAACTCAAAACTCCACATGAAATATTTTATACTGCGCTAGATTAGCTACAAGGCCTGTTGGGTAGTTTCAGATAATAATTTTATTTAGGCTTAGAATCTATAAGACCACTGTCTCCTGGACCATGGACCGTATACAGTATATTTTTTATGTATGTTCTGGATGCCCAAGATATCTCATTGTGGGTTTCAATAAAACTACTGATAATGTGTTTTATAATATTGTATGTTCTATTCTAAATTTTTGTTTTACTCAATATCAGATTAGGCACAATATCAACCTACAGCTCAGCTATTCTACAACATTTTCTTGAGGGTCAGATTTTTTGGCAGACCATGGTCTCTGGGCCGGATAGTTGCATGATGTGCTACAATATCTAATACAATTTGGCATCACATAAGATAGATTCACTAGTCGGTGGAATATTTTTTCCAATAATGATATAATAATATAACTAAACCGGGAATAAATCAGAATTTACCTAGAATGAAAGCAGGTCCATCTAAACTAGAACAAGTTGTATTTTGTATAATTTGTAAGGTGGAGCCAGCATCAAGATTAACACTATGATTAACCCTAATCACCTTTAGTATTAAAACTCTCAATAACAATAGCAAAAAACTAAACGCAATCTGTAGCCTGCATGGCTTACTGTTAGTAAAATGTAAATATGCTATAAAATGTAAATTATATCCAATAGACTATACAAGGAAATGCAATGCTAAGATAAAAATGGTAGCTTTGACCTGGGCCATATTATTTCAGGGAATTTTTAATTTTTTTTTCCCCCCCGTTCCATGGCAATTCTCACGTTACTCCTTTGCTTGCACAGGCTGTGACTTCCCATGATGATGCACTTACTGATGGGGTGTACATATATAACAGACTTGTGCACATTTCTAATCCCATGTGGTGGTCTGTATGACCCTGCTCTCTGTGTCCTCTCTCCAACCCCTCACTGGCTGCTCTGATGCTAAAAACAAGCTCGCCTCTCACTTTGTGTCAGTTTCTGTCACTGCGGCCTGCTGTGCCCTGTAATTATGGCTCTAAAGCCCCTGCCATGTGCTTAGCCACTGATTGCAAGTCCAGCTTTGTATATTTGACTAAATTAAAAAAGGAGGAAGGGAGGGAATGACTGACACAAAGTAAGAGCATGGTGAGAGCAGATGTATGCTTAAAACAACAACATGTGAAATGGAGGGGAGATGGATTCTGAGGACATTTTCACATGCAAATCAAACACTATTACTTGACATGATTATAACACAGAGCAATTAATTATGTCTAGCTATTAGTGATGTCACGACACTGAAATTTCAATCTCGATTTTGATACTAGGGAATACACTCGATACTCAATACAGATTCTGATACCACTGAGATAATTAATTAATGATAATTGATAACTGATTAATGTCTGTGTTTAGACAATAGAATATGATTTTCAACATTAAATCTGAACTTTCTTTTATATTACCATGTGCTCTTATAGGCATGTTCCATAGTGGTACATGGTCCCGTAGCATACTATGGAACATTCCAGGCAAAGCAATAACATTTTCATGGGAACACACATGTAGCCACAACAGAAAAAGTTACATATTGCTCCTTGAATATTACCTCCTTTTTATTAACTCATCGTGGATTTGAACATGATTACATATTTGCCTAATCTTCCAGAAAGTGGCATTGCCCTCCTCCTCCTGTTTCTTGCGGCTGGCTGCCATCTCCACAGATCAGGCTAAGAAGATTTCTCTCTGCTAATGGACCAAAGCCTGGGGCAGCTTTTCTTGTGAGTTGATGGGTCAAACTTGCCAAAAACGTCTGCTCTTTGGTCACTGCTCTGCCTCTCCACTGGATCCCACCACAATGGCTCTGGCTCCATTTCATAATCATATTGAGTATAGATTTGACCAGGGCTGATGTCCAATCAAATCCTGTGCTTAAAATATCAAACTAGATATTCCATCTAATCTTATCTAATGAGCTCTCTCACTTCCTCAGTCTTCATTTCATTGCCCCAGCCCTTTCACCCTAATTGATGAGAAGCTGACTAATCTTGTAGTTGTCTTCTTTGGCTTAACCCTGATTTGAGTAAGGGTCATTACCATTGGCCATCTGTCCCAGGAACACTCGTCGTGATTGGCCATATGGCACAGGGCAGCGAGGTGGAGGAAGAGCATCTCTCCAAACTGAACAAAGATTTAATTAACAAAAATGCCTTTAAAGATGAGTTTACCAGCAGATATTATGTCTGAGTATACTATTAAGTTTATTACTTTTAGAAACTTGCAGCATAAAAACATTAAGAAATAATGTAGTATTTTGTGTTGCCTTTGCAGCCAGTCCCTTCTACATGTTTGAATCCAGAAGGGTCTGTCATCAGACCATAGAGCGTGACAAACCTCCGCCTTAACTTGGGACGGTCCAACTACAGCCACTAATTTGTAGCAGGTGTCTCTCAAATGTGGAAGACATTACCTCTTGAATATTCCCATATCATTCAGAAAACGTTTTTTAAAATAACAGTTTAGTGTTTTGCTATTTCTTAATCCTCTAAGTGGTTAATCTACCAGTCAGTCACACACAACTCAAATAGGGGAGACAGGTTATAGTTCCAGATTGATTCATTTTTGCAAGCTCGTCATCAAAGCATGTGGTTTTGGCTGTCCAGGTAATGCTTTCTGAGCAAGATGAATGATGCCAATAGATTGAAGGTCAAGTTAAGTAAGAATGTTTACCAAAAATTTATCCTATATAGATTTTTTTTTTTTTTTCAGAAAAAACAGTATCTGATAGTTGTCTTCTGATGACTGATGACAATGCCTATGTATCAGTGTTTAAAATCTTTAAAAAAGACCACATATTGTCATGCAGTTGTGTTTCTGTAACAATTATGTGAACACACAACCACCTCTTTAACTCCACTGCTCTTCTAATTCCATCTAAACTAACTAGTCTGATTAAAATGTTTTAGGATAGGTTAGGGCATTAATTAAGCATTTACTAAATTTGTTATGAGTTAAGTTTTTGTTCATGTTTTATTAAGGGTAATTAAAATAAAAAGTGTTACTGACTACTATGTACTGCAGGTGATTATTTTATACACACTGACTGTGAGTAACATAGTTTTTCTTCTAAGTAATATATTCACAATGTAACAGTACATTTACTTGAATAAGAGTTTATATAGTTTGAATACTAGATTTTGTGCATTTTTATTGCTCTTCAATCAGATGTTATATCAGTTACTCTTACTTGATGAATGGAAAGGTATTCTGAGATACCTTTTCATTCTTCCTGGACCACTACTGTGTACTTGTACTTAAGTGATATGATTTGGAAGCAACCATACTTTTTTACTTGAGTATATTATGGAAAATCTGCCCGCCTTTATACCTCTGTATATACTCTAACTATATACTCTATTTTGTTGGGTGTAAATAATTGGCATTGTACATTCTATTAAACTGCCAGATTTTCTCACTACTTCAGTCACATGTCTTCCTGTCCTCTGGCTTAATCTGCAGAATTTCAAAATGAGTTGTTCATTTCATCCTTAAGTGCGCACTAATAAGAACAATGCCATGGCTGCTTAAGACTGCAATCAAAATGCTAATTACAAAGTCGCTCCGAGAAGTGATCAATTTAGGGTCCATTAGCCTCCTCTGACTCTCTCTCTCCAGTGTGACTATCTGAACTCTCACGGCTAAAACTGCGCTGTTGTTCCACCATAAAAGGACAGCAAATTCAAGTTCAAAAAGAAGCAAGAACGCATGTGAAATGACAATATAAAGGTACTCTGTCACCTCCTTGTCTCCATGGTGATCTTATTACTTTGCCTGGATTATTCCACAGTATGACATTAAACAAACTCCATGGAGGCAAGCAGGTTATGCCACCAGTCTGATCTGTGGAGAGGCGATCCTATTCACAGTAAGAATGCTTGTTTTGCAAGATATTTTTATAGGAGCACCTGTAGTGGAATAAAAGCAAGATAGTGTATGTTTGATGTCATATTGAAGAACACACAGGCAAAGCAATACTATCATCTTGGAGACAAAAATAAGATGGACCCTCCACCAAAAATGGTGCATAATACATCTTTAAAATGTTACACAGTATTTGTTGTCTTTGACTGGCCAATACTTTTGTCAGACAGGAGCCATGTATTCTTGTGTAGAGCAACCTGTTTAAGGTAGAGGCATGCTATACGAAAGGAATCCCAAAGAGATTAAGGTGTTTTACTGTCCCCATAGGAAAACCTCTGCAAAACTACAGCATATATTTAGAATGGACTTTTTCTCAATTAAACCTTAGACCTGTTGTGTGTTATGAAGTCCTCTTGCAGTTGTTGGAAGAGAAGGTAGCATTTATAAGGAAAAAAAGAGGTCAACAGTCAAGAACAGTTCTTTTTCTTTTGTTTTATAACAGTCTCCACTTCTGTTAAACCTACCTGCTTTCCCAGGTGATACTTCCGAAGAGGCTGCCAAGATGCGGTTACTATGACGACGGACAGGGATGGAAATCTTTGAAGTGAATTAAAGGCGAGCATTCCGTCTGAGAGTACCAGCAGACGACTGCTTTAAGCATGCCATATGGTCTTTTGCTATTACTCTGCCCTTTAGATGTGACCTCACTATACCCATCCTTATATAGGCTAGACCAAAATGAGGCTAGTTATTCCCATATGCAAATGTGCTGGTTCTGGTTGGACAATCTGCAAACTTTAAATGGTTAGTCCGCTGATGATCAATAACACGGGTGAAGTGTATTGCCTAAGGACATAACAACAGTTTACACCAGAACCACTGCTGCCCAACTGTGGCGCCTGGTATTCCCACTAGTCTCCCACTGGCCACACAGACTTTTTGCTGGTACATGAGTAAATGGCTGAAACTAATCCCCAATTCAGCTAATTATGAATTTAATTCAAATAGATGACTCATATAATTCATTATTAATGCCATCCCGTGAAGGAGAGCTCAATTTACTTAGCATTCAGGGGTGGTGACGCACATGCGCAATCAGTGTTTATCTCTATCCGCGCCAAACCGATTCCAGTCTTAAAGTTGGAGCTTCTAGCGGCGTGAGGGGGATTCCGCTTAGCCACAGCCGCACTCCTCTGGCTAAAGCACAACATCTGAGTGCCGTGGGCTGTTTATCCAACATAACCATGCGTGGCACCGTGCGTAACGTCTGGGCGCGACGCGTTCTGGTGTATATCAATGGAGTGAACGGTGAAAGTTGATTTGGAGAAAAAATCGGAGCTCCCCCCCTTTTTTTTAATCGTAAATGTGAGATGTGAGACACTTCTTTGTTCAAGCGGCTCCCACATCTACGAAAGGATGTACGTAGGTGAGTGCCCTGTTATAATTCGATTTAATCACGAGTGAACTGATTGCGACTTCTTTAATTATAAATGAGTAAACATTACTAAAAACAATGCAACAAAAATGCTTCAACTTAAAATAAAAAATGATATTTCAGTTTTGAAAGGACTGGGGCACGACTCAAACGTCTTAGTGGAAGAAAACTCCACTTAGGCTGCACGTTTTTTTTTTTTGTTTTTTTTTGTATTTACCAGCTTCTTGGAATTTTCATTTTACATACAGTTAGCAGATAAAATAAGGACTATTTTGTAGCAAATACAATATATGAACCCTATACAATACTATCCAGAAGTGTAGCGCAAATATCGTTTGATAATGTGGTGCTGAAGGGACAGCTCCGGTCCCGTGGGCTCTGTGCGTGCAGAGCAGACAGGCATACGCGGAGTAGAAAATCCAGTGTTTTGAAGTGGAGAGACAGTCTCTTTGGATGGCTCCGTGCCGGGGCGCCAGAGGATTTGGGTTGTGCGTTTGTCTGTCAGCTCAGACACGCACAGGAATGTCAATAGCTGGAAAAGGTTTTGTTTACCCGTGTACAAGAGAACACTGATGTTCAGGTGCTTTTTTTTAGTTTCTTTTAGTAAATCTTGCAAATAGCAATGAATTGTCTATTGTGTTTAATGTTTTCATCCAGGTTTAATTGTTCTGAGCTGTAGGCCTATTGTACAGTCATAGTAATAATTGTATTTTATGTCTTAAGCTTTATTCCTGTTCTGCGGCTATACGCTATTGTTTGTGGTTTTGTTATCTGTAACCTGGGACAGTAACTGCATTCGGTGACCAACCCAGAGGTTACCTCTGACCAAAGCATACTGCTGTTGTGTTCTTGGTCAGGACACTTGACCTGCTGGATGGTGTGTCGTTGATGGAGGAGTTAAAAGACTGGCATCCTCACTTCTGTCAGTCTACCCTAGGGCAGCTGTGACTAGCTCCACTGAGCATTATTTTTATGCGTATCTTTATCTTATCATAGTTTATATTTTACCATTATTATAAATGATTTTATGCTGCACTATACCACCAAAGTTCCTATTTTGTTAATATTTTCACTGACAACAGCAAAAACATTATTCTGATTCAAAATGAAGAGTGAATGCATAATACATGAAACTGTAAAGTGACTTTAGCAGATATTGCAGTCTTATTGTTTAGGCATGGTTATGTTTCCTGAGTCTAACTTGCTGAAAAGGTGCAGCGTTTGTATTGCTTTTTGTCTAAACAATAATCACAGATGAGACCATTCTATTTGTTTTACTTTTTTTCTCAGATGTTTTGGAGGACCTTTCATTGTTCAATTGTTTTTGTCTTGCACGTGTATGCATTGACTTCCAGTAAACAACTTTTGAGCAGTAATGTCACTGTCTGTTTGGATGTACTATTATAACTTCCACTCACAATACTCTAGCCAATCTATGTTCCAGGTATTAGTTGTAGTTGCTGGAGTAACATTGAAGGATATACGGTTGAGTGTTAGTAAGGTTGTATTCCTTCCCTCACAGATATGTAAATATGCTACACTAAAGGTGAACGTCTTATTTTGGTCATGTATTCAGAGACTGTAGTCCTAGAGCACATTAGCCTAGTAAATCAGCCCCTCCTGTAGAGTAAAAAGACAAATGTACTCTGACCTGTACCAGCTCATGCCAATATGCCACTTCAGTGTGACTCAAGTGAATGCCCCAGACAGGGGGTCTACTAGTCTCATATATTATATAACAGAATTCTGGCTCCAAATAATGATCTTATGGAGGCTCTAAATGTCTGCCAGTGTCTGTCTCACGAACTGTAAAAGAAACACAGAGACCACGGGAGACAGATGGTAACAGCTGTGGTGTGTCCTCATTTTCACTCACACACTTTAACCCTCCTCCTGGGTAGTTTTATCTATACATATTCTAATATTGTCATGATACTGAAATTTTAAACTGTATTTCGATATGATTTTTGCACCACTGTAATAATAATAAACTTTTTTAAACTGTAGAATGTTATTTTCAACACATACACACACATTAGCCAAAAATAGACTAATATAAATGCATGTTGTTGTTTTTTTTTTTTTTGTTTGTTTGTTTTTATTGCCCTGAAAAACACTGACAAACATGCATGCTTACTGTGAGCAGGCCTGCATCTCCACAGACCTGATTCTTATTTGGCTTGGGGGAATGCCTCCTGCTTGTTTCCATAGAAATGTTCTTCTGAAGTACAGCTTTAACTTTCGATTTTCATTAAATCATGCAGATGAAGTGCCATCACTAGAAAGTTACATACTGTACCTTTAATAATACCGTATGGTCATATATTAGTACTGCCAGAGATTCAGACCATTCTAAAACTATTGAGGAAAGGTCAAATTTAGTCTTATTTATTGTGTTTTTTTCTCTCTTTTTTAATCACTACTTCACATGAGTCTCTAGCTGTGATACTAGCTGTGATTAATACCTGTGTATTGATACTTTTGACAACAATACATTGACTCAACTTCTTCAGACCACAATAACATAAATCCTGCTAAGCCTTCCTGCATCTTCTTGATTGTAGCCTCTTATTTCCGTTACAGTTTGGATCCTCTTCATCTGCATTGAGGAGGGATTTGCTACGGGGCAGAAAGCTAAAGGTATGATCATAAATGGTAATCCCTGTATAGTCTGATGTCATCTTTGAGCTCAGCGTAGTACTTTTGATGAGTGGTGTTCTGTGTTATTTCAATCAGATGCCCCGCCAGTAACCAAAGCAGTGGCTGCACCCTCTCAGCCACCCCCCCGCACCCGGCACTGTGGCAACTGGGAGCGGAACATAGATGGGGGTAGTTTCAGCTCACCAAACTACCCCAATAAATACCCCCCAAACAAGGAGTGTCTCTATGTACTAGAAGGTAAGCACTCACATGGAGACGAGCCAGCAGGGTAAATGCAATGCATTTTAAATATGTTTAGACATTTGGTTTAATTAGCCACTTGACTTGCTTGCCTGTGTCTGTTATATAGTGATAATCTATGACACCCTTGGATCATTATGTTATATTTGAACGATTTAAGTCGCAATATTAATTTAATGAAGGAAACAAATCCACTGACTTTCCATGTTAGAAAACGGTGGTGCCTAGTGGGAGACGACGTCACTGTAAATGTCATTTCACAAAGAGTCAACACCTCAGATGAATAGCTGCACATCATCATAGTGAGCAACATAATTCTATGCACTGGTTAAGAAAATTCACTGGTTCACTATTTAAGAAAATTAATTTGCAGCTTTCTGGTCAAAAACTGTGTGTGCTGCCTCCTCTTACCTCTGCAATTGCATGTACTATGTGACATCACACAGGACTGCCCTGATTAAAATCTGGTGTTTCTAAGTATAAACACCTATCTGCAGAGGCGGAGTTTGAGGTGTGGATACTTGTTAGATCCATCACACTGCTGCTCATATATCCATGACCCCACCTTTCCTCTCCCTTCACTCTCCCCTTCAGTCCTCCAGCTACTGCCCAAGTTTGCAGCTCTGTATGAAATTTTCTGTGGGTGGTTAAGGCCTACTTTAAGAACTCAAGTGATAGCTCCATGTTACAACAATGCAAAATTATCAATGCTAAAAATGTGCACTAAATGTCCTGTTGTCCACAGCCCAGCCCAGACAGAGGATAGAGCTGCAGTTCAACAAAACCTTCTACATTGAGGGCTCGTTTGAGTGCCGTTTTGACCACCTGGAGGTGCGGGACGGCCCCTTCAGCTTCTCCCCCCTGATCAGTCGCTTTTGTGGCTCAGCCAACCCCGGGCTTGTGCTGTCCAGTGGGCGCTTCATGTGGATACGATTCTACAGCGACGAGGAACTGGAGGGCATCGGCTTCCACGTGCAGTACAGCTTCACAGATGGTTTGTAGCTGATTTCAAACTGTGAAATTTAGCCCCGCCCACTTAGTCCTTTCAGGCATTGTATCAGGCAGTTGGTTTCTCCTTCTATGTGGCGATATGTGTGCCACTCTGAATTGAGATTTATCAATCTTTTATTTATTATAGCGACTGTGAAAATGCAGAACATCATGACAAATATTGTCACATTAATATGTTGTGTTGTGAATGATAACTTTGCAGCTTCAAAGACAATAAAATACAGTAGTTTACTTCTAAAGATGAAATGCTAATTGTATTTCAATCTTATCCTGTTCAGTCCAGCTTGTAAAACTATTTGAAATGTTATAAAAGATTAGATTAGCAATGCAGTTTGAATGCGATATTATTTATCTCCAAACAACAGAAAGCAATAATAAGCCAACTCAAATGTGACAAAGACTGGTGACATCTCTGAAAAGGGCTGGCAACTAGCAGCCCAAACCTGTCAAGAGGGAAATTACATCTCCCTAACAAATCGTCTTTCTAAAAGAAAGTCAAAATGAACGTTACCAGAATAAATTTCAGATTGAGCCAGGTTTTCCAAATCATAGTGGTCTATAATTAAAAGTACTACAACAGAAGATATAGAAGATATGTTTACTTACAGGACACACCCTGCTTCAAAAGACCCAAACTGTCACATTAAACAGATCCTATATGATACACTACTTGTAAATGAGCTTTTGGACTGGATTGCATCAAAGAGTGAAAACTATTTCATTATACTTCCAGAAAGACAAGAGTTGTGGTTATAGAATAAGATTGTTTAGGGTAATGACTGAAAGGACAAGATGGCGGACACAAGTGGTTGAAATTAGTTTTCTCTGCAGGGTAGCTGGCCACTTTCTTATAGATAAATTGTGCATTGCAGAGGTGCTCCATCCATGTTCCACCTTAAGGAGGCCAAGGGGAGACCCAGGACATTCTTGGTGTAGAATAAACTGTAGTAGCTCGAGAGCTGGAAAAAGAGGCATGAAGCTGGAGTTTCAACACAGGAGAAATTTATTTAATATCAGTACAGGACCCAGCACCCAGAGACATGAACCCTGAACATATTATTGAAGTCTCCATTCTAGTCTACTACAGTCCAGTCTGCCTGTGCTTCTGATGTAGGGAGTATTATATTTCTGATGACACAGTTAACAGGGACTGAGCTGGCAGTGCAGAAATTACATTTCTCCAACAATGCTGGAGGAACCTTGTCTCTCAGTGGGTTAGGGAACACCTCAGAGTCCCTCGAGAGGAGCTGGAGGAAGTGTCTGGGGTGAGTGCAGTCTGGGAGTCCCTGCTAAGTGGATAAGTGGAAGATGATGGATGGAATACATTATAAGCAGATAAATATACTTTTCTTGACAGATAATTGTAAAAACTAATGGAAAATATTGTTAAATGAAGTGACGGTAAGCAGGAAGCATCATAAAGGTCTCACCAGTCAGAGAACGGCATTAAATCCTATTATATTCTATTGTAAATGTTAGAACCATAGCTACTACCAGAAAAGGTCAACCAATTATTTCAGCTTTTGGTTTGTGTCATGGTCCTCTGCGGTGTAACTGTGCTGTCGGAAGGAGCGCTCACTCTCTCAAATACATTAAATGAAATGCCAGGACATTTCAATTCACTATAACTTCATTTTATATCAAATAGAAAAGTTGTTCCAATCTTTCAAATGAGTGGCTCATGTTTGTCTCTTTTGTCTGTCAACACAGATCCTGAATTCCACTTGCACGTAGGAGGTCTTTTAAACCCCATCCCAGGTAATCTGTGTTATATTAATCTGATTCATTATTTTAGAATATACGGTATATTTTAATTTGGCTATGATTCCATGGTATGTGTTTCTGGCACATCTGTAAGAATATTGCTGAAAAGTAGAATGCAATGATTTAATGCAGTTCAGTCAAAAATGAATGATGAATATATTTTGAGAATCTGGTCATATTGCTCAAAGTTTTGTCTTTTACTGTATTTTTTTCAGTTTAGAATATTGTACTCTTTCCATGTCTATATTTTTAATCATAGTACATTTCAACATTTAAAGGTGCAGTGTGAAGGGTTTGTGCCTGCTTGTTCTCATGGAGGTGTTAATGCTTTGCCTGGTATCTTCCACTGTATAGCCTTGTTTCTATAGGGGTGGTATGGTGCGGACCCTGAGTGTTTCCACTGCGTGAAGCATGTATAGCCCTGTTTTAGTGGTCCCAAGCAGCCTGCTGGAGGTAATACCTTCCAAGGTCTGGCATAGTTAGAACCTGGGACCAGCTTATTGTGGGCGGGGCTAGAGATGCCGCCATGCAGTCATTGGAGGACCAGCAAAGTGCTAGCAGTGCACGAGTGGCAAAACATAAATAGTTAAAACCTTGTAATGATGGACATGATGGACAAGGCTTGGGATGCCACATGGCTGGAATCATCACATTCCACCATCTTGTACTGCATGGCATAGACCAAGCTCTCGGGCTGCTACGTGGCTCCAATAACAGCAGCAAACGAGTCCTTCTTAACAGTCTTTATGCATCTTAACATATGCCACTGTTTCTAACCCTCGATGCCAGAAAGCAGTGTCTTGTGTAGCTGTTGGTGCATGTTCATGAACAGAAGCATCATGCACATAAACTCTTCATTGCTGCTCATTGCTGTGATTCTCCTTTAGTGCCTTTCTTTGATAGCTGTTCATCGCCTCATAGAGGTGCAAGTCTACATGCCATTTGGGTATGTCTTGAGACAAGTCACAGGTTAGATCTGTGACAAGGCAAGCCTGGTATTGGCCTCTTCACCAAAAAAGCTACATAATGCTCATTTACATGCATTGTCAGGCTTAGTTAAAATATTTTTTCAGTGTTAAAGATTAGATGTGAACATTTTCAAATGTATCACAGATTGGAAGATGAGACATGAAGCCAATGTTATCAAATACAAAAATATACACATCACCAATATGTAATAAGACCAATACAAAACTGCATGTAATATGTCTATCTTAAGTTAAAGATAAGATTATGATATTATGCCATAATAATTATTATATTATGATATTAACAGTCAGTGACCCGTCTACATGTCCTGAATATAAATGTGTTTCATTTTCCCTTTTCAGACTGTCAGTTTGAGCTGTCTGGGGCTGACGGTGTGATCCGCTCCAGTCAGGTGGAGGAGGACAATAAGGTGAAAGCTGACCAGGCTGTGGACTGCATCTGGACCATCCGTGCTCCCAAGAACCACCGCGTACGCCCCACTCCCCCTCCTGTGTCATATCTAGTATTTACAAGTAGGGGTGGGCAATTTTAGTTATATCACGATTCATGTAAACTTAGCATATTTGTATTGCCTTCAAGAGATAAGTAATCATCTGCTTCTTCTAGTAAATCACTCATCAACAAACTAGTACATTTTTAGCTCTCAGTCAAAGACATTTAAATCTAAGTGTGTGCTATCATTTACTGCAATTTTAAGTACTATGTGACATCACGAATCATGTCCTGATTATTGCCAGATGTTTCTGATTACACCTGGCTGCAGGGGCAGAGTGTGGAAACCTGTTACTTCACATTCTTCTTTAGTCCACAGAACTGCCCTGTTTAGAAACTCTATTTCTGTGGCTATGTGGCTGTGGGCAGAGTTTGGGTGTTTAGTTTCACTTTAAATGCACTTATCACTCTAAGTCAGGGGTCTCCAACCTGTAGCTTGTGAGCTACCAGTAGCTCTCCACCCCCTTCCAAGTAACTCGCTAAGGGATTTCTGAATTGCACATATTATCCTGAATAACTCAAATTTGATTCATTGAATGTGTATTATTATTGTAAATCTATCATTGGGGTGTGTGACCTTGTGCAAATAAATAATGGTTTACTGTATGTTTTATGTTTTATCTAATTGTACCCATCCAAATCTTGCCATGACTCTTATGTATACTTTCTTTCTTGCGACCGCTAAAATTTGTAACTTTCTGGAATTTTCATTTTGGAAAGAAGCTCACTCGACGAAAAGGTTAGAGACCCCTGCTCTAAGTATTGCTGAGACTGACCAGTCGAGGTGTCGGTGGGAAAAGCTCTTTGACTTGTCATTTTCTCTACAATATCAAATTGTCACAAGGAACGAGATCACAATTTGATATTTCTAAGTGAGGGCAGGACCAGGACACAGAGCTCAGACTTAAGCACAGTGCATACATACACCAGAGGCTTAAGATTATCAATGGTCATCCCGGTCACATCTGCTGGTCATATTTACTATATCCCTGACCTAATCCATCTGCTGGATTTGACCTCATGTCATCAGGCATCATTACATGTGAGGAGACAAGCATAACTGATCATACACAAGTCATGTTATATGGATTTTAATCTTATCTTGTTCAAGTGACCTAAGGTGATTATCTGTACAATATTATAAACATTACATTCAATACAGGCCAATTGCAAAGTTACAATACAAAGATACTTTGCATGTACAATTAGAATATCTGTCACTCACTTTAATTTGCACTCTAAAATACATGTCTGATTTATATATTAAACCATAAAAGAAAAAAAAAAATCCTTTTAAAGCTCTCCAGGGGCTAATCTGTAATATTTTTTTTTCATATGGTAAAGTTAAATTTGTTTTGCCCCAGTACAGACAGATTTTAAAAGCAGCTCGTAGATATAATCAAATAAGACTCTGAATTTGCTGGTTAAATCTGGAGGAGAGAAATGGGTTGTGTGTGAGCTCATCATTTAAAAATTCCTTAAGGCATTTTTATTAGCCACAAGCCAAGTAAGACTGGTGTGCTGTTTGCATGCTAGTTGCTGTTAATGGTGTGGGAGCAAAATTCTGGTCTGGTCTCTGAAAGTTGTGAAAAGCAATTATAAACTTTTTCAGGGTATTTTTTCCCCTGACAGTAAAAATTAAATAGATCTACTATTTCTTCTTTCCATGTACAATTAGGATACCATCATTACAAATCTGTTTATGTCTGCCAGATTTACCTGCACTTTCTGGAGTATCAGATGGAAAACTCCAATGAGTGTAAGAAGAATTTTGTGGCCATTTACGATGGCAGCAACGCGATCGAGGACCTGAAGGTAAAACACACTTTGACTCTCACATCTTCCTCTTTTCTTGTCCTAAGTCATTTGAACTGCAAAGCTCTGTAGCGATTGTCCTACAGAACCTGGCAGCAGTGAGCCCCCACACCAGCTAAGAGCTGCGGTGTGGGGTCTGTTGCAGGCCAAGTTTTGTAGCACAGTGGCTAACGACGTGATGCTGGAGACCGGGGTGGGCGTGGTGCGCATGTGGGCCGATGAGGGCAGTCGACTTAGCCGCTTCAGGATGCTCTTCACCTCCTTCTCCGAACGTGAGTCTCCACTAAATTTTAACTTTATAACGTACAGCAGTGTTCACCACAAAGTTGTGCTGGGACTATGATGTTTGCTTGCTTTTATTAAAGCCACCATATGTAAGTTCATTCAGTTTATCAGTAGATGGCAGATGTGAAACCTGTTCCCCCCTTCCCTCACCTGGCAGTTGTTCAGCTTTGCCTGTCCCTTAAAACACCACACTCTCTTTCACAGGTCTAGAATCAGGCCTCTGATAATGTATTCACTGAGAAAAGGAAAATGCAACACATTTTCTAATTTTTAAAAGAAACTTTTAGTGCCTAACTTTAATTTCTCAGACTCTCACAGCAGTGTTCACATCCAAACAAAACTCACTCAGAGCAGGTAGCAAATCTTTAAAAACTTAAAAAAAAACTAAAACATTTTACCACCTGACCCACACTCCTCTCAATTAATGGAAGCCCTGATAATATTTTTTTTTTACTAAAAGGTGACAAATAGTGACCTCTTGTGGAGTAATCCTTCCACCTACATTTCAGTTCATTATGGTTCTAATTGTGTGATGTAATGCCTCAGGTCTGGGTGAATCCAGCTAACCCTGTGTATATTACAGCTCCATGTGTCAGTGGCTCCTTCTTCTGTGACAATAACATGTGCATCAACAATTCACTGGTGTGTAATGGCATCCAGAACTGTATGTTCCCCTGGGACGAGAACAACTGCAAAGGTATGGCACCTCTGGCACAGGGAGGTCTGGTCTGAATGTAAGAATTAAATTAGGTTTAACCAGGTGTAACACAGGACTAAACCAGAATCAAATTTACACCCTGAACATTATATTCCAAGTCAGGAGTTCCACATGTTGAAATATGTTTGTATTGAGTGCAACAGATTTGTGGTTAATACAAGATGCTGTAAAAAGTGCTGTCTGTATTCATTTGGGCCAATTCAACAGAAGACTTGAGCATCAACAAAAAATGGTGTAATGAGGGCTGCGTTTGACCACGACTATCGAGTTGACCTTCATTTACACATAGTTCCTTGTAAATTCACACATAGCACATATTCAAACTGAATGAGAATGTAATTTTACCACATAGTGCAACCAGAAAGCAAAGCTGTTAATAAGGAAACTAATCAAAAAAGCAAAGGGAAATCAGTTCTGGCTTTGTTTACACATTATCCTGTTCTGGCATAATTCTAGGTAAATTCCTGGATCAGGCTGCATGTGTGAGTGGGGCTTTCAAATCCCCTAGCTATCTGAACAGACCTTTTAATATGTTGTCACAAGCTAACATACAATACAGCTCCCAACCCCCACACAGCCTAATCTGACTTGCCTTACCTGTGGTGAAATCTGGAGATTGGCTCAACTAATTGGCATATTAATTCTTGCATATACTCTATAATATATCCCCAATGTGTGTCTTCATATCTCCTTGTGTTTGATTGCATGCTTGTGTATCTGAAGAGAAAAAGTCCAAAGGTCTTCTGTTCCACCTGACCAAGACCCACGGCTCCATCATCTGCGTGTCCACTGGGCTGGTGCTGCTGCTCTTCGTCTCTCTATCTTGGTGCAGGTGAAGCAGCCTCGTAAGAAGGTACAAACTAAAGGCATGTTCCAGACTGTCCCTTTAAAGCCCACACAGCCCTCACTCTTATGTGTTTATGGTGTTGTCCTGGTTACTGAAGGTGCTGGTGCGGAAGAACATGTTCCAGAGAGGGGAGTGTCAGGAGGTGTTTGATCCTCCGCACTATGAGCTCTTCTCACTCAGAGACAAGGTGACTGCATGACTCATGGTATTCACTATTGTAAAACAATTTTATTTATTTGTTTTTTACACTTTATAATAACTGCACTTTCCATAATAAAGCATGAACCAAAACTTAAAACTCCCATTTTTAAGTTCATTTGAACTTTTCTTCATCGGTAGGTGTTAGCATAGCATGTTCTGTCCCCCCTCCCCTCACCTGGAGTTTTTCAGGCTCATCTGTGCTCTCTGGTCTTCTTTTGTCATTCCAAAGCAGACTGCAGTAATGTAGATGGCGTCTACGTGAGAGTACAACAGGGCTCGATCAGCCAATCTAATTACAAATAGGGACTTTAAAAATGATTCAATTGAACTGCCTAATTAATAGTATAACCCTTTAATTAAGTAGTTTATAAGCCTGAATCATTCTTAATACATTATGACTTAGGGTTTTGTTGCTAATTTGGTGTAGTTGTAATGTTGTAGCTGTGACCTATTCCTAGTTTTGGTAAGAAATGTATTATGTTTTTATGTGTGCTAAAACAAAAGACCAAAAAGAATAGTGACTCGTGTAATTGAGAGCAGCTACAGTAGTTATCAGTAAACAGTAAAAAAAATGCAAATGTTAAAAAAAAATGCAGTTGCATGCATGCTGACTGAGTTTGTGCCTATTATATACATTTTATAGACTTTTTTCACTTCAAAAATTTTCATTATTTTCATTTAAATTCTTAATCTTTATGGCAACAGTCCTACTTATATCCACAACTGCTGTGTATGTGCTGCTTTGTTGTTCCTATCTAAATGTCCCATTTTGTAGGACGCCCCAGCAGACATCGGAGCCCTATCTGAAGAGCTCCAGTCCTTGCAGGCCCTCCGTCGCTCCTCCACCTCCTCGCGGTGCATCCACGAGCACCACTGTGGATCTCAGGCCTCTATCAACTCCCTCAAGCCCTCCCAGGGTGCACTCTCTCTGGGCAGAGGGTCCGTGGACCTGCCCCCCCTCAGAGGAGAGCTCCATGGCACTCTACCCTCGCTGAGGGATGTCAACAGTAGCCTGAGGAAGAAGAGCTGGCCCAGTGTGCAGCAAGGCCGGATCCAGTCCCACCACAACTCTCTGAGCAGGCAGGACAGGGTGATGGAGGAAGAGGAGGAGGATGAGGAAGATGGGAGATATGACGTGTATGTGCGCCGAGCGGGCAGTCGCAGAGCCAATTCGGAGATGGCGCAGCAGAGGTCCCTGTCTATGGATTTTTGAAGAGAACTGTTTGGGGCAGGTCAAATGGATTGACCATAAACTGACGGTGTCTAAAGTAACAACACCGTGGCACAGAAAATAGAAATAGATTTTCATAACACCATGACAATTTTTAGCAGAAAGTCTGCAGCTTTATTCTAATAATTACCCAGGGAGGGTTTGTTTTCACTTTAAGAGGGGGTATTACGCAAAATTGACTTTTTGGAGCTTTCTGTCATGTTTTAATATTGTTCTCTCATCAAAAACATGTCTGAAGAGGTTTTCATCCATGCATGTTTGAGTAATTTAACAATCTCCCAGACTCAGACCGTCAAAAAACGAATGTTAGTAAATGTTAAATGTAAATATGTAAATATGTTAATATGTTGTTTTCTGCGAATATAGTATTTTCAACACAATAAAAGGTAACATGGTGGTCTAAATATTTAAGTGTTAATATCCCATAGAGGTGTAATACCTCCTCTTATAGAACCTCCACAATGTGAACAAAGATAAGACAGGAATTGTTTGGTATTATATTGTATTATTTATTATAATTTAAGTTATCCTCACAAATATCAAACATGTTTTTAGAGATGAAAGCTTTCCCACTGTGAGGTAGAAAGGGCACTTTCTATATCTGAGTAATGACAGTGATAGTTGTTGTAAAATACGCCACACCGACAAGAAATGATGGTGGACATGAGGTAGAATACAGGAGAAGGCATTACTTTTTGGAATATCAGGTGACAGATTTTTAGGAATGTTATTGGAGGGCCCTCAAAAACGTACTGTTATAGTCAGCAGCAACTTTCACTACAACTGCTGCAGGGTCAAACAAGCACCCATGAAGCACCCATCCCAACCAGCACCCAAACTTTTGGCATCCCTCTCTTTACTCTTCAGACCAAATACTCATCAGCCTCACAGATATTATTGATGCCCTTTTTGTGAGAAATAAAAATAAATTGCAATAATTTAAAATCGTGCTTTTTTTTTTTTTTTTTTTTTTTTTTAATATGGCACAAACAGGCATTTCTTATCAGACATTTTATATAGGCTATAGTTTAGTATCTTTGCTTGGATCCTTTACAATGGAAAGTCCAAGCTCTTACAAATCTGCTTATCTGCCACACACTCAATAATGCCTAACATAACTTTCTAGATTCAGACTACGTTTGAAAATAACTTTACTATTGAGTTACAGCTTAAGAAGGGAGGGAATGATTTTGGACAAACATTTTTATTAAAGGGCCCATATTACACTATTATCTATGCTATAATGTTACTTCCTTTTCAAAAACATACTTGGAGTTGTGTTTAGTTTCATTTACGCATGTTTAATGCACAAACCCTGCATATTTAGGTTTGGTTCTTTACTTCAGGAAGCACCCTGTTCCACTTTAAGTCATGGGGTAATACAGAAAGTGCGCCACTGTGTTTTTAAACTCCATACACCTTCACTAGAATCATTTGGATAATTTAAGGTCTGGAATTTCTCATCTCTACTAAACAACAGGTAAAAGGTAGCTGTTAACTTGAAAACTATCGCTTTATGACAAGATGGAAGAGAGTATTTTGAGATTTATACATGAAGACAGACTAATAATAAAGGGTTATTCAAATATGTGTGAATGGAACAAAGCACAACTGCAGGTATGTTTTTGATAAGGTAACATTATAACATGACTTAAAGCTCACACAAGTCAATATTGCATAATGTAGGATCATTAAGTTATGACACAGCTACTTGCTAAGGAATCCCCAGTACATGAGTTACCGGGTCAAGTGTCAAACAGAGCTCGGAGAGTACTAGCACTTTGAATTGGGTGTTTTTTTAAGCAAATATACCTAGTTATCTAAATTAATATAATAGTCAGTTACAAACTGTTATTCATCACCCATTCACAGATTTTACAGAGGGTATTTTGCACTAAAAGACTGTATTGTTTCTATCGTGTTGTTTCCCAGGCACACACTAGCACACACATTAGCACAGAACAAACCCATCCAGTCACCCTTTTCAGAATACTCAGTGAGTGGCTACATTGGGCAAGTATGCATGTGCAGACAGAAGAACCAGTCCTGCAGCTTCACTCGCATGCATTTTGTCTGTCACTTTATAAATAGCCAGAATTAAGATTAAACATACCTCTTAGTCACTAGTGGTGTTGGCATTGTGGAGCAAAGATATAGGTTAGGTCAGATACTAAAAAGAATTAGGCCAATCAGACTATGATCAATTACATAAGTAGGGCGACCAGTATTATAAAATATCTTTTATTGCGTTGCATAAAAGTGATTAGTAAAATACAAAGTGCTTTTTAAAGTACAAGTGAACAGAAGTGGGTGGAGAAGCTAAAAAATGTATTCAAAGGTGCAAGAAATGCAAATATTGTCAACACTGTGAGGAATGAGCAACCATAAAAGGTTCTTCTGTTACTCAAGTAGAAATACAATATATGGTAAAATAAAATAAAAAAGTGTGGTAAAACTTGTAGTACCTAAAGTGCATACCTAAAGTGCATATGACAGGTTAGACTTAATTTCACTAAAACAAAATTATTATATTTACAATGTGGCTAAAACTCTTGCCTAGTATTTTCTAGTTTAAAACTTTTGGCACAGTTTATAATTTGACTTCCTTTTTTTAACACTTCATAAGATATTACTGTCAGAAAAATACCTTCCGTGCCCACAAACTGCCACTAAACTGGTTTAAAACTATGATAAATATTTAGTACCGATACTATCCCACCAAACCAAGTCATAATTAGAAAAACATATGCACTTTAAGTAAAAGTAATAGTAACTGTTGAGCACCCACCTCTGCACGTTAGCATATTCAACCATCACATTACAAAACAGTATTTTGACTGTACAGTTTTACACCAGTCAGATGATCTGTTGTCCCTCATGAAACATTAACTTTGAACAGTTAAAACAGAGATATAGTCGTAAAGTTATGTAATTATGTTTGCACTTGTTAAGACATGTCCACGTGAAGCTTCAGTGTTCTATCTCTCGTGCGAAGTGACTGAACAATGCATAGAGGAATGCCACCAGAGCAGGTTCAAGGACATTCTAGACACTATGTATCTCAGTTCAATGCACTTGGTTTAACTGGTGGAAAGTCCAAAAAAAATTATGTAAATGTATAATGAACACATTGAACTAAGGTTGGGTTCAAGACATCACAGCATTCTAAAGAGGCTTAAAATTGAGCTTGAGGACAGGTCAGAAGCCTATGGTGTAATTTGCTGTTTAACTATCAAAATGCAGATTTGGTGGCCTGGTTTGTGTAGGGCTGTGCAATTAATAATTCTTCAAGTAGTTCTCTAATTGAAAATTGAGTGCTCAAGATTATTAACATGAACATAACATGAACATGAATGTATGTTCAATGCGAACATACATGCTTCTTTGAGTGGAAAATTTACTTTTCACTTTTGTAAAATTATATCAAAATGTATTTATCAGGGACATCAAATCATTTGTTACATGTTGGCCATATAACACTTCCATTTCCATTTTTTTTCTTCATGAGTCTGTTTAAAAAGACTAAAAATATCATCATTAAATATTGAATATCGTCACGTCACCTACTTTACTTTTTTCTGTTCATTGTCTTCATGCCCCACCTTCTCAAAGGTGGGGCAAATAATTGTTTTGTATGATCATAGTTTGAATTATGATTATTCCTTTTGTCCAAAATTAAGCAGTAAGTACTGCAACTATCCACATGAAACAAAAACTGACACGAAGTCCAAAGTCTTCTCTGTCAGCCTAAAATAACTTAAGTATTTTCATAAACAAAGTGTCCAAACGTAATAACTTATAACATGCTACTATTTGCTGCTCACCTTCAGCGCTCTGTAATGTTGAGCTTCCTTCACATATTTTCTTCAGTCTTAGCCCCGTGTACTCTTCTGTATATAGTCCAGTGCACAAAAAAGCATGAGTCGTGTATTTGTCATACAGACGTTTTGAGTGATTCCTCGAAGAATGACACGTGGTTGTAGATGATGAGAGGAGTTCGCTCCCCTAAAACTGCCTCTGTGAAGTTGGGTCTCTTCCATGCATACACCATACTGTTCACAAAGCCTTGTAGTGAGACTGTAGCAGCCTGCAAGGGAGAAGACAAACACTTCAATACTGTTGTTCCTCACTTATTTTATGCATTCCAAACATCGTAATTATTCACAACAATATGTTTATAAGTGTTTTTCACAACTCCCAAAGACTAATATGGAGTTAACAAAAACTAGCTTGCTAACAGTGCACTTCCTGATTTTTCGGCAATCAAACGCTTTATAGTTACAGACAGTACACCGCTGACTTCTTTGGATCTCAAGAGCTGCTTATACAAAATATCTACAATACATGTAAAAAGTACGGTATATGGCCTTTAAGTATCTGGATAACTAGCATGCTAACAGTGCACATCCTAATTATGAGGTTTAAAAAAGACTTTATAATAAGTAAACAGTGGACTTATTTTGCTTATACAGTGTGTCTGTACTGGGGTCAGACAAAAACATGGGGAAAAAAAATCTGCTCCAAGCCTTTTAAGCATTCGCATAACAAAAACTGGACCATGTTTTAATATGAGACATGCAACCATATCTAAACACCAAATGTATTGTCATTATCATGTATTAAAGATGCACTATGTAACTTTTCTGGTGTTTTGCCTGAAATGTTCCATACTGTTGGTATAAATGTTTATCTTTCATGTATTCCATTACAGGTATTTTTATTGCAGCAAAATCCTGGCTTGTCTCCTGATGTTATGTCATTTTATGGAGCTTCTGTTAGTATCATTATGTCATACACCAAAAGATAATAACCAAATATGTTTAATGATAATTGCATCATTATGACCTCATTGAAATTAAGCAAAGGATCATGGTTTATGCAGTTCCCTCTAATTCTTTGCAGTTAAGGTCTAACATAATGATTTTTGAGTTTACTTATGTATTATTTATTTTATTTTATTTTATTTCCACTCATTAGCACTATGCTCAAAATGTACCTGTGTTGAGATGTTTATAACGTGGAGGTGTGGAGTATTTTGCCTTTACCTGTATGATGTACAGTGGAAAGAGTCTAGACTGTTCAATGGCCCACGTCATCCCGAAGAGGAGCAGAGCTGTACAATAAAGAGATCTGTGTTAGTTTCAGCTAGTCAAAAGGTCAAACAGTAGCAGCAGTAGAAGTAATCACTGTACCAATAGATGGAAATATGGAAACATGGAAATAAGCCTGTGGCATATTGTTCATTAATATGTACAGGCCCTTTTTCTAAATACATACATAAATAAATAAAAATAAAGTCATAGTAGTAGTAGTACTAGTACTAGTAGTAATAGTAGTAGTAGTAGTAGTTGTAGTTGTTGTTGTAGTTTTAGATGTAGTAATAGTAGTAGCAGTAGTAGTCTTAGTATTAACACAGTGTTGTACCTGGGGTCCAGCAGACGATGATGACCAGTACCCTGTTCCGGGCAGTGTACTTGAGATGTTTGAACCTCTTTGTGGACTGTCCGTCTCCCTCCACAGGAAACAGGCCCTGCTGCCGCTGCTGCTGGCCCTCGTGCCACTTAAAGATGTCATGGTAAATCACCTACACATGGATAAGGTACACACTATCAAATAAAAGCAGAATTTATATGATGTATTTACCTATTTAAGCTTAGATACAGTTTATTAGATTAGAAATTGTCATATTGTGTATGCAATACATTTGCTTTTAAGCTAATGGGAGTCCAAATAAAGAGATACACAGTTGCTCTTCACTGTACTTCATTGAGATGGGAAAATCTGCCTTTTCCTATGCAGCACCAAGGTCTTGGAATTATTTATGGAAAGATCTTAATTTGGAATCTGGGGTGTCATTTGATAAGTTTCCTGTTTTGGATTGATTGTGTTGGCTGCTACCATGGCCATGTCTTTCTTGAAAAAGAGATTCTGAATCTCAATGGGACCTCCTGGTTAAATAAAAAAAAGTTAAATCATCTATTTCTATCTATCTCTGTGTTTCTTTCTGTATTACTGGATGTTTTGTAATGCAGTATATTGGTACTGGTAAGTCTGAAAGAATAAGATACTAGAATAATAGTAAAAGTAAGTCCACAAATTGTTTCTACAAATGTTGGTTGATTTCCAAATAAAGATGCAATTGTTTTTGATGTTGCAAATTTACCAAATAAGGCAGCTTTATTTAATGAGGTGAAACTAGCCAGTCTAAAGGAGACTATATGCATGGTATATGACTTACCGTGCAGGACAGTATAACTTCCACCACCAAAAAAAACAGGAAAAAATAGACGGGCGCTTGATGCTTGAAGTCCTAGAGAAAGACATCATCAATCACTATAATATATACAAAGCTTTAAAAAAAAAAAAAAAGAAACTAGGGCAATAAATACAACTTACGTAAACAGAACAGTCGTCTTTCCACACATGTGAGAACAAAATACACCTGAAAGAATAAATGTATGATTTATGAAGAGGAATTTTCACTTTTGTCAAATCATGTGAGTGGAAAAATGATCTCACCTTTTACAATACTCAGGCTCAGTAATTCCAGTGCGTGTTTTAGTATTTGGTGAAGCCATAAACACGGCATAGATCACGTACACCCCAATGAGGAATACCCTATGAAAATCCAAAATCAATCAATTACCTCTTTACCTAGTTTGAATATTTGTAATTTAAAGGCCCTGTATCTGATTTTTCCCATGCATTTGAATAATATTTGCCCTGCCACTGTTCAGATATATTCTTTAAACACCTCTTGAGTTAAATATAACCTACTTGGCTCTATGGAGATGTTATTATTTTGCATAGTATGTTCCCCAGAATGGCATTAAACTTATCTCTCTTCCTGGAGACAAGAAGTTGATGTAAAGTTACAGCTCAGCGCAAATTAAATAAAAAGACTCACCACAGCAATGCATAATGGACATTCTCTTTTGTTCTTCCACTCTGAGAGAACAAATTCAACATACAGGATTAAAAGAATGACTGTTGGATTATTTTGAGACATTTAGACTGTTACAGAATTTGTGCTCATTGGCTCACCTGCACGTCCTCAGAGCCGGCTGGTCGCGTCCTCCATCCCTGCACCACGTTCTTGGACTTAAGAGCATAACTGTTGACCAGCATGAATGAGAGGCAGTAAAACACCTGAAAGACAAGGAGAGCTGATATACTAAAATGTTTCACTTTTCTTTTGACACTCTCTCCTTCCTTTGCTCTTCACACTCCTCTTTCAGAGCGTTATCGCAACACCATCAGCGTGCGTCCTGCTAATGAAACTACTGCACACCATATCAGGTTTGTGAAGTTGTTGTGTACAGTTTTGTATCATGCTTTTGTAGATTTATGGAAAATAGATGTGTTGGAGGGGTTGAATAGGGCCAAGAAGAGATGGCAAGGTTATTCAAACATGTCCTGGAGAAACCATGGAAAACTCCAAAAGGTTTCTTTTGCATAAAACCAAATTAGATTATATAGATATAAATACTGCATTTCTTTCATCTGACTACACACTGTTTCTTACGACCCCACAGAGAGTCACATTACTGGGCAATGTGGTGAAGTGTATTGCTCACTGGTGGAAAGTAACTAAGTACAAAAATAAAAGTATTGTAGTTCAGTGCCAAATTTAGGTCTCTGTGTCTGCAAACAAGAAATATACACATAAAAACACCTCGAAAAATTAAGAAATCAATTGTTGAATTGTTTCTGTTGAACAAAAGTCAGACAAATTCTGAATCAAAATCACAACATTTCACACATTTACACATCTCAAAATCTATTTATATACTTATAAAATCCAAAAATATACTTAAGTAAAAGTATTTTGCTTTTACTTTGCTTTATTACTAGTATATTTTTTCAAGATTTTTTTTCAGGAACATTTTTTGCTCCTTTATCTATACATTTACTAAAGTACCAATATTGAGTGCCACGTGCTAGGAGGCATGTACTGCAGTATAAGAGGTAGAAAAACATAATGGGAATGGAATGTCAAACGTGACTTTTCTAGAGATAAACAAGCCATCATATACACGCCCTACACACCTGCATTTTATACTACATACATACTGCACATTACACTGCACCTGTCTCTCCAGCCTGTTATCAGAGCCTTTCCCTTCTTGTCAGGCAGGTCCGATGGTTTCCTTACATTAGTTGTTCATATTAGTTTGGCCTGTGCAGTAGATTACAGTGTATGGACTAAGCAGGACTCTATCTGCACATGGGCCCTGTCTGATAGCCACACGTGAGCAAGTGTGCGTTTAAGGTACATAGGTTTAAATTTTTTCTAATTATGACTTGATTTGAGGGGATAGTACCTATGGTAAATATAGTTTTACACCAGTGGGAGTTTGTGGAAAAAAGTTGAAAAAAGTACAAAAATACAGGAAGTAGACTCTGAATTTACACTGAAAATTGTAAATGTAAAATGCATGGACAATTTTTCTGACAGTTTTAACATGTGTTTTTTTTGCATTAAAAACATCTGTAATTGAATAAATGAAGAACTCTACATAGAGCACCTTTAATTACATACAACTTCCCATATTTTAACAGTTTTGATATTCTTGTTGTCTTCTAGACCAATGAGCATTTGTAATTATTCACTCTGACTCATTGCTTCTCTAAACATGTGTTCTGGGAAATATTTATTACATGGATATTTTTCCGTTATACTAAACACTGACACTGATTAAATGTAACTTTCTCTCAAGAAAGTATTTGAAGTTATGAAGCTGTTGCCGTATCTATTTCGAAGCACACAAGTAAAATATGAATGGAATAAAGCATCCTCTTAAGTTGCCAAATATTGAAATCATTTAGAATTGCATAGTTGACATATCTGTATTAGGAATTTCACCATGATTGACACTGAGTAAGACCAGTTGCTGTGTTACTAGATCCTCTGTTGTTTCTTCCTTTGAAATTTATTTGTTTTTAAATAACTTTTCTTTTAAGGCATTATTGCATTGCCTGGTATGTTCCACAGTATGGCATTAGACTTATGAATCTCCAACAAGCAGGCCAAGTTACAGGTCAGATCTGTAGAGAAGTGACGCCACTAAAAGTAGGAATGCTTGTTTTTTGTGGTACTTATGAACACACTTGTAATTAACTAAATGCTAAATAGATGGGTTTACTGTGGAACATTCAAGGCAAAGAAATATAATCTCCATGGAGACGAGCAGGTAGCGGATCCATTAACTATATTCATGGACATGCTTAGATCGGAAGTTAAAATTATGGGCATCGTGACACAGCAAAACTACTCGTTATATTTATATAGCATCACATTAAACCAAATCAGGTGGATTATAGGTTGTAAAGAAATTTCACAATGATCTAAAATTGTCTGTGTGAAGTAGTGGAGGTATTTCAAGTCACAATGCAACTGAAGGTGAAACTAAATATACAGAGGAGTCAATGATTAACTGAAAGGTGACAGAGCAAAAATGCAGGTTTTATCAACACTCAAATAAATGTCTGTGTACCTGACTCGTAGTCTGTGACATTTTCAATCTTAAAAAAATAATAATCATATAAAATTAAATAACAAATCGAAGTTGCTATTTTAATGAACACAATTAGCCAAGGCGGACATTTTTGAAACCAGGGCATAACTCTTGGTTGGTGTAGGTTTAATGTAAATCTAGGACTTTATGAAATCGTATGAAAACCGGTGAAATGAAGTGAGACATACCAGAGCCAGAGGCAGGCCATAGAGGCACAGATTGGGCTCTTGTCCTGTAGAAATGACGTTGGAGGACGTGATGGACAGAAGCACGGAGGAGGCCAGGAGGTCAGCCAGAGACAGCTGGACGAGGAGCTGCCTCTGCACAGGGAGGGCATACAGGTTAGTCTTGTCACAATACAAAAATTGCAACTCAGGTTTGATTCCAAAGAATAGACTCAAAAAGCAATAATGATTCCAATAACATCATGATAATTAAATCACTCGTTTTGTGATCTTCAATATTACATTGTAGTGCTTTATATTACCGTGTGTTATTCCTAATTCATCTTGGTTCCATAGTGGTCCATAAGTGTATACTTGTCTACATGGTATTTTACTAGTCCTGATACAGCTCAAAATCATTCTAAAGCTATTCAGGAAAGGTTGATTTCTGTCCTGTGAATGTGACTTTTTTAGTTTCATTATAGCTAGATATCTGATTTTTGATAAGTTTGACAACCCTACAACCAATATAGCAAAAGAACATTCTGATATTATGCTGGCAAGGTGGAGTTATTGACAAGTGAAATCTATTTTTTGTTATGTATTCAGGCACTCCTATTTTTTGTCAAGGGTTGTCACATTGAACCAGTTCCCTAATTTGCCAAATTTTTACACCAGTTGCCACAATATCCAAATAGGATTTGCAATACGTACCTATACGTACTTGCCTACCAAGTGTCTGGTTCATAGTTAAATGTTTAACCCACTGTACCACCATAACAGTAAAAGTCACGTAACCATGAAATTTAAATAAATACATTTAAAAAAAAAAAGATTTCCACATAGGTTTATATTTTTTTAAATAAAAAAATCTCATGACATGATGTAAAATTTTATAACATTACTTAATCCTTTATATAACTAAAGGAAGTACTGCAAACACCCTGCAGTCTACTGGACAGCATTTTTTTGTCTTATATAAATAACAATGTGGTATTTTCTGGCCAAATGTGAAAGTGTTTAAGTGGCTGCAGTTATATAAAAGACGACTCACCTGTTCTTGAAGATTCCTCCATCGCAGTAATGAAACCAAGAAGACAGAAAAACTCCCAATGACACTGTAAATTAGACAGAATATTTTAATCAGATCAGGAGTACACGAACTTGGACTGCCTCAAACAGGAAAAGGGCACAACAGCAACAACAAAAAACAATGCACTATATGGTCTGCTTTACAGTTTTCACAAATTAACCACAACTGCCCTGAGGCACACTGAAAAGTGACTACCATCTGCCATCTGCCCCTCTGACCACCAAGCACCCACTCACACACATTCATGCATACAGAGGTGGTGAAAGTGTCTTGCCCAAGGACACAATGACAGAATGAATTGGTCGGTGTTGAGACTAAAAAAAGTAAATTATCTGTATTCACAGTTTTAAAACAATTATTAGTCTATAGAAGGAATTTGAGGATTTTCTATTTTTCGATTTGATTTCAGAGTGAAATTTGAGAGTGTAGAGGACTATATTTTATAAAATCAGAAAAATAATAATAAATAAATGATCAAAAATGACTTACCTGGGCGTGAGAAATGCGATGTATACATAAGTGATGGTTTTAATCTGAAAGGGAAAGAAATTGTTATTATGCTGTAGTCTTCTACTCTTTGGCTACATCTGAAAACACTGTATGTAATGTTATAGGTCTATGTATGGACGGTAACATGACTAAACATAGATACAAACCTGGTCAATCTGCAGAGTGTCATTATCTGTCAAATTCCCGGCCATGGTCAACTTCAGGTACATTCACCGTGGTCAGAGCTCGACCTCAATCCGCGGTAAGAAACTTCAGGATGGGTCCATACCACTCGCCAGTCCTTCGGAGCTCGAGCGTAGCACCTGTCCGACCTGAGCACCTGTGCGCGCGTTCTTAACCTGACTGTCACGTGCGCAGCTGTGTTTCCCGCCCTCAGAGACTCACAGAGTAAACCCCAAGGAAAATCCACCTGCTGTGATGTGTGCCACTTTCTGCACAAGAATTAACCCGTTTGTCCAGGAAAGTTTTACGATGGAATTGCACTTACCTATTGTAATTCCCGTTACCTCCCCATGAACTTAAACGCGCTTATTTTTACAGCTAAAGTGTAATATCTATGATTATAAAACTCACCGACATTATGAAATCATAGACCTACTTTACAGTGACATCTAGTGGTAACTTCTTGTCTTGCGCACCAAAACTGGCCCAAAGATAAATATGATAATGTAAACTTGTTTGTTGTGCTTGACTAAAATACACGTTCAATTAAAATTAAAAGATTATAGACCCTGTTTCTCAAATGGGTGTGTCTGGTTCCCCCAGCTCCAGGGGCAGGCGTAAGCTTTATAGGTTAGGTTTACGCTTCTGTATGCATTACAGTCTATGAGTTTACAACATAATACAATAAATAAAATCGAATAAGAATAAATTGCCAAAAAATAAAAAAATATTGAGATAATAAAATAATATTGGCCCTGGGTATATAATACGTCTACCATTTTTTCCAGTTAAAAATATTAGTTATCAGTTTGGCTCTCTGGCATAGGTGTATCTAATAATACAAAGATAAAAAGGCTACCTCCGCCCGTGTCATAATTCAGTAAGATATTTATCCAATCCAACAAGACCATAATATAAATATAAACAAGACCATTATTTTGCACTTTATTCCAAAAATAATAAATTACAATTAAAAAGGCTACGTAAATAAATGATTCAAATATATCATAAAGAGATGGCAGGCACATGTCTAGTCTATATAAAATGTATTTAAAAAAAACGCCATCTTTCTCCATTTATGATGATAGATCACTGCTAAACAAAACGACACTTAAATCTACGGATAAACCAGTATAGAAACTGTTGCTGTTCGAGGCTTTGTCAATAAAGTTCTATCCAAAGCGGTGACGTCGGCAGTTCCACGTTGGCTCCGGTTGGCCCACACCGGACGTGGCAGTTCACCGTCGGCTACAGCTGTGTGCGCCGAGCCGCTGCTTTTGTTCCCTGTAAAAGCCAGACAAAACCTCCTATATTCTGCGGATCGGACCTTCCGCCATGGGGCTCACGATTTCCAATTTGTTCACCAAGCTTTTCGGCAAAAAACAGATGAGGATTTTAATGGGTAAGTACGGCAAAGGGATTGCTGCCGTGTTAGCTGCCGGAGAGACGGTCTGCTTCAAGCTATTGTCACGATTTAGCCTGGTTAAAAATCTTTTTAAAAGTCTATAAAAACTATACATTTTTATATTCTTAAAACATGAATTACATTGACTATCTATTTAACGTGTTCAGTTGAGTCTTGAATGTTGTGATTGGATTTACTGCCGTTTTTTTTTTTTTTCAAACAAGCTAACCTCTTTGGCAAAACTGGGTTACCTATCAAAATATATTAAAGATTGTACAGTCTTTTTTTTTTTTAAAAATTAAATAAATCGTAATCTGGTCCTACTCCCTCGATGGATTCTTTGTTGGACCTTGTTTTGTCATATCTTCAACGTAAACGTAGAAGTGTTATGCAATATGCAGCAATCTCCTCTACTATGAGCCACTTCCCTACAGAAATAATTGAAAATTAATGGCATTCTCATAGATGTTTTTAAATAACAATTTTAATTCCTTGGAGTAGTTTTCAATGTCCTCCTATTTTGACAAAGATTCAGAAACAATAGAAGACGGACGGCTATACTAGATACGGCTTATGTAAATTGGACTGACCCCGTCCTTTAACATTTACAACACTACGTCATTGTTCATTGCGTTATTGCTTGTTTAGACATCCATTTGTATAAGAGAAGAATAGCAAGTTTGGGTGTGAAAATGTACACAAGCATTACCTCAAGTGTTAGATTAGCTTGCCAAATTTAAATATTCTTTTTTTTTTTTTTTAAACTTAACTAACCCTTATTTTTTCTGTTTTTACAGTTGGTCTGGATGCTGCTGGGAAAACCACTATTTTATACAAACTGAAGTTGGGTGAAATTGTAACAACAATCCCCACAATTGGTAAAAAACAATTACTTTTTTGTATGACGGCTTAGTTATGGTAAAAGTCATGCTAATAATTATTTGTCTCATAATTGAAATTATTTCAAATTATTTCTATATGGCCCATATTTAAAAAGTCTTGTCTTCAAAGTAGGGTTGTCAAAAGTATCAAAAAGCAGATACCAACCCATATTATTCATTTGAACAAATATTGATTCTAAAAAAACCATCAACAGGACAGAAATGAATCTTTCCTGAAAACCTTTAAAATTAATTTACACTGTATCAGAACAAGTATAAGACCACATTTACCTGGATGACTAAGTGATTACTTAGATACCACCACGTGGTAATAGGAAAGAATGTACCAAAAATTGTTTTCAAATTGAGTATCAAATCAGTTCCTTAATAGCATTTTAGAGTCTTGACAAATGTTACTACGTCAAGTTACTATAGCTTAGAAAAAGGCTTGTTCCAGGTTTTGAGAGGCAAACCAATTGCACATATTCTGTTTTTGGTTACGTTTTTGTAACTGAATAGAAAATCACTTTTATAGATTAGATTAATTGCATAGCCCTAACTTGCAGTATCTGAAAAATCTGTTTTTTTGTATACTTCAGGTTTTAATGTGGAGACAGTAGAGTACAAGAACATCAGTTTCACAGTGTGGGACGTTGGTGGTCAGGACAAGATCAGACCCCTTTGGAGACATTACTTTCAGAACACACAGGTAAGAAATAGGACTTTAATTGACTTAAGAAATTCTTCAACAACTAAAGACTAAAGTATTGCTTCATTGGCTAAAGGACACATGGAATGGCTATGGCTAAAGTTCCCAAAATTATTTGAATCTTGTGCATACTACATACAGATGTATACAGAGAAGTACTAGCATTATCTTTATCAGTGAAAAAGAAGATTAAACTCAGTCATTCCCAAAACTCCAGCTGACTCAATCCGTGCTTTCTTCTTACTGCTGTGGTTCACATACTTTTTTATAATCCTAATCAAATAATGAAACTATAATAAAAGATTTGATCCACTAACACCATTGACCAGTTAATTGACTGAATGACTAAAGGCCTACCGTCTCAGGAACAAAGTCTAACACCAAAGTGGGAATGAACTTATGCAAACACAATTAGTCTGGGTCATTTGCATAAGCTCAAGGTAAACGTTGATCATGTGAAAGCTGCTGGTGAGTTTGATCAGTCAGCTTACGTGCCATTATGTCTTTGTTATTGTTTCCTGTCAGTCTTTAACTACAGTAAAGATATGGTGTATCATGTGAAAGGAGACATATTGTGCTAAATGGATATTTGTCATTATTTAGGTGTATTTAGTTGTGGAATACATAAAAACAGACAAATTTTGTGTGCGCGCATGTTAGGGGTGTGTGCCCACACACTACACACTACATCAGAACCGGGACTAAACCGGGACTAAACCGGGACTAAACCGGGACTAAACCGGGACTAGAACAGGACTAGAACAGGACTAGAACAGGACTAGAACAGGACTAGAACAGGACTAGGACTAGAACAGGACTACACTGGAACTCAAACCTGGAAGTATGAATACAGCCTAAATGATCCCAAGTAGTAAGCCGGTCTTTCAGAACAGCAATTTCAACTATTTTGTAAACTGATACCAGCAAGGTATGCTGCTTTGATTTTATGTTTTATTATATATCTGCTTTTGCAGTGTGTACACAGTGTAACAAATTGTGAATTATTTTTCCTTTTAATTTAAGTAAATTGCTTTTTTGATGTGCTTCTAGGGTCTGATCTTTGTAGTGGACAGCAACGACAGAGAAAGAATCGCAGAGTCAAGAGATGAACTAAATAAGATGGTAAGTGTTCCATTATTCTCAGTGTATAAATAAACCATTTGCATTTCATGTGTGGCCAAATAGACAGTTTCCCTCTAGATTTCCTGTTTAGGTTTTGTGTCTCACAGCGGTTAACAAGCAGATGAAATGTAGATGAACAGAGTCAATATTGGTGCCACATATTGATTTTTTTAGTATGTGGATAAAGAACAGATCAGCCTCTGTTTTTTATCCACGTCCACCAGCCTCATAAAGCTGTTACGATTACAATATGCTATCATGAGCATATATTGATGCAGGATACCTTTGTGATTTGAACTAAACTATAACAACACAAACAGTATTTAACTATTTAATTTTGGTATTAAATTCTGAACTATATTTTATTCAAGCAACACATCAGATTTACTGTACGTGATCGAAAAAGGACACTATTCTATTTCTTACAACACAAATTACGCCCCATGTTATGTCCATGAAAAATACTTGGTTAATCACTTGAAAAAAATTTATGCAGTAATCTGCAATCCAGTAAACCTGCATCGCTTTCCTTTAGAGTGATCATGTGATGGCTTCAGATGTGTTTTGGTGCACTGCCCTGTACTGTGTTAAACCAACACAATAGAACAAAACAATACAAAATAATGTGACACCATGGGTGTGTCAACGTTAATGTCTATTTCAAAAACTCATTTGAATTATAGACTATACTTTGACAATAATGATTGATCATATTGCCTAACCACAAGATAGCTATCCTTTTTGTATTCACGAGATGTGGTTTGTAAGTTCCCTATATTAGTTATGTCGTCATTTTTAACTTCTAAAGACTAAAGAGGATGTGGAGTACCACTGGTAACAATGGTGACACCACAATCCAAAGTAAGAAACCCAATTGGTTCAGATTATAGCACCTTTCTGTTACATTCAAACTAAAAATGTAATAAATCACCATTCTGTATTGTAAAGAATGTTTCAGAGGTAGTTTTCTGGACACTGTTTTTGAATACCTCTGAAATGTTCTCTACACTGAACCACTCTTTGCCGAATTCTGTTTTGTGATTGGTCATTTTTCAATCACACGTGTTTGAGTGTCTTAGTCTGCCTATATCTCCAAAGCTCAAAATGTTCTGTTCCACATTGTGTTAGTTGTAAAGGTAACAGGTACATTTGACTTTTTTTGTGTAGACAGTGGCAATTCCAACGCTGAAATCATCCAAATGATTCTAGTGGAGGTGTATGGACTTTAAAAACATAGTGGAGCACTTCCTGTATTACCACATTCTTTGTAACTTATCACAGTTTTGAATAGTGAATTTGGCTTCAGTTTAATTGTTGCAATCCCCAAAAATAACATTCAACTGTTGTTTATAGATGTTATGTTGTAGCACATTTAAAGATTTTTTTTTCCTGTTGTAGCTCCAGGAGGATGAGTTGAAAGATGCTGCCCTATTGGTGTTCGCCAACAAGCAGGACCTGCCCAACGCTCTACCGGTCAGTGAACTCACGGAGAAGCTCGGCCTGCGTGCGCTCCGCAACAAAGACGTAAGTATCTCCAAGACTACTCCTGCATAATGTATCACAATCAAGTCAAATTCGCAGTTGACAAAAAGGCAGATTTTATTCATGATTTTTCTTATTTTACATTAGATTTGGGTCAGTCTTTGCATTTGCATATTTTTAATTAACTGAAATTGTACCAAGAAATATCAAAATATCATTATCCCAGTAGTAAACATGGTTATTGAATATTGCAACTTGTATTAGGTTAAAAGTTAAACTAAAGTATTTTTGCAGTAGTTAATGCTCCTTTGAGTTTACATTGTGCCATCCTGCTTTTTAATACATGATTTGAAAAATCTAATCTCAATTGCAATATTTGTCAGAAAATTATACATTTTATTCTTTTCTTTGTTAGTTAGCCGTTTGTTTCAATAAAAATATTCTCTTTTTTTTACCTTTACATTTCATGCAATTCTTATTTATCGATTCATGGTTCAGTCTTCTCTCAAATGTTGCTGATGTTGTTTATAATGTGCACTATGAACACTATGAACAGTGCAAATTATACAAAGATTGCAAATGTAATCCCAGTCACATCATGCAACCTCAAAAATCCATTGCTCCAACCTGTATTCACTTTGTGCATTTTGTCTCATCACAGTGGCACATTGAAAATGCCTGCGCCACCCAAGGCACCGGTCTCTACGAAGGACTAGACTGGCTATCCAATGAACTGTCCAAGAAATAATGCAGGAATTGACAGAACGCAGACAAAATGGCTGAATCTCCACGAAGGACAACAGACCAACATCTACGCACCAGGATACACTTAACCACCTCTGGGCTCGTTGGGTCTAAGAACATTTTAACATCTCATTCTCTCTCTCCTTTTCTGAACGCTATTGTCTTGTCAAGATTTCAGCTCCTCCTCTTTTTATTTCCAAATGTGTGAATTCAGATTTTGTTTTTTTTGTTTTTTTTCTCTGACATTGAAAGCATCCCATTGCTTTGAGTCTGTACTGTAATTACTCCCATGTATGTCGAGGTTAGCAATGGTCAAGGTAATCTCCCAACATTTTTATTTTATGTAAATCACCAAATTCTACTACTATACAATTTCTTTTATGTTTAAATGCATGATGCAATGGACCAGTGTTTTGTCAATTTTGACATTTCCTGATTTTTTTTTTTTTTTTTTTTTCCCTCTCAAATGGATTACGGACTCTAGCGTCGCACATTTTTGTTTCACTTTTGTTTTACCTGAAAGGGATAGTCCAGTATATTGAAAGCAAGTGTCTGTTACTTGGAGATGGTAAAGTACTTTTTGCAGTAATTGCTGAAGTAGAGAAGTGGTTTCAACTATTGACTGACTTGAATTGTGGTACAGTCATGTAACTGTGATAAAATCAATCAAACGGACAACTCTGGTTCTGCTTTTCCAAATAGTGTCTTAAGTAGTGAATGTGATCTCTCAGAATATAGGCACTTTGACAAAATATTGAACTGTCCCTTTAATTTGACCGTAAAGTAGCATGTTTTGTGTTGTGTAATATTTAATAACGTTTTAATAATTGTATGCGTCTTCACATACAACCATGTTGGCCCATTCCAAATTATGCTTGCAAATAGTCAGCATTTAAATATTATTACGAAATATCTTTGAATAAAAACTATGTTTAAACCAACTGCCTCCATTATAGACAAATTTTATTAAATGCCTGATGCAGACTTGTGTTAAAGGTGCACTGCGCAACTTGCAACCTGCATGTTAATAGTGTGCTTGGATTAGGCTTGCCAGGAATGTTCCACACTATGTATATAATGGTTTATCGGTGTTAAAAGTTAAAGAGCAAATTCCACCATAGAGTTCTCACCAATCTTCTGTGTTAATTTCAAACTCTAGATTTTCTACAATGTTGTGATGTCGAGAATCCAAAATGTTCTAGAGAAAAAGTAACCCATTGTAATGATGCCCTTCCAGTTATTTGGCATTCCATGATACATATGTTCCATGATATGTTCTGTGAATTAAATATTTACATCACAGAAAGACCACCTTTTTGGATGAATCTAAGTTGCTCTATTAACAAACTTTAAGGATGGAGATACTGTACCTGAGAGCTCTTATGTGGACTTCCTTGGCTTTAATTTTATTTACGGGGAGCGGAAAATTTAGAACCAGGATTACTTTGAAACCAGTCATCTAAAAGGACTTTGATCTGAATACAAAACCCATTCTATAATCCTTCTACCTCAGATACACCCCTCAAAACTCCTCTCATCTCCACTGCAGCAGAACAGCCATTGGCCTCCTCAGCCTCTCCAGACGATCCTCTTCACCACAACCAATCTCTCTCAAACCAGTCTGTTTCTAATCCAGGTTTCACACAGATTCTCCCTCTCTTCCTTTACTGTTCAGAATGGGTTGAGGTGTCAGTGTGGTGAAAACTTATATTGTTTTCTTGTTGTACCTCATCCACCAACTGGACAAATACAGGTGAAATAAACAATGCGTTGGGTAATTAGGACAGGACAGCCCCACAGCCTACTCTTGTGGGGTATAAGCAGTAAATAATTGGCTTGGTGTGAGGTGTGAATGCGCTCTCCTTAAGCAGGATTAAGAGGCTGGCTCATTATATGGATCTGGCTGCAGTCCTGTACAGTTCTTTAGCCCTCAATGCTAACAAAACGCCTGAAGAAGTGGAAGCATGGACGCTGGGGCTAACGCTACCATCTGACCCTCTTCCACAAGGTATGCACCATGGATCTATTAAAATAACACTATGCACTAATGTGGAAACTAAAGCTAACTGGGTAGAAAACAGCAGAGTAAGGTTTAAAATTAAAAGAATAGGCTAAATGTGTGACAAAGAGCAAAACTGAGTTAATCAGAAAAAATAAAATAAAATTTGGCTATTCTAACGTATCTTTGCATCTAAAATAGCATGTAAGACCACAAAAACCTCCACACCATAAGGCTTAAGTACATTAACACACAAGTAGCAGTAAGGAGAGAATTGTTAGTTCAAAATCATATTTACTATAGAATTGTAAAAAGGTATTTGTCTCCTCAAGTAAAAAAATACATTTTTGCAAACATAACCTTGAAAAACGAAAAAAACTTGAACATTTGGATGTATCTGGCGCCATCTGCTGGGGTATGGTGACACAGCAGGATACAAAATTATAACCTCCTACGGCCCGAAGAAAAAAAGTTTATTGCAGTATATCATTTTTTGCTATTTCTTTCTATCTACAGGTAAATGAACACCTTAGCATCAAGATTTAGTTAAATCCATGTGAACCTAACAATGACAACTTGTGACCAACAGCTCTGACAAATGTCATTGCTGATCTTCTTTCTTTCTTTCTTTTTTAATCAAAGTTCAGCCACAAACTAACTCCTATTGATAGTATCCTATAGTCCCCCCAGCCCAGAACCTAGTCCCCCCATTAAGAGTCTGTTTCAAACCATTAAAAGAGACTGGTTAACTCAATGTCTACTATAAAGAACACAAATGAATAGGCCGGGTCTCAGGAGGATAATATAGAATGGAAAATAGCATAATATGGCTCCTAAATTCTACTTTATTTCCCTATACAGTATTTCTGAATCGAGAGCAGAGGCGCACAGAAGGATGCCCACACTGACCTCGCCCGTTCCAGTGCCTCGCCCGTCCTACTCGCAGGCCCGGGAGAGTCTGGTGCGGGCCATCCCCCCTGGGCTGCTGTGTCTGCTGGCCTGTGGGGGGGTTGGCTGCAGATATGAGGGGCCCGAGTGCTGGCAATCCAACCAGCAGGCCATCAGAGGGCTCTTCTCCTCATGGTCACTATTATATTGCACTTTTCTATGTCTAACAAAGAGTGTTTTTGTTCATGAAATTTGTGTTACTTGCACAGGGTAACCGATGACATCATTGCAATGGCGAGACCATCCAATGATCTGATTGAGAGATATAACATCATTGAACAATTCAAGAAGTAAGGTTGCTTAGCAGTTAGAGCTTTTTCCCACCAGCCTGAAAGTCATACTGCCGTTGTGTCCGTAGGAAAGACACTTCACCCACCTTGCCTGTGTATGATTGTGCTATGGGAATGGGGTGGTGGTCTGATGACACAGGCATGATTTTTAAACTACGTTTGGATGACTTGGCAATGCATATTTTATTACTTTAAAGTTTGACTAAAAATCTAAACTCCACTCACAACCACATATCAAACAAAACTGCAGAACAGCAACTGGAGAACTAAAGACAAAACTGAGGAGGAAGGAGGGGCCGGGTCTGGATGTATAAGTGTTACGACCCAGCTCGTTTGGGGTGAGGGAAGTAACAAAAATAAAACCAAGATGTAAAATGGAATAAATTAAATTATGTTTAATTAACCGGAATGTAAAGGTAAATTAACAAAAGACTAAAAATATACATAAAACAACCTAAACTAAGAAACAAAACAACAGAATAAACAGTTTTGTGCCACAAAAGGGGTCACGCAGGCTTACACAAAAACGAGTGGTAAAACTTAGGGACACACACTAAACTAAAACACAAGTTCCCCAAATTAAACCACATAAGCCCACAAACAGAATCGAGTGACCAAATCAAAAAAGGCACAAAACAGAACGAGACTAAACTACACACATGAAACCTAAATGGCATACTGGCCACCAAGGCCAGCAGCCCTGAACAGGTGCTGGCAATCTCCTTAAATAGGGGGAGGTGGCTGCAGGTGAGGTGGGCGTCGACTTGCCCCACCAATCACAGACCAGGGCTCGTGCAGCAGGAATCAAGAGAACTCTGCAGAAATATTAGAACTAAGGCCTGGGGCCGTAACAATAAGGAGTAGTGTCTAGAATAGTCTAACAGGTATCCACAGACAGGTGTTTGTAAATCATCATGTATCATGCAGGGAAGTCATGTATGATGTCACACAGTACTTGAAATTGCAATGGGCACTGGAAGCAGCGCTCTTCAGCTTTTTACTGTTTTTGAACACAAAGAGGCCAATGTTGCTAGTTTGTACTAAAAAGAAAAGGACTGGGAACAGGGCAAAATACTATTAAAAAAACACCACACACAGTTTGGTGGCAAGTTTAACTAAAGTGTTTGCAAGGAGAATATTAACAGCAGTCCAATGCAATAGAGGTCTTCCTGCATTACTACCTCATGATGTCACAAGGTGGAACTGTGTATTTTGTATGCAGGATTACTCAAATTATGATTATGCATGATTGAATTTAAACACAAAACTATTTTCAGGGGGAAACTGTTTTATAACAGAAGTAAATGTACCTTTATATATGTACTTTAAATGTACACTGCTTTGCTTAAACAGTTCATCTAATGTATAGTACTTATCCATTGTTCCCAGACTGAACATCCGGTCCATCATCAACATGCAGCAGCCTGGAGAGCACTGCCACTGCGGCCCTCCTCTGGACTCCAGCAGTGGCTTCACCTACTCCCCTGAGATCTTCATGGACAACGACAGTGAGATCACATGCACCATTCTACAGCCTTTCATATACCAAATATTGATGCAATGGTTTCACATTTCTGTTTGTCTTTACAGTTTACTTTTACAACTTTTGGATGCCAGACTTTGGGGTGTCCTCTCTGGTCAGTATCATCGATGGAGTGAAGGTTTTGACTTTCGCAGTGAGAGAGGGAAGAGTAGCTGTGCACTGTCATGCTGGTCTGGGCAGAACAGGTGAGGCTGGCTTTCAGATCACAGCATTTTATAACCAACTAAGATGGAGGCAAAACAAATAGCTACATTTTAAATATAATGGACCTCTGTCATATATTCAAATTACAGCATTCAACATTTTGGGATTTTTTTTTTTTTTTTTGCATATTTGCTATAAAAAACATCAGAAAATGCAGAAGAAGTTTGAATGTATTCTCTCACCATGGGATTATACAGGTCACAGTACTAACCTGTACCTCTGTGCCACCAATAAATTACAGAAACTTGAACCACAAAAATGTCTCTTTACCCAAAACTCTAATTAAAAGTACTTTGTTCCTGTGTGTCAGGAGTGCTGATCGCCTGTTACCTCATCTACACCCTGCGCATCAGTCCAAGTGAGGCAGTGCATTTTGTGCGGGTCAAACGCCCTCGCTCCATCCAGACGCGGGCGCAGATTGGGCAGGTGTTTGACTTTGCCCGCCTCCTGGGCACTCAGCTGGTGCAGTACCCAGACCTGAGCCTCCGACACGGGGCACCCTTCACCCTCCAGCACTACCTCAACAGACAGGCCCTGCTACTGCATGGACAGGAGGCACGCGCTCTCCGGTACATGCCCAAGGTCAGAAAAGACACACACTAGTCACTGTTTTTTACAACTGATGAAAGGGCATTTTCTGCTTTATTTTGGACACCTTTAAACTGTTATTTTACATTATAGAATGATATATATAAGATATGAATAAACAGTATGACTGTTGTTTATGACCCACTTACAAATCATGCCCCTGTCCTCAGGTGTTGTACCTGCTGTGCTTGCGCCTCTCCTGCCTGGCTCTGGGCCTCCCTGCCCCTCTGGAGGTCCACTCTGAGCTGGAGAAGCGCTCATCTATTCGTACCCTGAGCAGAGCAGTGCGGGACACCCTGGTCTCCCGACAGTTCCTTCCCTTGGTGCATGCAGGGCAGCTGGGAGGCTGTGGGGGGAGTAAGGGGAGGGCCGGGCCTGTGTGCTCCTGGGATGAGCCTCTGGGGTTTCTCCAGAGGAAGAGAGCGCTCCTACAGGAAAAACGCAGCTACAGTGACTCTGACCTCACCAGGATCACACTCACTCAGGTCAGGCGCATGGGAAATGGCCATACCTTTGTGATGTATTGAGGTGGGATAGGAAAGTTATTTCTGGATCCTTAGCAGGTAGAAGATTTGTTGTTTTCTTTGCAATATTTCTTTAAAATATTATCCAATTTATAATAACGTAATAATGCAAGTCTCTTTCTGATACTCATAGTAGTCAATTTCAGTTCATTTCATATTACGGGCCATACCACCATATCATATTTTAAAAAGGCACTATATTGAAACTATAATTTCTGCATTCTTTAGTCAAACATGTTTCAGCTTTGTTGTACCTCCAGGACACAGAGCTAGGCCTGTACTGCTGTGCTGCTGTGGGACATGAGATGAGCTGGTGTGTCCAGGACCTTAGACCTGTTCAGAACCAGAACTTGATCAGAACCATCCACAGGCCTCCTCCAAGGACCTGTCCCAAACGCTCCACCTACTCAGCCAAGAGAATGCTCATGAAATTCACCTCCACCTCTGAGGTCATTCATGTTTTAATATGTCACATCACCTTCGTAAAAATTTATAGGAGGCTTTTTTCTGAAGGCTTATAACAAAAACAGGATAACAAAAGTTATGAAGGTGTCACTAATTGTCTCTGCTGCCCTCTACTGCTTAACTGATATTATGACATTATTGGAATGCCCCTGAGGCTGTACATTCATGTACATTTTGTACATTTGTACATTTGTCCATGTTTTCAACAGATGTCTGGGACTCCTCAGCACACAGCCCCCAGTGCTGTGAGCCGAGCTGTGGCTAAGGCCTTGGCAGACCCTGGGCCTGCTGGAGAGAGTGTTCTGCAGAGGTCCTCCCTGCTCCAGGTCAGATACATAAAATTTACATAGTATGCGCAGACATAAGGTAAGAAGTCTGCTCAACTTTAAAGCTAGATTTTTGTGCTTACTCTGTCCTAGACAATGCATTTTAAATTAAGTATAAGTATTGGTAAAATATTAAGAGCTTTTTAAAATCCAAAACAGAAGTTAATTAGCAGCCCGTGTATTAGTTGGTATCTTGTATGTTCCTCAGGAGGAGCTGAACAGCAGTGAGTGTGGATGGGCTCTTCTGGTCACTGAGTGTGACCCTCATGTCCTCAGCTGTCTCCTGTGGACCTGGCTCGAAAAGCTCAGGGTCAGATATACATACAAATCCACATATAAGTATGAATGTCATGTTGTCAAATAGGGATTTATTTGTGTAATGATTCTCTGATTCTGTGTGATGGTGAAATGTGAATACAGCCTTCTCTGGGTCAGCAGCAAAAAGCCGAATGCTATATTATTGTCAGCTGCTGCTTTATAGGTAATGACATTCATTGGTAATAAATGCATTACATTTTTCTATCACTGCTCACTGGGTGGTATTAAGCTACCTCTGGGGCTGATTACTAGAAACATGGCTGCTAACCTGTGCCAATGGCAAAAACATTCATACAACAGGAGGACAGCTGAATGCACTAGGGTTTTGACCCTGGCAGATGATTTGGTCAAATCTTCTTTTTCTGCCCCAGGACCCCGTGTTAAATGCAGATGACATCATCAAACTATGCAGCATCTCCAACAACAACAGTCCTATCTCTGAGCTCAAGAAGGTTGTTTTTGTAAAGAACAGTTATGTGAATGGTATGAATGATATGAGTGCTAAAATGTCAAATGTTTGAATGTGGACAGGCCCAGAAACACACAGTCCAGTGTCTACTGCGCTGTGTGGCCACAGTGTCTTCTCTGTGTCCTCACAAAGAGGATGCTCTGCTGCAGCGACTGCTCCGGGCTCTCACCAGGGTAAAACACACAGAGAGAGGACTATATATTCATATTATAATGAGAGATAATACATGTCTGTGCTCCACAGTCTCCTCTGTGTGAAGTGAAAGGAGCTGACATTCTGATGGCAGTTTTCAGGGCAGCCCTCAGAGAAACCTTTTGTAACCACAAGAACATCTCCAGAACCTGAGGAGTCAAGACATGCACCATTTAGTTAACAGTGTTGATAAAAAGTGTGTATATAAAGACTTATTATTTATTAAATCATAATAAAGGAGGTTGATATCTATATGTAACTCTATTATTCCTATCTGTTGAGGTTTCACAATGGTGAAAACTTAGAACCATGGTCATAGCAATCAACAATTTGATATGATATATTTTGACTGGTCAACCATACTCATACCACAGTATGTAAGATGGACGTTGGAGACTATGTAGCCCATAGGCCATATATAAAGGTTTTATTATAGATCCACGGCGCCAGTAGACGGCGCTGTTGACCAAAAGCTGTTCTCGTGCACCTCCAGATCAGCCGAGGAAGTCCGTTGCGTAGAAACCAAACAAACATCACGTAATCTGTTAGCGTGTTTGGCTTTTTACACCGCAGCTCATCACTGTCACTCGCTGTGCCATTTTTCTCTAATATAAGAAGAGATACGAATAGAAATACATATTTAAACCGTCCAGCAGATTAACATTTACAATCGTATTTGAAGCTTACAGTGGTTAGCATTAGCTCTTATTAGCTTTTTGGATGAAGATAATATTCTAAAACAGAAAAGGTAATGGAAATCTAAAGGAGATCTAAGCACTAGTTACGTTTAGGCATTTGTCTCATTGTGATCAGCGTGGAGGTAAAAGGAAAATGACCTGTTTTCATTCATTTTGTCCCGCTCAAACCTCGGCTAATCGTTTAGCTAGCTAATACCTATCCACAACAGCTGCTGCAGTCTTAAATCCAGTTTTCTCAAAAGCTGCACCTGAACCCGCTGGAAATGGCTCGAGAGGAGAGCAGCCACCCAGATCTGGATCCAACCAAGTACGATGCGGCGGAAGCGGTGAAGATCATCTGTTTGGGAGATAGCGCAGTGGGCAAATCCAAGTAAGCACTAACATCATAGTGTATTGGATTATGTTCTGTCATTTCTAGAGGGTTTTAATGTCTTGTTGCTTGTTTTTTTTTTTTTCAGACTCATGGAAAGATTTCTTCTGGATGAGTAGTATCCTTTGAAATCATCTAATATGAATAGATAACAGTGGTGTTGGTGTCACTCTTGTCTAAGTGATGTTGTTGGGGAGTAAAAGTAAAGTTAAATGGCTAAAAATGTACACAGTTAGACTATATTTGTAATTTGTAAAGATTTTCCAACTCAGACTCAAACTGTCAGAATACTAGAACTAGAAAAACTGAAAAAAGACCTGTTATTGACTAGGTTAAATGAGAACGAGAGGGAGATACTTTATTGGTCCCGAGGGTAAGTTTTGCAGCAGCAAACTGTTGCAGATGATGTTTCCTGTTGTTTCAGTGGCCTTTGTGTCTCAGTGCAGAATAAGAGGACTGCTCAGGTAAAGTGTCCCTCCTCTGTGTCCTGCAGCATCACAGCAGTGTCCAGGAGGAACCAGGTTAACACAACAGGAAATGCCTCGTTCTTACTCTGCTGTGGTGTTTCAGTTGGTGATGAAATGGTCCATTCCCTCAGTGTTTCCTCTCGAAGGTCTTCTGCACATTTGTAGCCACATATGGTGTAAAAAGCCTGTAGCATCTCAAATTTCCATAGCTAGCTCCTTAGCTAGCCTCTTGCACAGTCTCCATGAATACAAGAAAAACAAACTGGTAATTTAAAAAAATGCAAGAAGGATAATGTTAAATGCCATACTGTGGAACATCCCAGATAAAACAGTCGCAGCTCATGGACATGGAGACAAGCAGGTGGCAGAGCCCTAACAGAGAGACAGAGCTCACACGTTACTGTGATTGGTTAATTCCACCTGTCACTCATCTGTGTGGTGGAATGTTTAGGAGTTACCATGGTGACACAACGCACACGTTAGCAAACATTGTCAAAAAGTTTAAAGAGTTCCTGAAAACTCATAAAATGGATTTAAACACATTTTCAGGAGCCTGTTGTCAATACGAGCGTTCATGGTGCTGTTTAGGTGTTTGATTTTCAACACAAAGGTGAGATTCACTGAAAAACTGTTGCTTATGAAATGAATGATAAAGTAGCTTGTAACTGCTTGTAATTTTATGTGTGAGAGACTTTTTTAAACGCACAAAACATCTCACCTGTTTACATTATACAATACTTTCTGTTATATTATACTATACTTTTCCTTAGCTTGTGATGCAGTCGACCTCAGCAGATGTCCACGTATGCGCTGACACTGTACAAGCACAAAGCCACTGTAGGAAACAAGACCGTGACAGTAGGTAAGTACACAGTACACTATCCCTTTAGCCCGACTAACGACTGACTGCCACTAGTCAAAGTGATGGTACATGAAATTCAGTAGTATTAGTTAGTAGTAAAAGGTATTTGGTGAAACTATTTTAAGAGAAAATCTGATTCATAATATTACATTTGTGTAATTAGAAGGATAAAGCATTAAATACTTCAAATGTGGTATTTTGAGACAACAGACTGAGGACAAAAATGATAAAAACTAAATTAAAAGGAAGTTTGCATGAAACACAAATGTAGTAATAGTAGTTGCAGTAGTAGTCGTAGTCTGATGAATTTTGTACTTCTAATGATTTCTGTTATCCTCTGCTCAGATTTCTGGGATACAGCAGGCCAGGAGAGGTTTCAGAGCATGCATCCTTCTTACTATTACAAAGCACATGCGTGTATTATGGTGAGAATCTTCACTCCTGTACACCCACCACAAACCTGGATCAAGAATGTGACCTATAGCATGTAAACCTGAGTTTATACTACATTTAATTCTGCAGGTTTTTGACGTCCAAAGAAAGATCACCTACAAAAACCTAAGCAAGTGGTACAAGGAGCTGCGAGAGTACAGACCAGAGATCCCCTGTTGTGTAGTGGCCAATAAGATTGATGGTGAGTCTATTGTTTTGGGTAGTACAGTGACTGGCTATTCTAGACTAGATCTCCAAACTGAAGATCCACACCTTTTGGCATCTTGCAGGGACTGGCACAAACTTTTAAATATAGATTCATATATAAACATAAGAGTTCTTATAGATGACTACTACTACCGACTACTTGTGCGATATGCAGTATTAACACACAGGAGTTAGTAACTGGAATTCCCAGTGACTGTGGTATAAAGAGATATTAATATTAGGGATAATATTGATATTAACTATAAACCAGGTCAATAAACCAGCATTTTGAGTTCACGTTCTAGACTTTGATCATGTCATAATTTCAGATGGAGTACAGGGGCTTTTGTAAATGGGAAATTTGTTGAACATTATTTGGATATGTTTTGGTGCCACAAATGTACAATAATTATAACATAATCTTTCGGTTTAAAGTCCTTTTCACTGACAGTCATGTCTTTGGGGTTGGATTTTGGCACTACATTCTGAACCTATTCTAGTCTATTCTAGTTTTTGTTTCATGTGGATAACCATAAACCACATCAACAAATGCAATTTGACAGTTAAACACCAAATTCCACTATAGGATGAACCTGTCCTCCAGCCACATTTGCACAGTTTAAAATGGGGCTATGTCAATCAAATCAATATAATGTATTAACCTGCAGTTTTCTCTGTGCAGCTGACATGAAGGCAACTCAGAGAAGCTTTAACTTTGCAAAGAAACACGATCTCCCTTCTTACTTCGTCTCAGCAGCGGACGGGACCAATGTCGTCAAGGTTTATAATAAAGATGAATATATTATAGTATATATTTGTGAGATGTAGTTTAATATGGTTGTTGTTGTAGATGTTTCGAGACACGATCAGAAGAGCAGTGGAGTACAAGCAGAACCCCACAGACTTTATGGATGAAGTGCTACAAGAACTGGAGGTAAAATGATTCTTCAAATGTAGTTCAAAGGTGCACTATGTAACTTTTTTAGTGAGAGCCTGCTCCCTTCTTTTCTCTATGGAGATGCTTTTACTTTGTCTTCGATGTTCCGGTATGGCATTAAACAAATGTGTGTTTATGTTGCTAAAATACATGCATTACTTCATAGTTACAGAAAGCAGGGTCACCTTTCCACAGATCTGACATCTAACTACAGATGTTAAAATTGCATATTCATATGATTTTTCTATTTATGACTTGGTGTTGTGGGTTAGTACCTGTGGTAAATATTTATAGTAGTTTTAGATAATTTAAAGGGTAGTTTGTGGGAAAAAGTTGAGAAGAAACTTTTTCCCACAAACCCTTAACATTGTACATGCTCTAACCAGGAAGTAAAATAATAAACTTCACCTAAAAAAAAAGCTGGTCGCAGGCACCCTGGTAGAAAAATGACACAGTGCACCTTTAAAAAATTATTTGTCAATTCTGAAATATTTAATTTTGTTTTGCAGAACTTTGACTTGGATAAAACAGTGGAGGATTCTGAAGCGGACGATTAGAATCCAGAATCTGTGAATGTGAAAAATATAGTTTATAAATATATTATTTTTTGTAAATCCTCGTACATCTCGTGAACATGTATTTTCAGACAAGATGGCGCTGTGAATAGATTTGTAATAACCTGCCTTAGTCTGGCATTGAACTGGTACATTGTAAACTAATTTATATGTTTTATATTTTAGTTTTTATTTTTTAAAGCAAAATGTGAAGCGTTGTAAAAGGGAACATGTAATTGTTCTTTTTTTTTTTGCTGCTATCCTCGTGCGTAGGACTTTGAGATGTCACCAGGGCGCTATATTTATGTAGAATCTGTGAAGTTGGCTCGACAGCACCATTTTATTCACAGTTTAATATTGGATGTAAGCAGATTGTGTTATTGTGGATTATAGTGCTGACATATTCATGGTACTCTTTAAAAGTACATTTGTATGCGATGTTGTTAGGGGTGGGCGATATGCCAAATCACGATTTTCTTGGAGCCAGATTGCAATTTAAAGGAACCGTATGTAAGATTTAGATTTAGAATTCCATAAACACAAGTGTCCCCAGATATGACGATATGATATGATGTTCAAATCAAATGTCTCTTTTACAAAAACAATTTTAATGATTTGGTCTTAATTACAAAAAACTGGACATCATAGCCAAGTTGTTTATGTTATAATTTTGTATTTTGGTTCTCACAATGGCTGTCCAATCAGAAAGCAGAATGAGCCTCACAGGACTCTCTCGTTTTTGTTGCCAGTTTCAATGCTGAAATCCAGTTAGTTTAAACCTAAAATGGATTTCTTTGATCTGAATCATTGCTACCTAAACCTCGGCACCCGCAGCCAATCATGAGTCAGTGCTAGTGCAGCCTCTGCAGCTCAGAGAGGGAACTCTGGAGGTTCTGAGCTTTCCCATGAAACATGGTCTGCCCATATACTGAGAATGAGAAAAACTGTATGTGCCTCTAGATGCAGATTAAGGCACTGGGAATCCAGGTTCAGTCATGATGATTTCTTTTTTAAAACTGAAAGCCGGCTATATACAGTTCCTTTCATTTTACACTCTTCATATAAATGTCGTATCTTCAGTAAATACACAATATAAGGTAACCTTTTAAGGAGGGGCCACCACCATTTGTCTCCATGGAAATGTTATTCCTTTACTTTGAATGTTCTGCAGTATGGCATTAAAACAACCTATCCATCTCCATGGAGACAAGCAAGTGGCACCACCAGAGCACGTTACAGATCTGTGGAGAGAGGCAACCCTGTTCACAGTAAGACTGCATGTTTTTCAAGGCATTTTTGTGCAATAAAAATACATGTATTGAAATAAAAGTTTGATATAGAAATGTTGACTGTAGAATTTTCATGGAAACAAGGTGGCAGATCAGACCAGACTTTACGCCATCTTTGTCTCCTGAAAGTTCACTTTATTACAGTTAAACCCACCTGTATTGTATAAGTATTGCTGAGGCTGGCCATTTGAAAAATTAGTTAAAGGACCTATATTATGCAAAGTTTACTCTTGTGAGTTTTATGCCACATTAGAATATCAATACCTTATCAAAAACATAACACAACTCCAGGTTTGTTTCATTCACACCTTGCATTTTGCACTGTCTGTATCTCCAAAGCTCAATGCTCTGTTCCACCTTGTGACGTCATGAGCCGGTGGTTTAAAAAGCCACTTTTTACCTTTTGTTCAGTAGAGGTAAGCAATTCCAAGGCTGAAATTGTACAAATGATTCTAGTGAAGGTATTAAAAAATACAGTGAAGCACTTCCTGTGTTACCACATGACATCACAACGTGGAACAGGGCGTTTGCAGAGAAGAACATAACCTGAAGGATTTGTAAATAAAACAAAACATAATTCCAAGTACGTTTTTTGGTATATATAAAACATTGTAACAAGGTAAAACAGTGTAATATGGGCCCTTTAAACACATATTGTTGAAAATGTCATATAAAAGGTCAAATAAAAAACTTAACTTCTGAAGTGTATAAAATAATTCAGAAGAGGACATTTTGTGTTACGTCAAGCTCATAATAAAACAAAAGTAAAGTGGACACCCACACGGTCTCAGTTTTCATTATAAATTTATTACAGAATAAACATATCTCTGTGGTGGAGGTGTCTGTGGAACATCTCAGCTCCTGCCCCAGCCTCCACCCCCTCTACCCTCACTCAGGCTGCATGAGGAGCACTAGGTAGCATGTTCAAACTGGTACGCTAGGGCTAGATAGTCTGCTCCGAAGGGACGTTCTACTGGTTATTTGAAGTGATAGGGTTATGGTAAAAAGGAGATGGAGATGAGGAGATGTTTATGTTTTTTTTTAAAGAACAATGCTTTGGGTTAGTTAAATTTAAAACCAAGGGACCTCACACATTGCTTAATAGAGTTTTTCAGTACTTTTCTAGGACGTTTGTAATTTTGTTATGATTGCTTTTACAAATACACTGCCACCTATTTTCTGCTATAGATGTAGTCTAAATTATTTTTCATATATTATAAATTTGCCTTCAGTCCAGTTAAACAAAGAACATATATGACCAGAAGATACTGATAAAATAAAACAATAAATTATTTTGTGTTGACTATGCATTCTTCTCGTTTGAATGGTACTGTGGCCCAGTAAATGCGCTTTATTAAACTGAAATGCCTATGTGGGATGGCAAGATCATGGCTATAGCAGGTAAAAAATGAATGGTGTTGGGGTTCAGGGAAATTTTGAACGAAAGAGGTGGAATTTCTTGCATGTTAGTGTGTTTTAAAGGAGACTTATCAAAATTCAATCTGCTATTATTTTTCTGATAAAAAACAGTAACATTCTTTATTACTTATCAGGCAAAAAGAGAAAAGAAAGACAAAATATATTTTTCCTAGAACATTTGGCCCTTTTTCTAATTTTCTATGGAAGACAGGCAAATTGTTTTCCAGGTTTCTCAGGATTTCTGGGACGTGTGGGAAACCTGTAGTCTTATCTAAAATAAAACAAAAAATAAAAAATAAATTTAAAAATCCATAAATTTCAGTTTCCTGTTATATGCATATTTTTTCCCAATTTAAAAGATAGATTTCAATTAGAATATGTAAATTGCCATAGCAACAAATTTTTCATCATTTTAAAACCCATGGATAACAGTTTAAGCCTTCTCATAGCAACAGACGTTTACAGATCGCCTTAGCAACCAGAGCTACAGCATCACTTCAGAGCAGACTGTCTAGCGATAACCAAACTGTTCTTGTCCACTGTTGGAATTTAGCTGTCGAGGGACTGGACCATCCGTCTGGACCCGATCAGGCTGATACTGTGAGGGAGAGGAGAGGACTGACAAGGCAGGCCTGAGATGAAGCAGACACACCCACCAGTCTAAACTTCACAGTGCAAACAAGGAGAAAACCAACGAGAAATCCAAAGAAAAGCCGTCCATGATAAGAGCACTGGTGTTTAAAAGGTTACACTGCTCCCTACACAACGCAGATTGTGCTTTGTCGATTAGAAAAGAACATAATGTACCCACTGGATTTCACTACTGTGCCTCCACTCAGGTGTGAGCAGAGCAGACGCCATTTTGGACCATGTTTGGTTTCATTTGGGAACAGTAGTTAACAGGATTCCCCGTTATCACAGTACAAACCAAGCACATGTGATTTAAATAGAAAGATAGAAAGCTTACATGGTGGCGCAGGTGAGTAATATTGTGTCCCAAAGATTTCCATAAGTAATACACTGTTGCCTGGGATACAGATTACATAGTTTTTCAATACTTTAAGTGAGTCTGGTCACCGTTGAATCTCCCCAAGTTCAGATGGATGTGATTGACAGGTGGATTAGCCAATCAGGAATGGTCTGGCTGTATTAAACTAATATGGCTGCTTAAGAGGGAAAAAGAAATGGGAAAAATGACACAAGAGTGGAAAAAAAAAACTGTGGATTGTGAAAACTTGTGGAACTGAAGTGAGAGAAATGTGATTTTGTTTCTGAATTATAGGTGACCAGTGAGCTTCTTTGTTTCACATGTATCACAGAAATAAACAGATCTGATTGGATGATCACATTTTGTTCTGGTTTGAGACACAACTGAGGGAGTGGTGACCTCTGTATAAAAAAGACAGGGAGATATAATTCTCGACTTCAGGCAACTAATTCCCTTATGGCAATCTTTGTTAAACACAGATTTAGCCTGCATTTCATTTCATAAAATAAAATTGAATTATATTTCCATCAAGAGGAAATGGGAAAAGGTCTAAGAAATGTCTGCAGTTCTCAAGATTTCCAGGAGATGGCACCATATTATTGAGTCTAACAGCTTCAGAATGCTGTAACTAAGATAGTCCCAAAGCAAAGAGATATACAGTTCAACGTCAGGTCATTTTTGGCACATTTTCCTCAATGTTGTTCAATCTTTCACAGCCCAAACTCCCAAACTCAATATCTCAAACAGGAGAGAGGAGGGGAGCGCAAATGCCATCTGGAACCAGGGACAAAAACAGTGACTCAACACAACCTACACGCCAATACGTTCATTCAGCATCCCATAATGACTCTACCCCCGAGCTGACATGACAACACAAGTGAACACGATCCTCAGTGAGAAACCAATGTCCGTGTGCGTTTTATTTTTGTCAATGAATCCACAGCCACTGCCCGGAAATCTGGGATAAGATGATAGTAAGGCTCTAGTGGACTACTTACATCACTACGACAGGTCCATTCATAAAAACACACACGCACCCATTCACCATTCAAACACGGGGATCCAGATCACACCTGCGCTTCGATGATGGGTGGCTCTATGTTAGCACCTTGTCACCATGTTTTTTTGTGCAAATCATCCCCCAGCTCAGAGTTCAAAAGTTCGTAGAAAGAATAAAATCTGCTCACCCTTTCCACAGGTGGTTAACTATGCATATATGCCAAACATTCATATATATAGATCTATATACTTTTCTCAAAAATTTATAGGAAATCTATTGTATCTACATTGCTTATGAAAAAAAGCATATATTTGTTCATTTTACAGGTTAGAAAGGACAATTTGTTTTCGATTTTTTTTTTCTGTCCTTGAGAAATTTAAATAAAATTGGTATGTTTCACACGCTACAAAATGTACCCACAGTGCGAGGGTAGTAAATGAAAGTTGGATGCTTAAAAGAGGTTGCGACACCAAAAATTAATAATACAAATAATAAATAAACATGAACAAAGAGGCAGTGAGTGCTATTCTTACAACAGAGAGCAACATTGATAAAGTTGTGTTCTATTTCACCACCTGCTTTACAAAATAGTGGTTAAAATGAGTTAAAAGTTCAGAGCTTAGTGGCTTAGCGTTCAGACCAGGAGCTGCTGAAATAGTGGTAGTATTGTTGGTTGAATAAAACTCACTGCCAATTGATACTTTGCAGTGACATCATCTTGGGGGTGTTCTGCCTTTATGTCTATGACGAAATGTTTAGCAGTTACCATGGTGACACATTGCACACATTAGCAAACATAGCCAAAAAAGTTTTAAAATTGTCTGAAAACATACAAAACGTATTTAAACGACACTCTTCCTATTTAGACATTTGATTTTCAACAAAAAAGATGAGAGTGACCTTCTGAAAAAAAAAAAAACCAAAAAAACAATTGGCTAATGTTAGCTAGCGACAGTGACTGTAATGTTGGGAGACATATTTAACAGCGCAAATCAGTTCTTTCTCTTCAGATTGTGTTAAAACAAAGATCAGATTAATGTCTAATTTGAGAAACAGAGCTACAGACAGAGCAGTGCCTCCTGTTAGCATTAGACTCCCAGAGAATGTTGATGACATCAGCTGCAAAGTATCAATAGAAGCTACTCACAAAACCCAGAGCAAACGTTATTCTTATAAAGGATTTTTTGTCTTTAGTACAACCTGGTCTTGGGGTCTCATGCCCGCCTCCATGTGTAATATAAGGCGGGACATTGGGAGACACAGTCAGGTTGTGTGTGCAGACCAGGTGCCCCCCTCCCCACAGCGCAGGACAGGCACAGGGCCCCAAGTGCTCTGCTAGGGGCCCACACATCCACACACAAGCCCTTAGATGTTTTACTAATTATGTTCAATTTAAGACTTATTTGGCAACGTTTAAAAGTAACACTATTCAATCAGCAGGATTCCTCTGCAATTGTCCATGTTGAGGCGGACAGTCCGTTTTGCATATAATCAAACCGGTGTTGTATAATAGTGGTCCTAAGTGCCAGTGTGGGTGGGGGGTGGGGAGTGGGGGTGTGGGGGCGGGGGCACGGCGGTCCAAGCCTCACATTGCGGGATGCCCTTTAGTCTGAAGGAAGACTGTAAGAAAAGAAAGACACACAACACATGGTACAGCTGCTCATGCTATGCTAATGGAAAGTGACCTTAAGGAACGTCCCATATCTATGAAAACATTATTCTCTAGATTTTTCTTTCAAATATATATATTTATATATGTATTATATAGTAATTAGTAGAAATGAGTAAACTATTGGTGGAATAAATTTTCTTTCACTTTCTATACTAAAACCTCAAAACAGGCGCAGGTTAATTTATTATATGTCCTCTTTGCAATATTGTTCTTCTTTTGAAAGCTATATTAACATACATATATATCTTATATTATATCCCTATATATAATATTCCCTTTGGAAAACCAAAAAACTGATTATGAAAAAGCCACGAGTGTTGGTTAAACATTCTCCAGTTGATAGCACAGTCTGGGTCCAAGGCGGAGGGCTCCACAGCCTGTCCACAGCCACTGGGAGAGATGGGAAAGGCATCGTATCAGTGTGTCTGCTGGCCTGGCTCCTCCTGTACTCTGCACGGGGCTTCAGAGGGCAGAGGTAGACACAGAGGAGGGGCAACCAGTGCTGGAGCTCATACTGTTCTTTAAGGACACCCCTAGAGGCCCTAAGGGCACGTTCTGATTAGACCTGGCTCTGGCTCTCCTCACTGTGGGCCCAGTGCGTCAGAGGACATGTGTAAACATGAGGCCGGACAGTCCAGAGTATAAGAGGAGTGCTGCCCCCTGATGTCTGCTGCGTGCACTGCACTCTCAGGGCCGCTGTCAGCTCTCCAGCAGCTGCTTCAGAGCGCGCTCTATGTTCATGCGGTGTCCCACCCGTGTCACACCCAGCTCGGCAAAGTCCTCCTTGGTGAGAGCAGGCAGGTGTGAGCCCTCGATCTCGTGCTCCTGAAAGCCTGCACGGTGCTCTCCCAGGTGGATGCTCTCCAGCCAGTCGCCCACATCGTACTTGTTCCACAGGTGCAGGGGCTTCTGGTGGAAGGGCCTCAGGGAGAGCAGGGGCGAGCCCATCCGAGGGGAGTGAGAAGGAGAGGGGGAGGGAGAGCGTGAGCGTGAGCGGGACCGTGCACTGGAGCTCCTCATCACAAAGCGCACCTCTTTAGGCTCCTGGGGCAGACTCAGGCTGGACGACTTTAGAATGGTCTGAGGGGGAGTGGTGGGGGAACCGGGCAGGCCGAAGCCGCTGAAGCGTCCCAGAGGGTCCCTGTCCGGAGAGCCTGGACTGGGGGTGCGGCGAGTCACCGGGTAACGGCTGCCAGGCCGGATGGTGTACGTGGTGCCATAACTCCTTTGAGAGATGGTGTGGAGCTCTCCTAGGCTGCTGAAAAGTCTGATGGACACAAAGGACACAGTCAGAGGTTAGGACTAAGCAGAGTATATCATATTAACAGAAAGGACAGGAGACAGCAGGCTCTACAAAGACTTCAGTTAGATTAGTGTCATCCAGGTTAATGCATGTAAAGAAAAAATACTGTCTGCTACAAAGAAGTAATGCTGAAGTTTTGATTAAAGCAAGCAAATCAAGTCTGCCTTACACATCCAACAGGTTTTTTGCTTTGTCCAACACCTTCCACAATGAAAAATAACATCATCTACAGAAGACACCCTGATACACCGTATCTATATACCACAAAACTGACTAAAGTCTTAACATAAAGGTGTATTGTAGCCAGATTTAGATCCTAAAAGAAGTAATGAGTACATCATAATTCAAGTGTTAAGAAAGCTTCTAGCACAAAGCATTCTGCTGAGAACATTGTCCTCTGATCAGTGAGGAAACAGGACCTACAGAGGAGGTCTACATTTAGAGGCCTTACTGTCCTTCCCTACACTCCCAGGAGAAGAGGAATACAAAGGAAGGGGCAGATTCATTTAAAGAGCAAAATCTACAGTACTACAGGCAGGAGGAGGAGAGGGGAGTGCTGCTGGGGCCTGGGGCATGCGAGAGGGGGCCTCCAAAAGCTCCTACATAGGACTACAGTATATAATAACACAATGAACAGGGCAGAGGTGTGGAGCTTCAGTGCAGACAGAGGGACAGAGATGAGCTCCATGCACACTTACACAGTGGTCCTGCCCTCCGGGGCGCACAGTCACCTCTACACCAATCAGATCAGAGCAGCGGGCGGAGCATGCAAGGTGAGCAGAGAAAGCAATGGGACAGAATGTTAGCATCACCCAATGAGACGCAGCCTCCCCGGCCCAGCCTGCTCTGCTCCACATACAGGGTCTATGCAAGTATATATGTGTGTATGTACATGTGTATGTACATGTATATGCGTGTAAGAGCGTGTATGTGCATGTATGTGTACATGTGAGCATGTGTATGTGCATGTGTGTGTGCATGTATGTGCATGCATTTGTGTGTATGTACATGTATATATGTGCATGCATGTACAAGAATGTGAGGAGTCTGGGAGTGCTTGTTTTCATGTGTGGCACAGACAACAGAACAGGCTTCAGTAGGGAGGATCTGATAGTGAGCAACATGACAAAGAAATGTGCACATATCAAACACACAAGGGGCACATGTTAACAGATCTAACTTATATAATTCACCTTTCATTTGTATTATATGGCTTGATATTTGATGACAGACATCACTGTTTATGTTTTATGTAAATGACAACATTGGTACTAATATGCCTAGAGTTTGGTTAATGGTTTGAACCAAGTCAAAATAATATCTTCCTTAAAGTGAACTTGGTCACCCTAAACATAACCATTTACATAGTTGATTTAACCCTATAAAAAAGAAGAACAAAGACAACATATTTGAAGTCCCCAAAGCAAACACACAGAGCACAGAGTTGACAGTGAGACATCAGCAGCAATGAGTCTATTCCCACTGAGGGCAGGCAGAGGGAGTGCTGGGCTATACTACAGTTCAAAGATAGTTGCGGCCTTCACACTTGACACTTGTATTTCATTAATGTACATAATATGCTCCTGCCTCACTTTCCTATCAACTTTCTATTGGAGCAGATGCCCTCTGCTGGCAACAATGGGAACTCAGGAGTAACATGTGACATGCTTGATGAAGCTCAACAGTGACTGCCCACTTTGACGTTCTGGAAGATTAAAAAAAAAAAAAAAAAAAAAAAGCGACCGCAGTTAGTAATTAAGGCAGCCATTTCACCCAAACTTAGATTTTAAATATCACTGGATTAAAAATAACTGTGTTACGTACATTAGCACACAGCTGGTTAGCTTTCTGTTATGCCTTTAAATTTGAATAGAATTTTGGAAAGGTCTTTGGGTTAAAATAAAGTAAATGAGTAAATGAGAAATTTACTTTGGTGTTCTTCAAAGTGGGTGTGACAGTTAAGCTCCATATGAAGAAGATTTCAGGGCTGAAATGGTCAGAGTGCATCCAGTGACGGTGTTTGGAACACCTCCTGTTTCAGTGAATTAAAACAACCTCCTCCACTTCTGCAACCCCAACACTTGATTTAAACATGCACAAATGAATAGTGAAACTATTAATTTAGCATAATATGTCCCATTAAGTGAAAGCTGGGATGGACTGGGAGGCAACTGTTTGAATGTATGACTTGCATACTGGTGCACATGATAACCAGAGTGTCAGCACAGGGGGACAGTGTCCAGTATGTGAGGGACATATACCACAACATACTATATCACACTGCAATGTAGAGCTGAGCCTCTGCTGAGGGGAACAGTGCTCTGTCTGTTTATAACCACCACCCTGCTTTCAGCACTACCATCAGGCACAAGAGGCAAGTCTTTTCAAACAAATCACACCATCTGCTATTTCACCAACCTGTAGTCTATTTCTGCATGATTTCCTTTAATGTCTTAGCACAGTCACACAGATGGAGAAGCAGTACAGTATGAACTGGAAAAGTCATCACTTTCCCAAGAGACTATTTTATACCACAAGAAAACTGTTTTACACCTGATGGACACCAATCTGATTTGAACTTGGAGAAGTTGCAATTTTTGTATATGTATATGTATCATTTGACAAAGATAATACAACTTAAAGGTGCATGATGTAACTTTCCTAGTGGAGGTTCTGCCAACTGCTTCATCTCCATGGAGTTACTGTTCTGCCTGGCATATTCTGAAAATGCAGGTTCATCAATGTACTGAGTGTACTAAAATAGTCAAGTTTAATTCAAACATATTACAGGCAAAACAATAACAGCCCTCCTCCAAGAAATGTTACCTTATGCATCTTTAACACTGATAACTTTGATCATATTGTAACACAGCAGTCATGTCACAGAATGATAGTTCTGCTGGACCTTGTTCAAACACTATTTGAAAAATTGGTTTTGAAGTAGTCAGTGATATTTCTACTACTGTGATGAGAAGAAAAGTGCGCTTTTACTTCTTATCACCTGTTACCAATGATGACCACAAACACCAGGAAGATGCACGGGGTAATCCTGGTTCATGTGTTGGGTTATGGAGCGTTTGAACAAGTCTTTGGGACAGAATCTGAAGGAAAAGCAGTGAGAGTAGAGTCTGATGGAGTCTACAGACAGAGCCCCGGAAGCGGACTGAGGTATGACAGGAGACAGGGCAACCATGCTTTCAGAGCCATCCCTCACCATGTTTGCATTTGCAGATACACATATACTAAGGGAAATGCCACAAAATGATTAGGATCTTGTGCAAAAACAACTGTACACAAAGAAGTACTGGTAAGCAGCATCTTTAAGAGAGTGAAAAGGAAAACTTGACTGTTCAGTTACTCCCAAAACTCCAACTAATTCACTCCCTGCATTCTGCTGTTGTGTATATAAAACCATATATTCTTAATAAACTAATAATGACCGATTAATTGACTGAGCAACTAAATGGCTGCATTCCTATTAGTTGCAGTGTGCAAACAGGACAAAGCAGCTGTCTATAAAGATGACAGCATCTTTTGGTCAATAAAGGCCAAAATAATGTGAGTGAATCCATAGATGCAAACATGGTCAGAAATCAGATTTCAAATTTAAAATCACAATAGAGGAAAAGTCTGTGTTAAAGTGAATTGGATTAGTTTGTAGGATTGGAAGGAAAACAATGAAAAGAAAATAAAGCTGTAGTTTACCCTAGTGTAAATAACCTTAAGGTCTACTGTCTTCTGGCTTCTCACATCTGCAGAAATATAAAGACTTTATTGTAGAGTGTGAAAACAACATGGCACTGTGCTTACGAGCCTCCATCCTCTGCTCCATAAGTTATTTTTACACTGTTGTGGTACATTCTCACAGTAGAAAGGTTCACACAAACACTACAGTAGTACATTAGGCACATACTGTTACCCTCTGACCTCATTACCAGTCCCTGCTGCAGAGGACTTCTCTGCATTATTTCAAATGGTGATGAAAACAGACACATTTTATATGAAAACAGTATATGTTTTTTTAACCTCTGACAATAACATTCCCAGAGGAGAAAATAATCTGCATAATGCATCACAACTAAATCAGTACCACATTTATTACATAAGTCTTTCTTTTCCTCTCCATCTCATGTTATCAGACTCATCTGGAGAGCATTGGAGTTTGTCTTACCTGGCCCCTGTTACCGGTGACTTCCTGCCCGGGTCTAGGGATGCTCCCAGTGGCTCTTCTCCCAGGGAGCGCGTGTCCTTGTTAAGCTGTTGCAGACGTGAGCTTAGCTCGCCCATGACAGAAGGTCTGCCCTCATCTACGCCCAGCCCTAGTCCCAGCCCACCCAGATTCCCCAAACTCCCAAGAGCCAGGCCCACTCCAGGGCCCCGGGGCTCTACTGGGTCTCCCCATAGCTTGGACCTGCGCTGGAAGAGGTAGCGCGGCTTGGTGGGGGCCAGTCCGGTCACTGACGCCGATCCACCAGGGGGCAGTCCTGCCCCACCAGCGGCCGCAGCAGCCAGGGCGGCGGCCTGCTGCTGTGACAACAGCTCACTGTCAGAGCTCTGCTTCAACAAAGGGTCCCTGAAGGTCACCGACCCTTTAGCTCCTCCCACCTGGGACTTGAGGCGGGGCTTGGGAGGCACTGGCGGCTTGTCCAGCACAAAGGTCTGTCCGTCTGCGTAGGAGGTGTGTGTGGTGTGTGTGTCAGCTGGCTCTCCACTCTCCGAGGACAGCGTGGACATACTGGAGACCGTGGACACAGTGCTGGTGGTCTCCAGGTGGTGGTCCCGCTCTTTCTCACTGGAGCTGCGGGTATCGGCCTCCTCCACACCTGAGTCTGCCGCAGAGCCAGACTCAGCCACTGGAGGAGGCTCCAAAGGGTCTGATGGCTTCCCTGAGACAGCAACTGCAGTTGGGGGAGGTGGGGGCTGAGGCTGGCTGGCTGTTATTGTAGAAGTGGTGGATGTTGTGGAGGTCAGAGATGCAGGGGTAATGGAAATGGTGGATATAGTGACAGCTTTAGCCCCCTGTGCAAGCAGCCCATTGGCAAACTCATCAGGTGGAGGTACTACGCCAATCTTTCGAAGTTCCTCTCTGGTCTCCTCATCGCTGGAGGTCAGCATGGCAGGAGGCAGGGTCACGGTGTATGGGTCTGCATCCTCTTCAGAACTCCCCAGAGGAAGGCTCTTTTCTTGTGCAGGGCTGGCTGGACGTGTGGCCTGTGTCTGGGCTTGGAGCTGGGACACAGTGGGGCTGGGGGACTTGGCCCGTGTGACCACTGCTTTACTCAGCTCTGTGGGTGTGCCCGCTCTGCCTAGCTCTGTCTCTGAGCCCCCTTCCACTTCCTGACCATTACTAGTGGCATGGACCATGACGAGCCCAGCGGTCTTCTGTTGGGATGTGTCCATAATACTGATCAACATGCTCTTCTTATCCTCTAGCCTCTTGTCCTCCTTCCTCTCCTCTACTCTACTGTCCATGTCTTGTCGGAACGATACAGGTGATGGTGATGTCACCCACTGTTTGGTGGGCTGGGGGAGGAGAACAGGACTGGCAGAAGGTCCTAATCCGTACCCTGCTGCCTTGGTGCTTTTGGGAGAGAAAGGTGGGGATGCAGATGTCCCGTCCCTAAGAGAAGACTCTTTGGTCTGAGTATCAAACAACAGGATGCCCTGGCCAGCCCGCTCCAGTTTAGTCCTGGGCTCTGGGCTGCCAGTAGGGGACTGGCTCTGGGATGTCAAGGCCCTCTCCCTTGCGGCCAGCGCAAGAGCCAGTGGTGAGTTGGGGTCTAGGGGCTTTCCTGTTAAAGGATGGATAAAGGTGGTCCCACTAGGTGAGGGGCTGAGTGCCATGGCAGGGGGAGGCAGTTGACCTAGCTCCCGTGAGAGTAGCCGTTCATCTATGGAGTGAGACTGAGTGAGGGAGGGGTTCTCCGGGCTGATGCTAGCTCCCCCCTCCATGGTCCCAACAGAAAGGAAGACAGTGGATTTCCTCCGCTCCTCTAGGCGGCGCTCTCGGTCTTTGACTGCTCCAGCTATTGCAGCGGCAAAAGGTCCCTTCCCCTGAAACATCATCTCTCCCTGTGCTCGCAGGCTCTCTCTCTCAGCCAACAGCTGCTGCTGGTAGTAGTCCACCCGGCTGGTGTGGGAGTGCCCATGGGCAAGAGGTGGGCGTCCTGAGGGGGAGGTCTCTCTGGAGTGGGCAGTGGCCAGGGCCAAACTAGCCTTTTCTTGTGCATCTTCAACCTGCATCAAATCAAACACATCATCTGTGATCACATGTTATAATTGTTTGAAAGGTAAAGATGCTGATATAGAGGTACCTGCAGTTGCTTGACGAGGGGACTCTTCTTTCTTTGGGGCTTTGTGGGTGCATAAAGTCCGATGCTGAACTGTCCCACGTTGGCGTAGGGGTTGTCGATGATGCGGCCTTTCCTCTTGATGCGCTCGGGGGGAGTGGCAGCAGAGGGTCGGGGGATCTCAGTGGGTTCTACAGGGAGATGAGAAGAGTCCTGGAGGATGATCATAGAGCGAGCCTTCTTCTGCCTCTCCAGGTGAGTGGCCTGTCTTTGAGCCGCCTCATAGGGCAGGTCCAGACTAGAGGGTTTAAAGCTGGAGCGGCCCCCCGGCTCATGGCCCTGGCTCTGGGTTCTGGAGGGTGGAGGTGGGGGGCAGAAGGATGGGGGAGGCCCAGTGTCCAGGTAATATGGCGGAGGAGGAGGGGCTGTTTGCGGGGGAGGGGGGATGCTGTGGGGTTGGGAATGGTCGCGGAGGCTGTCCGTCATGGAGGAGCTACGGGGAAAACGGTGCTCTCCTGCCAAGGCAGACAGGCGGTCCTCTTCAGAAGCACCTGGGAAACAACTCAGCTCAAGTGAACATATTACATGCCCTACCTTTTCCACATCTATCAAAATAAAAACTAAGGAGTTACTAAAAAAAACAAAACATGTAAGACCATAACAAACCTAGACTGTTATAACTAACTAGTATAAATTGAAGAAAATTTTACCTTTTAGAAAATTTTTACTCATTAGTACATTAGTATATAGCTGATGTTGCAGTGACTTTATGTTTAGTAAAAGACACAGACATTTTGTTTTACCACAAAGGTCATAGCAGCAAAACATTGGTTTACCAAAAGATTTTGTCCTGGACATCCCCTTTGGAAATGGTATATGGCCTCGGTCCATGCTGGGGTGAAGAGCTCCGTGGAAGGTCATCCCTTGTCTCTCAAACAAAGACTGCAACACATCAAAAAGCAAACACAAACAAACAAAGAAACATGAAGACTGCATTTCCACCTTCTTGTCATATGTCACTGTCAGCCTATCACAGCCTGCCACCTTCTCCCATAAATACTCACTTTAGCCCTCTTTCTTTCTACCATCCCTTGCCCTTCCACCACCGCACCACAGCAAAACCATCAGCCTCCTCAGCCTTTCAAGCCTTCCTTCTCTTTCCCACCTCCAATGTCTAGTCCACACTAGAGATTTAAGTATCTTCCTGACCTATTTTGTTGTTTGTTTGATGAATCCTTGCTTAGAAAGATCACTCCTTCAAAGCCAAATTATGTAAAGTTTTAAAGTCTATAAATTAAAAGCTGAAGATTTCTGCCATCAAATTGAATTAATTTTGACTGCATGTTTTTGTTTGCATGTCACAAAATGTTGCTAACCCTAGCTGTCATTTATTTATTGAATAGTAATTCCCCCTATTGCCAGTAAATGGTGACCTAAACTAAGTTCTCAGTATGAGGAGGCACCTCTAGAAACAAGGCATCTATTGTCTGAAGATCATCATGTTAAGCTGTAAGACATGAAATACCAAAGCAAATGTACTCATGAGGATGTTTAAAGGTCAAGAACATTACAAATAATGCATAATATTTATAAATTTACAACTGTAAAATGTATATTTGATATTCTAACTTCAATCTGGAGACACATATTTGTAATGTTTATACAAAAAAAAAAAATATATATATAATTCTACATACTACTAGAGCCCGGCCGATATATCGGTTGGCCGATATTATCGGCTGATATGGGCACCTGGAGACATATCGGCTATCGGCCGATATGCTTGCTGATAGGGGCCGATATTTCACGTAGGCATGTGATACATCGTTAAAAATCTTAGACTCTCTACATTCTGTTCATTTAATCCAATTTACAGACAGATAAATGTCCTAATATGTGGCTCCGCATCAGTATTTATCTACGGAGTCATTTGTCTGTGCGTGTCCGTACTGTCCCTGAACACACCACAGAGTCGCGTCATTCACTGCGTTTGTTTACACCCGCAGCAGTGCACAACACTGAGATTATATTCTTTTTACGGACAATCGGTTTGAGTCTGGATTAAAAGGACATTTATTAGTGCAGACTTGTGATGTGAGGAGGAGCCTGTATGAGCGGTGAGTGTTGGAAACATGTCGACTTTGAAGCTAGTTTTGTTTTTTTGTATGGGTTAGCTGCTGTAGCTCTCACACATAAACAGGCTGTTTCCTATTGGCATATTGTAAAGTGACTATATTGGCTGCATATTTGTTACTGGACCTGCACTGATATGTAAATGAGCTGTGAACAGACGTGTGAATTATGACATTTGCGCATATAATTAATTACCGCGGCGCGCACGTATTTACGGCTAAAGGCTAATAGCGATTGTTTCTTTACTAGTTATGGGTCGGTCGCGAACGAAATGACTCTTAGAGCCGGCTCTTTGAAGCGAACGACGGGAGCCTGATCCTTACTGGGAGTCGTGTTTTCTCTTTCTCTCACTTTTTTTCTCTTCATGCCGCGTGCAGATTCGTGGTTTGACAGCGGCAGCGGCTGAAAACGAAACTTTGAGAAATTTGCGTGTACGTAGGATAAAAAAAAGGAGGTTTTTCAGTCCTGGTTTAGACCTGGATCAGTCCTGATTCAGTCCTGCTTTAGACGTGCTTTAGTCCTGCTTGCAACAAAACAATCTGAAGAGCCGCTTGGGAGCCAAAAGAACCAGCAGCTTTTAGTGAGCCGAGCCAAAAGAGCCGGTTCTCTAAAAAGAACTGGAATACCCATCACGAGTGTCTAGAATGTGATGCAAAAATGCCATTAAACCAACCTACTGTCTGTAAATATGATGTAAAGAGGCAGAATAACAATAAATGTTGCCTAAATAAACCCAATTTAAAATCCACCAGAGCCAAACCTAAGTTTTTTAAACAATTCAACATTTACAGTCAATTTTTACATCACTAAATATATCGGCAATTATATCGGCAGTGCCAACTACCATTATATCGGTTTCATATCGGCCACAGCAAAATCCATATCGGTCGGGCTCTACATACTACATAGCACTACACTGGAGTGTCCAACCCCGCCCCCCTCAAAAAACAAAAAAAAGCCATTATTTTTGAAGTAGCTGTTCCTTACATTTGCACCTCTATAAAGACAGTGGTATGTGGGGCGCTCACTCACGCTGATCTCGGCTGGGGTGATCCTGCGGCTACTGGGCCTCTGTTTGACCGTGGCTGCTCTGTAGTCGGCCTCCAGGGGCTGAGAGTGTAACATGGACTCCTGTGACGCCAGCATCTCATCCAGTCTCTCTGAGGAAGGAAAGTAAACCACAACTAAATACTCCCACAGAAGATCCAGGCACTGTGTCACCATTCAGTACCAACAAAGACAGTGATCACGGCTTCATCAGAGATACAGACATTATTTAAGAGAAAAGTAGCATAATGTGATTTCTGAATGAAGAAAATAAAGCTATGGGTTAAAGGAAAGGAACAGTTGAGACACAAACAGCAAAAAGAAGTTCCAACTGTATCCCCATCATTGCAACATACTATAAGTAGTATTAGGAATAGTGCCTTTGGTCATACTGTATTAATATTTCAAAAACTTTGAATCATTATATATTGGCCTATAATATAAATTATACATATTATAGCTTGGCTTGTTTTTGGGTCCTTTACAAAACTAAAATCTTGTTTGCCGGGGACATATGCAAAATAGCCTTTTATAAGCTTCTGACCATGTTTTAACAGTGTTCTGTTGATATAAGCTTACTCACAGTTGTGTTTTGATTGATTCAGTAGTTTTGTTTTGTTTTGCTCTTGAGGCTTGAGCATTCAAAAAATGTTGTTTCTTCTACACATACAGTTAAAAACTGTCACCTATCTATTTTCCAACAACAAAATATGTAAATGAATACCTACTACTTAAAGAGGCGGTGCCTATCAGTCTGCAGTTTTAAACTGGTAGTCAATGGACTGGTTTCCTTATTAAGCTGTTTTTGAAAAATATTGCAGATTACAAAAAACAAAGTGTAACATAATGATTGGTATTCAGAGCAGGTATTAAGCCCTGAGATTTCAAGCCCAAATGCAAATGAATTGAATTATTGAATTACTAATGAATTATAATGATCAAATTTAAAAGTACTAATTTCTTGCCTCAAACTCACCTCCTCTTCTCCTCCGAGCAGAAGCTTGGTGAAAAAAAGATACAGACAGAATAGATTTGAAAAAGACAAGATAACAGAATTGTAGTAAAAGTCACGAGGACAGGAGACAGAACAGAATGTAGAAGACACGTTGAGTCGACAAGAAACAAGTGTGTGCTTACCCAGCTCCTCCAGCTCTGCGGTCATAGACTTGGAGCGCAGCGTCAGGGTGGTACTGGGTGACCTCTTGGGTGGAGGTGGGGCTGTGGACACAAGGCAGGGGGTTGAGGAGGAGGAGGAGGTGACAGCTTTGGCTCTTCGGGTCAGGGCCCTCTTAGCATCCCCTAGGCGCCCGCTCCATCCCTGCTTCAGCCCTCTGAGGTGGGCCGGGTCAGGTGGTCTGTGAGGCTCACGTTTGGCTAGCACTTTGTTAGCACTACGGTTAGAGCCTAACTTCTTCATGTTTATACAATTCAAACAGTTAGCAACTTTTATGTTATGTTATGGTTTAGGTATCTATCTGTCCATGGTTTCAGAAGGAGGAAAAATTTGGACAGCTGCCATAGTGATCAAAAATTGAAAACAAAATACAATATTTTCTAAATGGAAAAAAGTCCAAAGTGCATATAAGCTTTCAGGAAACCTATATCCAGGAATTTTCTGATGACATGATAACTAAAATCTGAACAATAAATTCCAGTCTTTTCAACATGCTGCTAGTCTGGGATATTAAAATGTGTAACATCTTTACTTACTATATTAAATAAACACGTAAGCAAAATACAGAATTAAAAATCATCGGCTCAGTTTTTAAAATGCATGCCCAGTCATAACACAAGTCATCCCAGTAGGGATAAGCTACAAAGATATTCAACTCATTATCCAAAAGTTACTACAAAAAATGAAGGAAAATGTAGCAATGTAGCAAAACAGATAGCATGCACATAGAAAGAAAGCCGAGAGTCCAACATTACAAACCACTCTACTCTGCAAAACGGCAAAGATCCAGCTAGAATATAAAAACTATCCTACAAAATGTCCAAACACTATCTAGTATTGCGGTGGTCTTCAGTGCATAGATCCCCCAATCCGGCAAAGTCCTTATATGATTGCTCCTCATTAGCTTCCATCTGCAGATAGCCATACAGTAGGACAGAGGCGTGGAGAGGGAGAACAACAGAGACTCGGAGGCTGTAATGTAATGCTTAATTCAAACATGCAGTGTAGTCGCTATGGCAACGGAGAGACAGTAGTGAGGCCTGGCGCGCGGAGTGTGTGTGTGTGATTGTGTGTGTTTGAGGAAAGGTGTGCCACGGTATGCAGACTGAGTCCCAGAGGAGAGGAGAAGACCAAAGCTAGTGGAAGTTTTAAAACAGCATGGTAAGCTCCAGTGCCCCACCGCTGCACCAAAGACAACACGCTCCGTCTTCTGCAGTGCTTTTATATGACTACATCTTACTGCACGGTACAAAAGGAGACAAGTTTTTTTTTTTGTCTACTCTCTAGGTGAGGACTAGAGGGAGACATGCAAATGAAACACTGGGCAAGCCATATTTAACCACAAATAAATCTCTCAATAATGATGACAAGGGTTTACTTACTAGGGGTTACTACTTTATCATCAAGCAGCTAAATTGTTTATTAAGAATGACTCAGGATTATTAACTACTACGGTAAGGGTTAAGAGGTAAGGTCTTTATTTATAATATTAACAAAATAACTGTTCATGCATTATTAAAGGTGCACTACCAAACTTTTTAGGGGAAGGGTATGCTACTTGCTTATTTCCGTGCAGATGTTATTGGTGTGTCTGAAAGGTTTCACAGTATGGCATTAAACATGGCTATGCATATCCATGGGGATAACCAGGTGACACCATCAGGCCAAGTTACAAGGCAGATCTATGGAGAGGTGAACCTGCTCAAAGTTAGTGTTGGGGAGTAACAGATTACATGTACCAGAGTTACGTAATCAGAGTACAAATTATGAGTAACTGTATTCAGTTACAGTTACTGTTTCAGTGAGTGGTAATTGGATTACAGTTACTTTGTTGAAATAAATGGATTACATGGTGACATTTTCCTGTTGTCACATTTTGGGCTATTTCCCTTTTTTTTTTTTTTTTTCCTCAGTAATTCCACTCATTGCCAGACACTAAACCAGGTCTAAAACCAGGTCTAAACTAGGTCTAAACAATTACTAAACCAGGTCTAAAGCAGGACTAAAGCAGGACTAAAACCAGGTCTAAACCAGGACTAAACCAGGTCTAAAACAGGATTTAACAGGACTAAACCATGCTGCATGGACGTGTCTCCTCTTCTGTCAGTAATATTTTTAATACGGTTAAGTTAAATTTTATGTGAAGATATCCTAGACATTGCTTCTCTACAGCAAATCAAGTAATCCAAAGTATTCAGATTACGTTACTCACCTAAAGTAATTTAATGGATTACGTTACAAACTACATTTTGGGGTATGTAATCTGTAATCTGTAGGGGAATACATTTTAAAAGTAACCTTGCCAACACTGCTCAAAGTATGAATGCTTTTCAAGTTTTTCTGGGTAGTTGCTAGCTAAAAAATGTCTGAATAAATGCAAGCTATGAGTTAAATGCCATACTGTGGAACATTCAGGGTAAAGTAAAAACATTACCACGGAGATAGGTGCATGCACTTGCCTTAAGAAAGGTTATGTAGTAACCCTTTAGGGATATTAGTAGTAAAAATTTGTAGAAAATGCATTTCAAAGTGGATGGGGCCTGAAAAGTTGTGGAATATATTATTATATTAAGTTTGTGACCCCAAATATCTTTCAGTAAAATAAAAACTACTTGTGGAGTCCAAAGCTTGAAGTGGCAGAATAGTGTGGGGGTGGAGTAACGCTGTTGATATAGAAACATAACGTATCATACATTGATACAGTGATTATAAGCGTGGCTACATCACCATGACAACAGAAAATATGTATGTATTTACTCAAACAAGGGAAAAGACAGAAAAGGAGAACAGGCCTCTGCCAAGGTGTTACAGCTCCACACTGTGACATGAAAACGCATCCATTGAAAGTGGGACTTAACATGTAAACCCAACCTATAACCACATCTCAGGACTACAGGAAGAGGGGAGGAGGGGTGGGATCTGGAGGACTAAAGGGGAGAATGAGAACGGGAGAGGTTTGGAGGACTAAAGGGGAGAATGAGAACGGGAGAGGTTTGGAGGACTAAAGGGGAGAGTGAGAATGGGAGAGGTCTGGAGGACTAAAGGGGAGAGTGAGGGGTAGGAGGCCTGGGGTCTATGCAGTCAGGGCAGTACTGTGTGATGTCACATGTCTCCTGAAAATGTACTGGCCATTGGAGGTGGCACACAAATCTGTAAATGTATCTAGTTTGCACTAAAATTGTAAAGCAAAACCTGAAACAGTAAACAATGCTATTAAAAATGTGATATCAAACTGCATAAAATTTGTCCTAAGGTTAGTATAATAGCACTCTTCTAGAAACTAATTAAAACTACTTGTAACAGAGTTTAATGAAAGTATACTACTAGACACTAGTGTGTGCATCCTACCATTATCTTATGTAAATATTTTTGGCTCATGCATTTATTTGGATGTTGCTGCCTATTGGCCTCATTTGACAAAAGGTAAAACGGTACTTATTTTTGAAAGGTCTATACTTCATCCTAAATATCATATTAACCCCAGTCTTTTATTTCTTACACCCAAATCCACAATAATGGACACAAAACGCCATCCATTCTGCACTTAATTCTACAAGAAACTTAAAATAGTGATTTACAGCTATGTTCCACTGACCTTTTTTGCGTACCACCTCATCGGACTCAGGCTTGCGTGCGACCGAGACCACCTTCATCAGGAGCCTGTTGCCCCCCTGGCGGATCAGAGACACCACCTGCTTATGGCCAACCTTCACCACGTTCACCCCATTAACCTGCAGCACAACAAACACACGAAACAAGCTTATTCATGCAAAACAGGGCCAAACCAGAGTCCGCTATTTTATAGTGACTCTGGGGTTATTTTTTGTGGAAAGTTGCTTGCAAATTTTGAGAGGGCTTGCTTTTTTTGGGCTTCCTCCCAAGAGCATTTTTATTTCATGTGTTTTTTCAGACAAGCCTTGTGATTAGATTTGTGATTTGTGTTGTAATAATAGGATTCTTTTCAAGGTTCACATTTTAAACCCATCCATCAGAATTGAAAAAAGTCTGTAATGTGAACTGCCAACTTAATACAAGAATCACAGAACATGTTTGTATAGAACAGGGTTAGCTATTTTTATGTAGAATAAAATTAAGAATAAGATTTTGTTGTTTGTGGAGGAAATTATGATACCTCAAAAACTGCAGTCTTTGCAGTTGCTAATTGTGTCTATTCAAATTATAACTTTGATTTATTCACGGGTAATGTAGCAGCCCTATAGCCAAACAAACAATATACTGTATATTCAAAAAGTAGTACCTCGATAAGGAAGTCTCCCGTCCGTAGACCTGCCCTCCAGGCCACTCCCTCCACATCCACAGACTCCAGGTATTGCAGTGCAGGGAAGGCGGGGGTCGGGCTAAATTCTTCAATGGGAGTTTCAGCTAAACACAAGAAAAACTATTATGAAAACATGACTAGGAACTTGCAAATTAGATTGGCAAGACCATTCAACACTTCGTTATAATGTTTCCTCACCACAAGCATACAGTACATGCCATGTAGTTGTGTTTTGTTAATTCACACGTTATTAATCTCACATTACACACATTATTATTCTCTCAAACTAAAAACACTGTTCCTGCTTGTGATGCTCCACTGTGTTTTTAAACTCCATTATTAGAGACATTCTATTAACAATGTCAACTGTGCAAAAAGTAAAACAAAAAATACTCAAAATTAAAAGCAACAAATTACGGTAGTTTTAGAGTATTAAAGAGTAAAGCCATTTAAATGAGGCTACAAATAACTGTTAACCTTAAAACCACCACTAAATAAACTAAGCATTTTGGTCTTTGGAGATGCTACTCTAATACTCCAGGATAACTCAAACGTGTCAATGAAACACAACTCCAGGTATGTTTTTTGAAGAGGAAACAGCTTTTTAACATGCCTAAAAGCTCATATGAGTCGGTTTTCAGTTTAACATCGGCCCATTTAATCCTGGAATGGTTTAAACCTCTTCTTTGACCCAAAGTTCCTCCGAACCACTCTAGCACTACCCATAAGTGAACAGCCAAGAGTTTACACTTACAACACACATGAAGTAAAAAACAAGTGCTAGCCACGGAGCAGTACCACACGTTCAGACTATTGGCGTGGTGCCTGGGAGTGGTCGCCATGGTAACGGGCCCAGGCGAATGGACGGTCTGCGGGCTGGGAGCTAGGAGCTGGCACGTGCACCGGGAAATGTATTAGCCGTGATGGAGATGGTGAGGGGGTGATTTGAGTTCAGCTTGGCGGTAAGGAGAGGGGAGGGTTGGGGTAAAACTGTTTAGCCAGGGTAATTGATGGGAGGCTGAGGTTAAGATGGAGGTAAAGACAACCAGGAACAAATAAGGGCAGACTGGGGATGGTACGGGGAGGGAGAGGGAGGGGGAGAGAGTGTGTGGAGCAGATGGGACACACAAGCTGAGTGTTGACCAAAGCTGCCAGTGTTGATTCACACTCTAACTATATATGTTAAGGCCTGACTTGTCACCATACAGGCAGACAGGAATGTAAATAAGTGAGGGGGGCATTCCACTAAACAATGCACCTGATTTTTACAGAGCTAGTTCATTTTAAACTGTTTGGGTTGTCCAAGCATTTTCATCACACAGCATTTTAAATATTCATTATGGGTGTAGATGACTAAAGACATGTCCTAAGATCGATTAGTCAACTAAAAACAGAGAGTGGCAAATGACTCTCAAACTATTAAATATCTCTAATCTGACCATGTTGACCAAACTATTTATACAAAAAGGTACTAGGAACCTGTGAAAAATGCTAAACTCACTTCAAAATTTTCAGCCAACTCACTGCATACTTTCTGAAACTAAATAAAATAATAATTAGTCAACTAGTACAGTTTTTGGTTGATTAAGACACCATTGATGGATTATGGATCAGGGGCGGCAATAGCTCAGTTGGTAGAGCATTCGCCCACTGATCTAAAGGTTGGTGGTTCGAATCCAGCTCTCAACATAAACATCACAGGTTGAGTGGTCAGATCCACTGACCCACAGGTTGGCTGGTGTGATTCCAGCTCCCACAGATGAATTAGCACGTTTCTACATTCAAAGTTTCTAGCGGAGTATTGTTGCCACTGCTAACAACCACTAGCATGCTAACAGTGCACCAGCATAGTGATGCAATTGTGTTGAAATATTTTCTTTATTCAAATAATTAAGAACAGAAATATTTTTTTTTTGGCAGTAGCACAGTACCATGTACATTGTAGTTCTTATGCATTTAATCATGCGGTTGTATAAAACAATGCAGTAGCCAGTGATTGTAAGCTAGTGGCCAAACTTTAACCTCATAACATACAATTGCCTATGTCATTTTTCAAAGTATTTGAGAAAATCCAAAAATAACCTGCATATGTTAATTTTGCACTCTGGAGAGTCAAATGGGACTGAAAACTGAATTTGGCTAAAGATGATTATGGCAGTCATGCTATGAGGACGGCATAAAAAAAACAGTCACCATGCACAAATGCCATGAGTGTGTGTGAGTCTTACCTTTAGCTCCCCGTAGCACAAAGCCAAAGCCCTCATTCTCTTTCTTCTGTAAAACTGCATTCTTCTCCTCGATGATATAGTCACTGGGAGAGACACAAAGAGAAAGCAAATGCCACATCATTGCTCAAAGGCACAGGGGCAAAGAGGCTAGAACACACAGGGTTAGAGCACTAACTCACTAACACTAACACTAGAACTGCTCAGCGCTCACACAAACCAACTGTATGTGAAGCAAGTAGTAAAGAAAGTGGTCATTGTTGATCTGTGAACATGTGAAGACAAAGTGCAAAAAGTCAAGTAGCAGAAAGAACATTTTTAAAGGTGCACAATGTAACTTTTCTGGTGGAGGTCTGCCACCTGCTTTTCTCCATGGTGATATTATTTCTTCGCCTGGAATGTTCTATACTATAGAATCTATAGTATCTGCAAGTGAATTTCATCTATTAAGCTAAAATAATGATTCATAATTAGTAGGTCAGATGGATTGCCATATTGTGAAACAGCTTGCAGACGATCTCCCACCAAAAGTTCCATAATGCACCTTTGAAGTGGAAGCAAACTCTAAATCCACTTTGTTCACTAGTAAATTGTGAAGATGCCGTTTAATAGCATTGTCTACACTACTGTACGGAGTAATTCTTTGGAGTAAACTAGGTAATGTAGAGGGCTGTATGTATTTGAAACATGTTTGTGGCAGAGTTTAGTGTTTAGTCCCACTTTAAGCAGAGTGACTGATAATAATCCAGACTGGAATTGAGTGGTTTCGGTCTATTAAAGATGTGAAACATAATCCTTATTACACTGTACATAATGAAACCTAAAGAGATTAGTAGATAATTGTGTAAAATATGCAAACAAGCACAGTAGACACAGCTTGTTGTTACGTTTTTACTAATTTATTCCACATTGCTCATTTGCAGTACACTGTTGTGGAGAGGGCCCAATTCTGTAGTTGTTTCCATGAAACACAGACTAAACCTTTGTATGAGCGCAGGTCAAATATGTGTTTGGATCCTCTGCTTCTGCTCTCATTCATATGCACAAGCACCAATATGTCTCACTACAGCCTTTTATCCACTTTACTCTATCTGCTCTCTAGCCTTAAATGTTACACTAATGCACTTGGAGCACTGAGCCTGTTCATTCAACCTGACACACAAACACAAACACACACGCACACACACACACACACACACACACCTACACACACACATACACAGACAGATAAATGCTCTAACATTTCAAAAAAATCTCCAACGATAGATAAATATAAATATAAACATATAATATTAGACACAACAAAAAAAAATCAAGTACTGTCTTTACCATTAAAGACTTTTTACTGCAATCATATTATGTTTTTAATTGCAAACTGAAGTGTACATGAACTGACACCCTAGCACACACTTAAACACTCATCTTTGATATAAGCACAGTTTTTTATTTTTATGTTGCCCCTTTGTAAACAATATTGTAAGAATAAATAATATCTATCAAAGTTTATCAAAACACTAAACGTATGTGTTACCTTTGACTCTGCATGTCATTCCAGCTCTGTCTGAACCATAAAATCTCTTCTCTCAACATACAGCATGTTTTGGAGTTTTTGTATGGTTGAGATGACAATTACTGAATAACTGAATTAGTTGGCAATTATCTCAATAGTTGATAAACTTTTTCAGCCCTAATACAATTCTATAAAGCATGTACAATGAGGGTTAAAATACTGAGGGTGCATTGGTAGCATGTTGCCTTTAGATGGCAGCAGCTCACATAGTGTAAACCCATTACTGTGACAGGCAGAGTACTAGAATGTATGTACCTGTATGAGTTGAAGTTGTCATAGGATCCCACAGTGTAGTGTCGGAACAGTCTCTTAGTCCGGTCCTCTCGACTTTCTGGAAAAAACAAAGTACACATAGTATTAAAACACTGTTGTTACATTAAAATAAAATGTATCTGCAAGAGTAGAAAATATTCAAAACTGTTGCTTATTATTATATTATTTTAATGGTATAGGCCAAAAAAAATCCCTCATTTAAAGCATTTGTATAGTTGTCTTACTTATAATTGACTGATACATTCATCATGTGGAAGTACTGTTACTAAAGTAGTCTTTTAATCATGGGCATTTACTGAAAAAAAAAACAAAAAAAAAACATCAAATGTCTTCTTCCAGTCAATGATGCCGCTCATAGGAACAATGCAAGTTTTTTGAAATGACTAAATCTCAATTAAAATATAATTAATTGCACATGATTATGACATTATTTAAGAAACCTTTACTTTGTATTAAGCCATACAGCTAAATGGTACAGTTGAAGTAACCAATCCACAGCTACTTGAAATGTATGTTACAAAAAAAGGAGTAAAGGTATATAGTACCTCATTCAGGTAAGGCAAGACAATATGTTTGCATATTTTTTTTTTCAAATAACTTACATTTGACAGTGCTTAGCTTTTAATGTAAAAATCAGTTAAGGGGATACTATTTTTTGGACATGATATTTTTTTTGGAATCTGTTTCCACTTGTAATATAAATTATTATGAAATTTAAGTGAAAAAAAAAAAGAAACAGAAAATGACAAGTTACTGTTAGAACAACCTTTAAACTTGAAACACCTGATTTGTATATTCAAACTGAACATTCCGACTTGATTATTCTATTTCGAATCCTTCTCCTTTATGATATTGATCTGAAATGCTTCCAAAGACAATGGCGTGTATCATCAAACTGAAAGTGAACTCCTCATATCAGTGTCCCCATGTTGTCATAGCAGCTGCAGCTCATAAAGCATGTGCACAGCCTAATTGCAGCAGCAGTGACAGAAATTACCCCACCACAGAGAAGTCATTATTACACCCCACTTAAAACTGTACAACCCAAATGAGCAGATACGCTTTCATGGTACTCACTAGCTACAGTTTAAAGTTAGCCAAAATCTAAATCATATTTTAGTATAGAGACTTTTTGACATTTTTTTTTACTTTCCATATCCTCTTCAATCATTGAAAAGTGCCACACAACATGGCAACAGTAAATATATAAAAAAAAGACTAACCAATAAAACATGCTTAATTTGACCTTTGTAAATTGCACTTTGAGACCTAGGAGAGCTTGTTCAGGTGATCTGAGCACTTAAATTGCCTTCACTATACAAATCACTTATCTGCTAGCATCACGTTAGAAGTTAGCCATGCTCCATTTAGAGGTTTTTTTTTTTTTTTTTTTTTATACTTCTGCTTCTACTACTGTACTTCTACTTGATTCATATTTTTTGAGTAACAGACTGTCAGACAGAACAGCCCTGATCTGATTAGTACATCTGCAGAAGTTGGACACTATGCATCTCCACTACCACAGGATCTTATCTCCTCTAAGAAAAAAAAGAAAAAAAATCTGCTATTGGTGGTTTTCAGATTCTAAAATGTGATTATGTCATACTACCAGATGAGGGTCAAGATTTCCCTTACTAATTATATGGTATTATGATGGTATTGTAAGAAATATCTAAAAGGCAGATAAGCGATAACCCAGTCATTGTTGTCAGTTAGAACTGGTTCTCAGTTGACTTATGTAGATACATAAAGATTAAATAGACAGAAGTGATTTTTGATCTGATAGCTGAGTAATCCTGTTCATATGTTGTACTGTGCATAATATTAGTCAGAGCCATTTATTATACATATAGTGCTGTAGCCTTATCTTTTATTATACATGCATTATACTATTTTATTATAAATGTTGAGTTAAATTTAGATATTTTATTGTATTTGTCTTGATCTTTGAGTGCTTGTTTTATAAAACTGTGCATTGCAAGAGAAATTTCCCCATTGTGTGATAAATAAAGGTTCTCTTATCTCAATATTATTTCATGTAATACCGATCCAGTAATAGAAATGAGTTTTGGAATGAAATACATTGAAGCACTATACAGATCATTATCTTTGCTCCACACCAGCTTGAACAAAAAATGAAACATATGTAAAATCTAAAATGCAAACAGTGTATCTCAGAAATGATTTAAACTTGATGTAAAAACAGCATTTGTTTTTAGAAAATAAAAGTATTGATAATTTTGCATGAGACTACTTAGTGACTATCCTAGAGCCTTTCAAAAATAAGTGTTATGGAAATCTTTACTCCAATCTTTACTATTTTACTGGATTTAGGTTGTTGATTAATTGTTGATGAGTTTTGCAAGCAGCTAAATAATAACTTGCTCTAAGCCTGTTATCTCTAGTCTATTGCTTACATTAATGCTAACTTGTTATTCTACTGATTATTGTGTCTTGACTTGTGTTGACCCAGCCTTGTGCTGACTTACCCTTGGAGGAGTATTATGTCTTAGCCTATGTATTTGCATCACTGATGTGCCCCAGCCCATGCCCCCCCGTGGGGTATAAAAACTCTGTATGCTTTGTTATGTTACAGCTTAGGGACAGTTCTGTGATTGTGGCCACAATTGCTTTAATAAATCAGACTCCTTGATTCAAGGCAACTTCTCAGTTCTTGTTCATTGCTTGTAATCTAGAAATTCCACAACAATTTGGCATCACAAACAGGATTAGAGCAAGTTATTAGTTAGCTGGTTGCAAAATCAAAAATTTATCAACAACATAAATCCAGTTTAGCCCATTTTGGCAATATTCATATTAGAGTTCACCCTCTCCCCTCACCAATTATTCCTGCACTAGTTCTACTTAGAGCAGGTTCAAAAGCAAGATAAGATCTTTATTATAATACAAATAAGAAAAAAGATACACTTCCTGGGAACACTGGACCACCTGGAGTAGAAGGACATGATTGAAGTAGGAAGCCACATACTGTATGAAATATTCAATGTGTGTGAAGTGTCTTGCCCAGGAACACAACAGAAGTAGTAGTGTCCCAGATGATTCCCATTGGTTGACAGTGGATGAGATGTGTCTCTAATCTGATTACATGGTTATTGACATGAATGACTGTATCAGATGGTGGACCAGAATAATCAGATTAAATATGTTTTCATTAATTAGTAATGGATGAACTGGGCACATGTCAGCAGCTTGTGTTGGTACAAGTCAGGATGTCAGATGTCAATTATGTGTTAATGTGAAAATGATATTTATTTCACAATTCCACATTTAAAAAGTATACACCCTGCCAATCAGACATAGTTTCTGATAATTCTTATCAAAACTGTAATTATGCTATTGATAATAAAATTTGTAAAAATCTGTAGTAAAGTGGTCGTATACGGAGTGACTTGGTAGTATTTGTAGTGATGTGGTAGTATTTGAGGTGAAGTAGTAGTGCTGAGAGTAAAATGGGAATAGTATATGGAATAAACTGGTAGAATTTTGAATGACAATGGTACTAGGGGTGAAGATGCAGTATTTATAGTGATGTGGTATTTATAGTACTGACATGGTCCTCAAATTTAGAATGAGGTAGTAGTATATGGAGTATATAGAGTAAAAAGGTAGTGAGGTAGTAGTATTTGTGGTGATGTGGTATTGTGTTAATGCAGTAGTATTTGGAGTGTTGTAGTAGTATTCGGAGTGATGTGGTAGTACCTGGAGTGACATAGTATATGAAGTGTTGTAGTATTTTTAGTGATGTGGTAGCATTTAAAATGATGTGGTAGTATTTGAAGTGAAGTGGTAGTATTTGGTGAGTGAACACTGAGTCAGCTGTTGTGGTTGCTTGTGGAGCAGCCTTTTACTGCCCAGGCTCACACACATCACATGTTTGGCCCTGACTCATGAATAATGAGAAGAGAGGGAAGGAGAGAGAGAGGGAAAGAAAAAAAGGGAAAAGAAAGAGAAGAGAAGTGAGAGAGAGAGAGAGAGAGAGAGAGAAAGCTGTGAACATGGTGTAAACAAGTATGTTGATACTTGTTGATGTTGTATGTTATCTCATAGTACAATATAACCTACACAGTTTTAAACTCAGCACAATATTTAATGTGATATTAGATAAAAAATTATTTTATCTATATTATCTTAAAAATAAATTAACATTTTGTATAAAAGTCTATTTAGCTCATATGTTGTTTCAAGAAAATAAAGCCTAAGATATTGATGTTGCCATATTTGATATAATTCCTGATTATTATTATTATGTTGTATTGTATAGTTACAGGGCAGGGCCAGCTGAAGTGGTGACAAATGTGTATAACATTTGACACAAATCTAATAAGGATAGAACAAGACCTCATGCCACAAGATCTTGCTTTATTGGACCCAATCTTGTGTCATGTCTCCTGTCTCTTCATAAATGTAGACACTACTTTATGAAAATATGAGTCTGGTCACCAGCGACTGAGTTCAGATTGGTGTGATTGACAGATGGATTAGCCAATCAGGCAGGCACATAAAAAATGCCCGTAAAAAAATACCACGGGGGTTGAAAAACAAGATTTCTGAAGTGATCAACTCTGTTAATCTGAGGTGACAGAAATTTGATTTTGTTATAAATGATAGGTGACCAGTGAGCTGATTTATTTCACGTGCATCACTGAAATAAAAAATCTAATTGGATAATCACGTTTGGTTGTGGCACGAGGTGCGATGGAGAACATGTTGACCAGACCGATATCTCTCTTTATAAAAGTCGGAGTTATCATTCTGGATTCTGCCTTCTTGTATGTAACCACTAAAGCAGGTAAACAAGCATAGATCCCAGAGTGGTAATTCTATACACTCTTTAAATCCATGCTAGCTACTACCATGTTGTACCTCGTGTGTCTCTAAAAAATGTTGAAAGAATGGCCTTGTCCTTCTCCTCTTTGTCCCATCTCACAAGTGTCAGTGCTGGGGTCACTGGACCGTGGAACTCAACCCGAGGCTTCTCCATTCCACCCCTGCACTGAACACGATGACATGTCTTTATTTTCCTCTCGTCCTTCTCCT